GGGGGGGGGGAAGTTCACCGACCTGCGCTCTGGTTTTCCCGGTCTGGACATGAGGCGAACTGTCCACTCTGATCGATCCTCATCTGAGGAATTCGCGAGCGTGTCAGACCAGATTCGCATCGCGGAACTTCATTCGAGCCAGCGTAAAGGACTCGATCTAGGCCGGTGTTCCCGCGACACAACCAGCTCTTTCGGATCTGGAATCACCACGATGGTGGGTAGCCTGATCGAGACTCTGCACGACCGAAATTGCGGCTGCTCGGGATTTCCGATCCGGGTTGAGCGCTCGATGCTGGGCAGCGACACTCTACTCCTCTCAAATCCCAATATGGCTGCGCACAAAGTCGGACACCTGAATTTCCTCCTGCAGAGCTCTCGGTTTGCTCTTGACTGAGACGGCGAGACCGAGTGCTTCACCAGCACGGACACCTGCGACGGAGTCTGTCTGGAAAATCGCCGTTACACGTGATTTATCCAGGCGAGAGATTCCCGGAGTTCAAAGACGGTGCCTTGGCACAATTGGTTCGCACTACTCGGGTTATTAGGCTGTCAGTTTCCACCTCATCCGTCCACGCTGACACTGGCAAGTCCAAGATGCCGATTCTGAAGGAGACAATGCCAAGAAGTACAAATGTTGCGTGTTCGTTCCGGTGCCGGGCCGTCGGAGTCTAGGTTCAGATACAAATGCTTTGCACCCTCGCGTTCGATGCGTCTGCTGCAGATTCGCCTTGAGTGTCCGACATGCCGCGTTTTCCTTTTTCGATGCAAGTTGCGCCTTGCATGGAAGATGGACGGGCTGATGGTGTTTTGGTCTGGGTCGAGCTGGAGATGGATCAAAATGGAGTTGATCGCGCTCAAGCCGGGGCTGGGGGATTGGCGGACACACCGTGCGTAGCATCTCGGCCGTGAAGAGACCGAGTCGTCGTCGAGCCATTCTGAATACTGGCTCAAGAGTGTAGTTGTAATGGAGGTGTCGTTACGACACAACCTACACCCAGCGGCGGCTAAGTCACGTGCTGTTCAACGAAGATCGGAATCCGAGGTACGAGTCATCACTTGTACGTAAGAGAGCCCCCACCCAGAGTGGTACGCGACTCCTGTACCAAGACATGCCAGTCTCGCATCTGCAGGTGTAGAGGCTCGGATGTCCCGTTCCTCGCTGCAAATGAACCCGGATGGTCCTGCATGCGTGCATCAGAGCGTGTAGCATCGGCTAGAGCGCGACGGTGATTAAGAGCGAAACAGAGATGGCAACGAGACATGCACCTCGCTGCTTTACCTTTCTGACTCCGCCGAGTCTGGCGACATCCGGGTCCAGTACATTGCAACCCGGTGGACATGGGGACAGGAACGGGGCTTCTGCACGGCCGACCTTTGTCTCTTACTGTTTCCTTTCCCCAGCCAGTGGCGTGACCAAACACCGTCAGCATTCTGAAAGCAGCTTACGCATTCTTGACAACATCGACAATGGCACGAAACGTCCTCGCGCGGAAGAATCTCGCCTCAGCCGTCAGATTGTTTCAGCCCAGTCCAGTCAATATGAAACCGAGCTGCTGTACCGTCCGTTTCGTAGCCAGGCCGAGACCTAGCGGCGGTGTTTGAAATCAAAGGCACGCTTCGGATCGAGCTCAACCGGGATGGAAGCGCTCGATCCCCCGTTCAGTAACCGAGGCGATTCAGCAGGAGCAACTGACGTTGGCTTCGGCGGTCTGGGACTGCAGCGTCGACTAGCCGATTTATCTACAACGCCTGCAGGTGCTTGTCGTGTCCGAGATGAGGTGAAAATCATTTTTTGTATTCCAACCTGCCTTTCTTGTTCATCGAGAGTCACCTCACAACGTCTGCTTCGGCACGATCCCGAAGTGCATCTTTCCTTGAACTTGAATTCGGTTCGCTGTTAGTGCTGGGTGGACGGCGATGCAGTGCTGGAAGGAGCTTTCGGACGAAGTATGAAGATGCATCGAGTGACCGATGAGATCTCGGTGGCGCACACACAGCAGTCAGTTGGCGAGGTTTCAAAGGGTTCAGGTTCGACGATTCCGTTCCGGTTCTTGCGCAGCTGACATGGTTTCATTTCGACTCTATACAATAATTGACTGTGTCTTATATTTTGATTTTTTTGGTTGGTCGGACTTCTCTTTGGACTCCGTCACCGCACTGACTTCAACCGCGGTTTACAGTGTTGCAGGGTCAATCGACACAGCCAAGCGAAGCGGTCATTCAAAAACAACTAAGATGCCCGACCCGATCTCAAGAGCCTGCGTTTCAGCACAATCTAGACCGCCGTTTGGTTTCATGGATCACTGCGGCGGACGCAGCAATTTTTTTTTTCAGGCATCGTGGCTTGCCCCGCTGTTCAGCTGCACACGTGAACGGTTGCTGGAGATAGGCGCATTTAGATTGGCGCGTTTCATTTGCAGTGCCCCCGTTCGAAAAATTGCATGCGTGTGTTTCGCTATCCGAGAGTGGCGTGCAACCACATGCCAGTTCGCACCGTCAAGGTCACGACGCTGGTTTCTCGATTTGCTGGCCGAGGTTCGAAGAGACCACGGTTCGTACGTACTTGGTCTCGCGTGCTGTGCCCGTACATGAATGACGATGATCTAGCGTCCTCCCGGCCTGGGAGTTGCATCTCTGCAAGCATGCGGGAAGTAATGTTCGTCTCAGCTGAGTGAGCTGTACGCTTCTTCCCTCGTTACGTTCCTTTCTCAAGGTGGGGTTCAAGCCACAGCTTGTTCGTCTAACTGCCTAGAAAGGGTGAGCTCAGGCTTGGCCCGTATGAATGAGCGTGGACCGTCTTGTTTGCGACACGCGCAGACAACGCACTGTTCGAAGAGCGTCGTGATCGATCTGCGCATGCCGGTGAGAAGCATGACAACGAAGGGTCCTTGAACTACAGCTCAATGAAGCAGCCTGCAAAAGATCCCGGTTGCACCGTCGTCGTCCCTGGGGTACAATTGCCGTGGACATTCCAGTGGCGCGCTCAACAGAGCCCCTCCGCCAGCTCGAGTGACGTGTGCCTATTCAGCATATGTCCCAGCAGAAGTCACTCTGCATATCGGTAACGCACAGCTGGTGCCATGCTGCCCATCGACTATTCTGCTGTAGGCCGGCTTTCGCCTGTCCATGCTGTTCGAGGCCTTGGCCGAGTCTTTGGAGAGTTCGAATCTTGAAGTCGCCAATGCTGAAGCAGCGAAGCACGAAAGAAAGATTGTCGCGCACGGCGCCTCAACTTGAGCCGTTCTGGTTCGATTTCTGCTGCCAGACACAGGAAGGGGGGTGGGAACGACGCGGCGGTGTTTCAAAAGGAGCCAGCCTGCAGCGCGCGGTCCAGCCTCGGCAGTGGGGACAGCGATGCAAATATTCTGAATAAGCTTTAACCAGCGAGACAGGTGCCAAGCCCAAAACCCGCGCGCGCAGCTGGTCGCATTCCGTTCGATTGGAACCGCGTTCCAGTGGAGAGGATCCTAGCCGAACTTGGAAATATTTCTGGTACATCGTCGTCGCTTGCGGCAATTTGAGCACGATCCCCCTCCACCGGTCTCAAGCGAGGCAGCAAGCAACAAGGCGGCCGTGTGTGAGAATGTGCGCAAAAAGTTTCGTGCGCGCTCGATCACCGCGTACCAGTGAATCGGGAATGCGAGGAGGCGGCAGCTAGCCAAGTTGACCCGACTCTGGATTTTGTGTTGCTCGCTCCGCTGACAGTTAGTTTGGCACCACGTCCCTCGTCGATGCCAGGTGTTGACTGACGGTAGGCTAGCAGACTTCAGCGAGTAAAGCGCAGCACCACCTCTTTCTCTTCATTGTCGTTCTCCTGAATAGTGCCTATGTGCCGGATGATGGCTCCATCACCGCCCTGTCGTCGCGGCTGTCATTTTCAAGCGGATCTCGTCCGCTGTCGTACCCCTGCATTGGAAGTCGGAACGGCTGGCATGAGGGAAGGAGAGGGCCGCAACACGCACCCGGTGCAAGGCGTCGAGACTCGTCACGGCATATGCGTATAGTATAGACGAAGCTCCTCGACCAAGTCAAAACCGCACCGGTGAGACGCTTAAGCGGTCGATTCACGCTTCGACTCGTGCGATCTGCATATCCGGAAGCTTTGGCTTCCTTGTGCCAGCCAACATGAACGGAGCCTGACGGCGACATTTGAAAGACGTGTCTCACCTGTTCTTGCACGTTGCTCATGCCGCAACACGCGCAACACGTGAAGTAGAACAGCATCTCGTTCGTTTGGGCGGCAACGATTGAAACGCAAACAACATCTTGTTGCTCGTGTAGTCCTGCGTCAGCACGAGTGCCAGCTTCAGCCGCAACAGCGACAACCAACACGTCACGAGTGACTTTCCGAGCTGACTCGTCAGCTCTGGCTCGATCGTTTCAGCTGCGCTAGCCGAACTCAACCAACAACGCGAGGCGAGGCGAGCCGAGCTGAAACAGGGATCTTGAACCAGCGACGATCCGCTGTCATCCCTCCGTCTTGGATGATCTCGCTGACATCGTCTCGAGCGCCTAATGCCGAGGTGATAGCCGTCGTCAACAAGGCACTCCTGGGTACGACAACACATGTGCACAATGTGGCTTGCGGCCTTCGAAGAGAGCGACGACGAAACGACAGGAATGGGTCGTCAGCCCAGCGTCCGCGAGTGCGCCATACTCTGAGTATGTCCAATTTCAAATACTTTTCTTTCTTTTCTTTTTATCTTTCGTTTTACACTTGTTTTCCTGAACCAAGCTCGCAAACCGTTAGTTTGGCAAGATTCTTAGCCGTCAATCTCCTCTCGAATGCCTCCCCTTACATCCTGGCGCTCTTGGCGAGGTCGTGTCTCTGAACCCATCCGGCTGGAACACGTCGAAAGCACAAAGTCAACTTACCTCGAGGTGACGTTTCCCCTCGACCCTCTCAATGTACATCGGCTTGCAGGCTTCCTCCCTTTCCGTCCAACCCGGTGCAGCCACCACGACATGCACGCTCCTTTCAGCAGTTGCTTCTGCAGCGTTGTCGCATTCCTCCAGCGCGGACTCAACTCAAAATTCAGGTGCGATCGTGACCTCCCATTACGTCGTTCATCGTTCGTCCTTCGTTGGTCGCTGACCTCGATGTCCATCTCCACAAATGTCTCAGCTCACTCCCTTTCGATGTGTCAATTTGGTCCTATCGTGCTATGGAGCTCGCCTACATCGTCTTGGACAAGGGCGTGGTGTGACCGTTGTTGTTCTGACATATCAAAGCATGTCGATCCTGCTCTATTGTTCGCCAGCGCCTGTCGTGTCTCAATTTCAAGTCCGATCCGACTCGGCTCGGCACCGGCCAGATCGGTCCCACGCCTACACACCAACACATACTTCGATTTTTCGAGATCCAAAGAGAGAGCGAAGAAACGTTCGGGACTATTTTCCTCGGTTTTTCCGCTGACTGCTGACTGCTGCCCACCTGCAAAGAGAGGCGTTTGTCATTCTTAGCTTTCTGGACACGCGCCGATACGCCCGGCCGACCGGAATGACCGCTTGGCAGCGTGTCTCACCCGTCGAATGACATTTAGCTACATTTCTAATTTCTTTTTGGCTTTTATGTTTTTTTTTTCTGAGCGGGGGCGCCTGTCTTTTCTGCCTCAACACGCCTCTGCCCTGCCGTCAGATACCGGTCACTTGTGGCATGCAGCCTTCTGCAGCTGCATCTCCAACTCTTCGGATGGTGAGTCGTCTGCACAGGGCGCTGATTGTGCAGGTCACTCTGATGCTGTTGCTGCTTCTAGGGTCGATTGAGACCTGCTGCAACCGATGCTGGTCATTGCTGCAGCCGCTGATTGACTCTCTCAGATTCCCTTCCGTTCCGCTTCCTCTTTCTTGCCGCTCTCGGGAACTCCGAAGTGCCTCTAGACAGTCTGTCTCCTCTGGTGACTACACCCATATCTTTTGGTTGTGTGGCGCCGGTCGCTCTTCCCCTCTCTCTCGCCTCATTCACTCTCCACCCTTCGCTTGACTCTCAGTCATCCTCCCGAGCCTCTGCCTAAGAGCTTCTCCGCACGCGCCTCTGACCGACTCGTAACCCTTACGCAGCTGCTCCCAACTCCTCTCGCCAAACCTTGGGTGCTCTGCTGCAGAAGCGCTGCAACTTTGCTTAGCCGCCAAACACCTTAAGTCGGCGCGACCGAGGCATTCGACTTCATCGCCTCTTGCAAAACCAGGGACACGCCCTCGATTGTTGATCCCTCTTCCTTCACGACCACCTCCTTCTCATCCACACGATCGAATCGATACACTCCGTTTTGGTATCGACTCGCCATCTCTACTCTTCATCCTTCTTTTTCTTCTCCAGCCTCCTCTTCGTCACTCAACGCAGGCCCTCGGAGTTCTACCGGACTTGACCTAAGCTCACCAACAGGATCCTCGTCGATCGGCTTATCGCGTTCGGAAAGGCCCGCCAAACTTCGACTCGTCAACCCGTTGCACTGACTCGGCGTCAGCAGGCATCTGCAAAGCTCGTTCACCAGCTCCACCCTTCGACATTTCGTCCGACTTGCTGCCCGTAAAGCCTTCGTTTCGTATCCGAGCCGGATCAAGTCACTTTGGCAACCTGCCTCCCCCGCGATCACTTTCAGCGCCTGCGTGTCCACGACTTAATCAGCGTCGACTTCTGTTTGGCATAGTTCACCACAGAGGTCGTGCATTGGCATTCTAATTCTCCAAATTCGTAAGTACAAGTCCCAATCTTGACGCGCATCCCTCCCCTCTTTCTCATCCTTGGCCTGCTGCATGCGTGATCCTTGCTTCTGGGAGGTCATGCGTTGGAATGCGGCGCACCGACGTCCCTCGTGTCAAGGCGGACGAGCATCATCAACGCCACTCTTGAGCGCCACTCCCAAGTGTGCGTTCCACCGGCTGCTTCAGCCGGGAGCCGGGAAGCGGACGCCTCTGATTGCCTGCACAGAAGCAGACAAATCTAGTTTCGAGATGAAACCTTGTCACAACTGCGCAACGTTCCTTGTCATTTCATCCGCACCCTACCTTGGCAACAGAATTCGCCGGCGCGCGCCCGTATCTCGTGGCGCAGTGCATATGCACAGTGTCAGCGGCGTCACAAGCATCAAAGACACATTGCATATATGTCCTCTGCCTCGTGATGGCCGAGCTTGGCCTCCGCCCGAGGCGAGGCTCGCTATTCCTTTGTTGGCTCTGATTCATCCACACAGCAATGCTGCAGCCTGACTCCGAGTCCCGGGTCCCCTTGCCGATCATGGAATCGCAAGCTTCTCATTCTCAAAGCCACCGCTAGAACGTCATGCGCTTCGGCTGTTTCGCTTGTGGTAGAGAAATTGTCCACTGACATGCTTCTACTTTGCTTTGCTTTGCTCTGCTGTCTCACCTACTCTGGCTCGTGATGCGCCATCGTAACCGTTACCTCTCCATCATCCGTCATCCTTCCCATGCATCGACTTTGGCCATCATGGCGCTCGATCCCTTTGCAACGATCCCGTTGCTCGCATCTGATGCCATGCCTTGATGCTGTTGATGTCTAACGCTATTTCATTTGCCTTAGCAGGCCATTGTAGCGCTGCTTACAACACGACTGGCTCGACGCAGCCCACTTTGGAACGGTGCCGTTCTCTAGACGGATAGAGACGGTTCATTTCGTCTCTCGGAGCTTTTCAAATCACCCACTTGGCTAGAACCTGCGTCTACACCCTTTCTAACCTTGCTCGTTGACCGATCGGTCAACCCTGTTCCCACCCGCCCAACGCAACGAAGCCCCGCAGCGCCAACGGCGGCTAAACGATCCCAAGAAGATCGTCCAACAACCAGCTTCATTGCTGCATTCCCAGTCACGTTAATCGATAGCCGCTCTCCTTCGGCTCGACCTGTTTGCATCTGTGCGCTGCTCAAGGCTATCAGGCTCGGCTTACGCCGGATACGCTGTCTCGTTTCACCGCCGCCATTGTGCGCTTTTACCGGGAACAAGTTCATATCTCCGCCGCGGGTCTCCTTGACTTCGGTGTCAAGACACGCTGCCTCAAGCTCTAAACCGGCGCCGTCTCGGTCCTCCGTCTAGCTGAACAGCCTAAGGTACCCCATTTTTGTTCGCCGATCTGGGACATCATTAAAAAGACTGACTTCTCTCAAGCGGTCTTGCAGCGCTTTGGATCAGCAGCGCGCCCTCTCAGATCCTTCCGGTACCGCCCCCTAGGCTCCAAGAACAGCAACGCGGCACCTCTCCCTTGACATAAAAGAAGAAGACCCCGCGTTCAATTTCAACTTCGTTGCGACACTCAGTCCGGCACACAACCTGCCGCTCCGAGTGTACCGTCTTCCCGCTGCCGTCAAGCAGCACCAACAAACTCCCTCTCCTGCCATCTACGCATCATCTGCCAATGGCCGTTGCATATCGTCACGACGGAGTCGGCCAGTACGGCCTCGGTCAGCATCACCCCGGAATGGCGCCACTGTCTTCCTTCAACTCGTTCGGCTACGATCGCAGGCCAAAGATGGAAGATCCAGCCGAGCCGATGTGGCCGGTCAGCCGCCTCCAGTACCAGCCGCAGCAAGGAAGCGCGCCCGACAGGTCCAGAGACTCGGGCGCGTTCTCCCACGGCTTTCCACAGCCTGATGCTGTCCGCCAGCAAGGTCATCCAGCCAACTATACGTACGAGGGCTCCTCGTCTGCGCTGCGCAACCCCATCGTATACAGCCAACCTGCCCAACAGCCTTGGGGCATGGGCGCAAGCTCTTCGGCCGACTACGCCGAGTATCCTACTGCTTCTTTCATGACGCCGACGGGTCAGCGATCCCAACCGCCTATGAACGGTCAGGGGCCTTACCTCGGCAATGTCAACGCCGGATATGGCGAATCGTCCCTCGCCTCTGGCAGCGATCCGTATCCCAAGGTCATGAGCGGCTCCTACGATCCACCTGCAGAGACGTTGTGGCCTCTCGGCCCCAACTCGCTCGATGCCTTTGCCGGCATGCCTGCGCCCACCGGTCAAGTTGCACGCCTCACGCTAACGTCGGCTGCGGACAAGAACAGGTTCAAGGCCAGATCGTCGCTCCCGCCTCCCAAGCAATTCAAATGCTCTGCGTGCGACGCGATCTTCAGTCGCAACCACGATCTCAAGCGTCACGCACGCATCCACTTGGCGGTCAAGCCCTTCCCTTGCGGCTACTGCGACAAGGCCTTCAGCCGCAAGGACGCTCTCAAGCGACACGTCCTGGTCAAAGGCTGCGGCATCGGCAACAAGAAGTCAAGCGACAACCGCAAGCGCGCTGCGACCTTGTCCAAGCTCGAGAACAGCGAGAGCGGGAGCAACAGCCGAGCGCCGTATGACGGTGCTCCCTCGCGCGACTTTGGCCACTTTCGCAATGATCTGCAATATCAAGATGGGCAGCAACAGGGATTTCAGAGCGAGCCCGGCAGCTCGCGCAGCTTCCCTGGTCGAATGGATGCGGCGTGGCCATCGACCATGTCGGACGGTTCGAACCCGGGCATGAATGCTGAGTACGCCTCGTCGCGTGGGGCCAACAACGACGAGCGCGCACAAGCACCGCATGGGCTGCAGATGAGCTCACAGGCTGGACTCGTTCCTTCGTACGGCTCGCAACACCAGTCTCACCCGTACCCGAACTTTGGCATGAGTGGTGACGATGGCCTTCAACAGCAGCAGCAGCGAACGCAGCTGGCCGGCGGCCTTGTGAACGCGTTCCCGTCACCTGCAACTACGTCTACCGCGTCGCCTACTGACGTGCATGCAAAAACTGGGCTGGCAGGCAACGCAGGTGCGCCCGGCAGCAGCGACGGACTGGAGCACAAGCTGGAAGCCAGACCCGTATCGCGACCTGGAAGTGGCAAGCTTCCGCACGCCGCAGCTTACAATGCGCAGCCATTCCCCGTCGCCGGTAGCGGAGACAGCGGAGCAATGAACGCTCCAGGCTTGGCTGCTGGCGGCTACTCGATGGCGACCGTGTTGTCGCCCTCGATGGGAGGTGGCGATCTGGACGCTGGCAACGCTCACTCGATGAAGAGGCAACAACAGCAGCAGCAGCAGCAGCAGTTTGGATCGTACTACCCCGACAGCGCCGCAAACTAAGTTGTCCAGCTTGCTCAGCTCACAGCAGATACACATATACGCAAGCATACATCCACCCAGACCTCAGCATCGCACGCGCACACAGGGAAAGCGTATGCTCGTCCTTTTCCCTTTCTCCAGCGCAACTCTTCCTTCTCTCGATACCATGTCCCCTCTGTCTTATCAGAATCGCCTGTAATACTCGTGTAAGCGATGGACATCGATTCCGTTTTGGCCCGCATCTCGCATTTTCGCTTTCGCACTTGTCGAAGTACGTCCGACAAACGTTTTCCCCGCCGGCAATGATTGACGTGTTACCTGGCAGGCTAAGCTCACATATGTACGCCTACCCACACATACCCCCTCTCCCGTCTGAATTGCATTGTTTCGCGCTGTCTTGTGCTCGGTGTGTGTTTAGCGAGACAACGATGGAGTGGTGGTGGTGATTCGTCGAGGGAGGTGACGTGCTGGCGCTACAATCTATATATAAACGCAATCTCAGGGCGTGACAGCACGTGGTTTCTTGGCGCAGTTGGTTAGCGCGTCTCCTTAACAATTCTGGTCAGTTCAGATCGTTAGGGCTTACGGAGGAGGTCGCCGGTTCGAACCCGGCAGAAATCATTCTTCTTTTTATGTTCGACCCTCGTGGTGTGTCTCTTTTTTTTTGCCCTGCCAGATACCGAAGGCTCTTTGCTGATTTCTTCGATTCGAGAGGCTGGCCTTCCATGCTGTTTTGTATGAGGTCTCGGATGGGCGACGGCACAGGTAAGATTTTTCGGAAAGGTGGTTTTGCAAGGTCTAACGGTACAATCACAAAAGAAAGAAAAAAAGAAAAAAAAATGCAAACGATAGGACGAACCAAAAAGAAAAAAAATGACCAGCCTGGGGCTCGAACCCAGAATCTCCTGATTGTCAAGGTCCGAAGGGACTTCGTAGTCAGACGCCTTACCATTGGGCCAACCGGCCGGATTCATATGTGAGCGCGCCAGCATCGCAGAAATATACCATTTATCCCAAAAATCTCGAAAGTGAAGATGATTCGTCTGACCACCACCCAAGAGAGTGCAGGTACCATCTCCCTTGTTGGAGCGGCAGTGCATCAGCAACGTTTCACGGTCTTCGATATTTCCTGAGCTGGATTGCAGCGATCGAGATGCACATAGGCTCCACAGCGAGCCTTTGTCAATTGCAACCAGGCAAGCCCATCCTCACAATCAAGGTTACACCTTCAAACACTTGCACTCTCGTCAATACCGTCTGTTGCGCCATCAGAAAGAACTAAGTGCCTTGGCTTTTGGAGAAAATTCAAGAGAACGACTATACCTGCGCATCAGCAGCTTGGAACAAGAAGCTAAGCCATTAAGCGTCCGAGATCTTCTTGAGGATGGCCTCTTCGCACTGGGTGGTGGTAGCCGAGCCGCCGAGGTCAGGGGTGAGGTATTTGCCTTCGCGAATGACTTGGTCTACGGCGGTGTAGATCTTGAGTGCGGGTTCTGTGTAGCCCATATATTCGAGCATGAGCGCGGCCGAACGGATGGAAGCGATCGGGTTGGCTTTGCCTTGACCTGCGATGTCCGGTGCTGATCCGTGGACCGGTTCACCCTGCAATGTTCAAACCGAGGATAGGAGTCAGTACAAAGGTCTGGAGATGCAAGGAATGTCAGAGGAGGGGGTTGAGAAGAACTGACCATGAAGAAGTTGTCACCAGCATTCACCGAAGGTACGAGACCCAACGATCCCACCAAAGCAGCAGCAGCATCCGAAACGATATCACCGTACAGGTTGGGCGCAACGACAACGTCGAACACCTCAGGCTCACGGAAGAGACGGTAGACCATAGAATCGACGAGCTGCTCGTTGAGCTTGACACCCTCGTATCGACCAGCACCGCCGTTGGACTTTTGATCCTGCTCGTACACACCGCGGACGGAGGTACGGAAGAGGCCGTCGGTGACTGAGAGCACGTTGGACTTGTGGCAGATGGTGACGGTGGGGGTGTAGGAGGGCTGCGTGGTCTTGCGCAGTTCCTTGCGTGCGATGGCGACTTCGAAGGCCTTTTTGCCAATGCGGGTAGAAGCTTTTTCGGTGATCTGTCGGATGGCTCGAGAGATTTGGCCGTCGGGACCGGATTCACTCGTCTCAGATTTGATGTACTGTTGTCACAGAACACGGCCGGCATTTGAGCGGATAGCATGAAGCAGTCAGAGTTTTACAGTCAGTACCTGACACCGCTCACAAAGCATCAAATCTTCGCGACGTTGTTCAACTGCAAGAGCAGTGACCAGGCGTCTAAATCCACTACTTACCAAGCACTCGGTGTTCTCGCGAATGATGACACTGTCGATGAACTTCTCATCGTCCTTGGTACCCCTGACACCAACGACAGGTCGAATGTTGGCGTACAAGTCGAGCTCCTTCCTCAACTTGACGATGGGCGAGCTGTAACCCTCGACCTTGTGGGAAGGGCTCGAGACGGAACCGAACATGGCACCGTGGCAGTCACTCTTGAGCGCCTTGACCGTCTCCTCTGGCAGAGCCGAGCCGGTCTTTTGGAAGTGCTCGAATCCGGCGTCGAGATGGACGAACTCGAACTTGGGTGCACCGGGGGTGTTTTGAAGCACCCTCTGAGCACAGGGGAGCACTTCGCGTCCGATACCATCGGCAGGCATCATTCCGAGGCGCAGCACTCCCGAAGAGGCGTTCTTGAGGATCTTGGCGGCTGTGGACGTCATCGTTGCAGTCGTGTCGGCGAAAGAATTGGTGGTGGAAGGATCGAAGATGATGTGGTCAGGGTCGGCGGGGACAAGTGCGCAAGAACAAAAGTCGCGAGCGAGTCACGGCATTTTCCCGAACTCGCCCTTCTTCCAACGAGCTGTCAATGCATCGGCCCTGTTCGGGATTGGAGCTGTGGTCCAGGTTAATACATGAATGAATGCAATACTTGCTCGCCAAACATAATTGGCCGGTTGGCCCAATGGTAAGGCGTCTGACTACGAAGCAACCTCGGAGGTAAACACTGGGCAGTTGTGAGTTAATCAGGAGATTCTGGGTTCGAGCCCCAGGCTGGTCAATTTCTTTTTTATCTCGACTTCTTCTTTCTTGTACGGAAAGTATGTCCTCTTCTTTTTTAGAACCCATCAACTGAGAAGATCTGTAGAGGCGCACAGTCATCCCGCTCATGAACCTCAAAACGAACAACATTCAGACAAACTAGCATGAAGAACTTGAATGCAATTACGTGTTGCGCAGGAGGGTGTACCGGCTAGATGATTAATATGTACAAAGCAAAGACAAAGTCGCTATTGAGTGTTCTGCACGCAGCAATTACTTTCGAATCGCGTAGGCAGTGTCGCGATCCGATCCACCCTGACCCTTCTCGCTGAGACCGAGGCCGTATCGGCGCAGACGGATAGCCTGGACCGTGATGAAGCCGCTGGTGGCGGCCGAGTCGAATCCACCCTGCTCGTCCATCGAGGTAAACTTCTCGTCGTACAGCAGCTCCTCGGAGCTTCGGCCCTCGACAATGACGTTGCCCTTGTACAGGGCCAGCTTGACCTGACCGTTGACCGTCTTTTGCGACTGAGGAATGCACGATCGGACAAACTCGCATTCCGGCGAGAAGAAGAATCCGTAGTAGAGCTGTTCCGAAAACTTTTGGGTGATGACCTGGTCGCGGATTCGACGAACTTCACGGTCGAGGGTGAGACCTTCGAGGTCCAAGTGCGCAGCACGCAGGATGGTGGCACCGGGCGACTCGTAGCATCCGCGAGACTTGACACCGATGAATCGGTTCTCGACAATGTCGATACGGCCGATACCGTTGGCGCGGGCGAGAGCGTTGAGCGTGAGGAAGACGTCGACGGGGTCGGTGTGCTCCTTACCCGAGGAGAGGACCTTGACCTTGGACGGGACACCCTGCTTGAACTCGATCACGATACGCTCGGGGGTGTCGGGGGCAGACTCGGGGCTCTTGGTGAGCTTCCACATGTCAGCGGGGGGCGTGGTGTTGGGGTCCTCGAGGATACCGGCCTCGTACGAGATGTGGAACAGGTTCTCATCGGTCGACCAGGGCTTAGCCTTGGTCTGGGTGACAGGAATGCCCTTGGACTCGGCATACTCGAGCAGCGCAGAGCGACCAGCGAAGCGGTTGAAGAACTCGGGGATTCGCCATGGAGCGATGACCTTGATGTCGGGCTTGAGGCCGTAGAAGGCGAGCTCGAAACGGACCTGGTCGTTACCCTTACCAGTACAACCGTGAGAGACGTACTGGCAGCCGGTCTTTTCGGCTGCCTCGATCATGCCACGAGCAATGACGGGACGAGCGAGCGAGGTACCCAGGAGGTAGACATCCTCGTAGATGGCGTTGGCCTGCACGGCGGGGAAGATGAGCTCCTCGATGAACTCACGCTTGAGGTCGGCGAGGATAAAGTCCTTGGCACCGCACTTGAGTGCCTTGGAGCGGGCAGCCTCAAAGTCCTCCTCCTGGCCGACATCGGCCATGAAGGCAATAACATCGTAGCCCTCGTCGATGAGCCATGCGAGGATGGTGGACGTGTCTGTGATGAAGGAGCGCGCGCAGTAACAGCATCAGAGGAGTAGTAGTGTCGTCGACGATAGCGAGAGGCGTGCGAACAGCGTGTTTATGCCGAGCATGGTGATCGGTCGACCCAAATCAGGGTGCGTTCGGGAAGAATTGATGGACCACCAGAATTTGTGGTTGCGGCACAGGAAGCAGGGCGACGAGAAAAATTCAGAATCCAAAAAAGCGGATTTGGGAGAGGAAAAAAATTTCGAGTCACCCGATTGGTTGGAAAGGGAAAGAGGTGGACATGACAAGTCCATATACGTCAGAGATGGAGGCAGCAATGGTCAGCGACGGTGTCCACGAGCTTTCAGAATGCGGCGTCACCTGCGGAAGCACAATCAGCAGCTGTCCAACATGGCCCGAACCCCGCAAGGGGCAGCGGAAGCAGGAAGAGTGACAGCTGCAACTGGAGGCACAGCCGCTTTCCGGATTGTTTCCCGGACTACTTACCGAGTCCACCAGAGTAGGCCAAAAGCACCTTTCCGGTCTGTCCAGGCATCTTGTGCGGTGTGAATTCGCTGGCACGAGTCGTAAAGAGTAGTTTGAAGCTCCTGAGAGAAGATGTGAGGGATGGAAGTGCGACCTTGTATCGAGTCGAGTGAGTGTGCAAGCGTTGGTTGATGGTGGAGTTGGAAGAAAGCGAAAGCGCACAAGAAGGTCGACTGATAAGGCTCTCTCTGTCCCGCACTCACTCTCTGCACAGGCCAGCAGTCCCAAATCCGAGCAGACGCGATTTCTCTCGTTCCCGTTCAATTAGCCAGACTTCAATTCTCTGACTCTGACTCGGTTTTCCAAGAATTTTTTTCTCGCTTAGTGGTTGGCTCGCAGTGCAGATCTTCTCGGACAAGAAGAACTGGCCAGCTTGGAGGGAGGCTTGCAAACAGAACTCGTTTGCGGCGTGGCAAGGTGTGGCATGCCCATCCGCCCATTGTCCGCATCCAGCTGATTGCTTCTGCCGTAAGGATCGACGTATCGCATCTCGAGAACCGTTCGGAAGTAGTGGCTGCAATGTATCTGACTGCACAGCGCATGTCGACCCTTGCAGGGTCAGCGAGCCGACCTAGCCCTACATTGTGACAATGGTCGATCATCCAGCTCGCTTTCTTGTACGTCGTCGTCGATGTCAGTTCCGAGAGGCACTTGTCGAATACTTGTGGGGCTTGGATCTCATCATTCAACTCACTGCCACGGGCCTTCCTAGCAGCGATGAGCAACTAAAAAAAGGCAAAAAAGATGATTTCTGCCGGGTTCGAACCGGCGACCTCCTCCGTAAGCCCTAACGATCTGAACTGACCAGAATTGTTAAGGAGACGCGCTAACCAACTGCGCCAAGAAACCGCTTGTCGGGAGGACGGAAATGTTGTATACATGTAACAATTCAAGGAGCTTGATAACTTCAATATGTTCATCATGCTTTGACGGAGGAAATGTCTCAAACTCAAGTGCTCTCATGTACAGCCAAGGCGACGAGATTGTCTCCTCGACTAGTCGATACGCATGGACTATTGCAACTCTGAAGCTGAATATGGGGTCATTGGGTTTCGATTGGCAGTTTAAAGCAGGATAGGCATAGCACTTACAGCCTAGCGACCTCGGCCGCAAGTCACTTTTCGGAAAGCTCCTTGACACCGGGCAGCGTCTTGCCTTCCAGAAGCTCCAGCGAGGCACCACCGCCGGTCGAGCAGTGCGAGATGCCCTCCTCAGCTCCGTACTTGGCCACCACGGTGGCCGTGTCACCACCACCGACGATCACAGTCGAGCCGTTCTTCTCGGCCTCGAGGCAGGCGTCGAGCATGGCCTTGGAGCCGCCGGCAAAGTTGTCGAATTCAAACACACCGGCAGGACCGTTCCACAGGATGGTCTTGGCCTTGACGATGGTCTCGCGGAACTTCTTGCGCGACTCCTCGCCGGCATCGAGACCCATCCACTCATCGGGGATGCCCTCTTCGTCGGTGGCAGAGCCGGTCTTGGCGTTCTTGTCGAACTTGTCGGCGGTGATGTAGTCGACGGGGAAGACGAGCTCGACGTTGTTCTTCTTGGCCTTCTCGACGAGCTCGGCGACCTTGTGCGAACCAGCCTCGTCGAAGAGCGAAGTGCCGATCTTGACGTTGTTGAGCGTCTTCTTGAAGGTGAAGGCCATACCACCGCAGATGATGAGCGAGTTGACCTTGTCGAGCATGTTGTCGATGAGCTGGATCTTGTCCGAGACCTTGGCACCACCGAGGATGGCAAGGAAGGGACGCTCGGGGCTCTCGAGCGCCTTGGCAAAGAACTCGAGCTCCTTCTTCATGAGGAAACCAGCAGCACGCTGGGGCAGCTTGACGCCTACCATGGACGAGTGAGCACGGTGAGCGGTACCGAAGGCGTCGTTGATGTAGACGTCACCGAGCTTGGTGAGGCTGGCACGGAACTCTTCGACCTTCTTGGGGTCAGCCTTGACCTTCTCGCCGGCCTCGTTGGTGCCCTTGCCCTCCTCTTCGACGTGGTATCGAAGGTTCTCGAGCAGGAAGATCTTGCCGCCGGTAGCGGCCTCGACGGCCTTTTCGGTCTCGGGGCCAACGCAGTCGGGAAGGAATTCGACGTCCTTGTTGAGCAGCTTGGAAACCTCGGCAGCGACAGGCTTGAGCGAGTACTTGGGGACGGCCTTGCCATCGGGGCGGCCCATGTGCGACATGAGCACGACCGCCTTTGCGTTCTGCTCGATGGCATACTTGACGGTAGGGAGGGCAGCGACGATACGCTGATTGTTGGTGATCGTGTCGCCGTCCATGGGGACGTTGAAGTCGACACGGATCAGGACCTTCTTGTCCTTGAGATCGACATCAGTGATACCCAGCTTGCTAGAAAGAGACATTTTTGGCCAAGTGTAGGCGGGAATAGAAGATTTGCGGAGAGTGAGTGTAAGGTACGAAGGGAAGAGCAAGAAGATCACGGAGGGATGGTTGAAACGTGTGCGCACGGCTGTTAACGGTTAGAGCGAGAGCGGACACGGCTCGGATGCGGAAAGATGCGGTCGTTGGCACCGTGAAAAAGCGGTCAAAGCGAGAAGCTGGAAAGTGGAGCAAAGTGACACTCAACCCCCGATTCGCTTACATTTCCTTCTCACTTTTGCTGCATCATCTTTATCGATTGAAAAGGAAAAGAGGTGCTGTAAAACCTTCCCATTTTCGTCTCTTTGGCTTTGTTGGGTCGTGCCTACACGAAATCTCTGTCCGATCCAACGCAGATCGGGCGAGTCTCCGGAAGTCGGCCATCAACCGCGAAGGTCTCGAGATTTTTTCTCGAGAGAGACCATCTTCTCAGACCAACACGAGGAACAGTGCTTCTACACTTCACAGTTCAACGTTCTTTCTCGCAGCGAGGTTGCAGCCCATCATGTCAGACCCATCGCAGCAGCCTTCGGGCTCATCGTCCGCCGGGCAGGATGCCACGTCCTCAGGTCGACCTGCGCAGCCCGCACGACCCCTTCGAGGCGCAGCTTCTCTTCGCGGCGCAGCATCTTTACGAGGAACACCCGGCCGAGGAGCTTCCACCTCCTCGAGCGCATCCATGGTTCCATCTCGTTCATCCTATGCATCTTCTGGAAGCGCTGCGGGCTCTGCTGGACCAGGCTCCGGTGTTCGCATGCAGTTTCGTCCCGTCATGCCACAGCGTCGCAAGGCTTCCGAATCGCCCGCACCCACCTCGTCCAACACAGTCGAATCATCCACGGCCTCTCCCCTCTCCGTTCCATCCAGCTCGACGTCTAGTCGCGGTGGTAGAGGTCGAGGTCGAGGTGGTGCACGTCCACCACGTCAGCAGACTCAGATGACGGCCTCGGGTCCCTTTGCGCTCGGCCCTTCTGCTCGCTCCACCGCAAAGAAGGTCGCTCCCATCGGACCTGGCGGTTCAAGTCTAACTGCAGCAGAGAGCGTCGACTCGAGTCGTAGCAACACCCCCAAGGCCGATCCCGATCGTGCATCTTACCGCAACCCGGACAAACTCAAGGATGCAGAGCAGTACTCGGATCCAGAGGATGGTGGGGTCGAGATTGTCGACCTCGACGAGGTGCATGTTCTCGACGAGCTCGCACCGCGTGCGCTCCCTCGTGTCGCAGAAAAAGAGAGCAAGAAGGACAAGCAAAAAGCAGCAGATGCTCGACAGAAGAAAATGGACGGCCGTATCCGCAAGGACGATCGCGATGCTAAGGGCGCTATTCGAGTGAAATCCGAAGACCCCGACGACATGATGATCGACCTAGATCCCACTGCGTCGTCGACCTTGAACGGTACTTCCACCGCCATCTCAAGCGCATCACCAACACCGCAACCTGCTGACACGTCGAGGATCAATACCGCCGACGCGCTCGATCTGTCCGAAAGCGAAGGCGAAGAGCTCATGGATGACCTTGTCGACGACTTTGTTTTCCACGATCAAGATGATATCGGTCCCGAAAACCTTCTCTACCTGTTTCAGTTCCCGCAGCTGTTTCCGAAGTTCAAGGCGCCGAAGGAAGTCAAAGGTACCGCAAAAGCTGCAGCAGCTTCTGCTTCCGAGACAGCGGCCAAACGGCGCAGTGTGTCTTTCGCAGCGGGAACCACTGGCGGTGCCGGTCAGGCTGGCAAAGACGACCTTCCCAGCAGCTCCGAGATCGACTCTGACGACTCTTCCGGTGTAGACTCGGACACGGAGGACAAGAAAGACTCGAAACTCTTTTCCTCCACTTCCTTCTCCGCAGAAGGTCTCGTCGGCAAGCTGAACGTATACCGCGATGGACGAGTTTTCCTTCGATTCGGCGACGACCTAGTCATGGAAGTCACCGGTGGATCTCAGAGCACCTTCCTGCAGCAAGTCATGCTGTTGGATCCCTCAAATCGTACGGCGACAAGCCTGGGTGAACTGCACAGGAAGTTTATCGTCAGCCCCGAAATCGACTGCATGTTGAATGACATCAGTCTGCACGATGCGAAACAGAGGGAGAAGGAGGATGCAAGGAGAAAGAGGGAGGAGGAGAAGGCCGAGGCTGATAGATTGAAGTACGGCGGTGGAGTCGGGAGCGGGTTCGGTGGTCTAGGCGGGAGGTAGTTTGCCCGAATCAAAAGTGCCCGTCGCACACCCATTCCTGAACCTCTTACATCCGCATGTGTCTGAAGCGTGATCACAAACTGGCATAGCTAGTCGAATTTTGAATTGCGATCAGTCAACTGCGCTATAGCATCACTCGGAATCCTCGTCGTCATCGTCATCATCATCGTCGTCCTCATCACTGCTCTCCTGACTCTCCAAGATGTACCGAATCACCTCTTCAGCCGCTTTCCTGAGCTGTCCGTTCTTCTCTCCGCCCACCTCTTCGCCGCTCTCTCGACTCAACGGGCTCTTCCACCATCCAATGATGTTCTCCTCGCTGATGATATCGTCGTTGTAAAACTTTTTCAAGAGCGGCAAGAAGATCTTGTAATACCCTTCGTTGAGCGCACAGAAGTGCTGCACCGTTGCGAGAGCTTCGATTTGATCGTCCACCGCGACTACGGAGATGAGGGGACACCATTTGTCGAGCACCTTGAGCATCTGTTTGGGTTGTTCGGGATCGCATTTCTGCAGGATGAAGCCGATGACGGTTCTGCGCACTTCCTTGAGTGGAACGTTGGATGCCATGCGGAGAGTCTTGAGCTCGATAGCTGCATCGTCGACCGTGTGATTCTCTTCAAAGGCTCGTTCGAGCGATGCAGTCGCTTCGGAGCGGAACTCGTCGAGTCGCTTGACTGCTGCTTGCTTCTCGACGTTGGTCTCGCCTCCGTCGAGCATCATTGAATCGCCGAGCAGGTCATCGTCGTCGGAAGACATGGTGCCGTCCGAGCCTGACACCAAGTCGTCCTCGTCCTCGTCGGCATCGGAATCGCCTCCGACACCGATGGATGACACATCCGATAGAGAATCGGCTATCTGCATCTCGTCCAGATTCGCACCCAGTCGCATGAGCCGCAAGTTGCGCGAGCGTTCGATCTCGTCGACTTCGTCTTCATCATCGTCATCGTCGGAAGCTTCCGAATCCATCGCTTCCTCGGGTTTGATGGGCTTGTCTCCCAATGCTGGCCAGACATAGCCGACACCTTGAGCACCGAGCTGCTTGGACGAAGCGTCTTTGGCGCCTGCAGCACCTGCATCTCGGTCACTGGCACGCAAAGAGTCGTCATCGCCGCCTTCGAGCTCGCTGTCGCTGTCAAAGTCGAACTCGGACTTGTACCTTTTGTTGGCAATCCTGCTGAAGGCGGCAAGCTCGACGTCGGGGCCCACGACACAGCCATCTGCGACGATGCAACCCTTGTTGATCTTGACTCCATCAAGAATCTTGACGTTGGCACCGAGGATGCTGCGTTCGATGGTGCAGCCGGCACCGATGGTGGTGTTGGCCCAAATGTAAGAACCAGAGACGCTGGAACGGCTGCCGACTTTGACAGAGGATCCGAGGACAGACTGGTGCAGCGAGGCCTTGTCGCCGATTTCGGACTGAGACCCGATGAGGGTATGTGTGCCGAGCTGGCAGGTTCGGCTGAGAACGACATTGTCTCCGACGAAGCGCAGACCGGAGCGAGAGCTGTATCGCTGTCCACCGGGAAGGTAGCCGGCAGGACCGAGTGGATACGTCCACTGTCCAATGACATCCTTTGTGATGGCGTCGTAGTCGGCGGGCGATTTGACGCGTGCTGCATAGCCGCGGCCGTAGAGCGAAGCGCCGACAGTCTGTGGAAAAGAAGAGCCAGCGATCTGAACTGCCGAGGCTGGCGGACCGGTAGGCGCAACATGAACGAAGATCTTGCTGTCCAGGAGATCTGATGTCAAGATTCCAAGCACAAAGTCGTGGCGAAGCGTCTGGTAGTCGAAATTTTCCGAGAAGAGCGGTGGTACATCTGCCGAGCAGATATCGATGCCGCAATCGACGAGATCGTTTCGAATATCCACCTCAGCACCGCGGGAGAGACTGTGGGTGGTGGCGGCAGCGTCTTCGTCGAACACTTCGAGCGGCAAGCTGGTTGATCTCATCCTGGGCGCTGCAGGCACGGGCGCATAGTGCACGAGCTGCGACGTGTGAGGCTCGACAAAGAAGAGCGCTAGGTTGCCTGGGGTGCGAATCCTGCTGCGCTTTCCGACGGGCATGGTGCAGATGGTCATGATGGCGTCCTTGTCCTTCTTTCTACGTCGCTTGTGCGCGTCGACGATGCTGGCGAGGTCCATATTTGCGACCGAGTCGGCATGGATGAGAATGAAATCGGAGCGAATGATCTGCTTGCTATCGAGCTCTCGCATCACATCCCCGAGCGATTGTGCATCAGGGGTGGCGATGACGGTGATCCTTGGGAGCGAATATCGGGCGGGCGAAGTTGCGAGATGCTTCTTGATCTGATCTGAATAGCGACTGGCAAGGATGAAAATCTCCTCGACTTCAGCCAGAGCCAGATTCTCAAGTGTCCAGTCGAGGAGCGGAACGTTGCATAGCGGCAGTAGACACGCTGGTCTGTCGGTAGTCAAAGGATCCAAACGTTTTGAAAAGGCGTCGGCAAGTACGACGGCTTGCAATGGCTCTCGCTGAAGGTCCTCTTCTCTGTTCTGCTGTGCTTTAGCTTTGGACGATGCAGCGCCTTTGCCGCCTGGCTTTGCTGCTGATGATGATTTTGGCGGCATTGCGGCACAGCTCAGCTGATGAGGATGGATGAGGTGGTGATGGTGGTGATGGGGTACACTCTGGAAGCACCGACCAACTAACACTTGTTCAAGAAAAGCTTACACGTGATTTCAAGATGAGGATTATTCTCACTCCACACTGCGATTTTGCGAGAGGGAAACTTTTTTTTTGGTCTTTTTTTTGGAAGAAATGCGCCAAAGTCATAGTTGGACCCTCGTGCGCTCTTGGTGACTTGCTGCAGGCACAGAGCAGCTCAGTCGACTGTCGGAAATGAAACCGATTGTTGTTCCGCTCATCAGCATCTTCATTTTCCTCTCTCTCTCTCTCCTCCATCACTCTCTCCAGCCTGCTCATCATGGCGCCAAGGAAGAAAGCGGCGCCGGCTGCTTCCGCGCCCATGAGCGCGCTCGCAGCTCGCAAGGCACGAGAGGAGGCGCAGGCAGCAAGAAGCGGCACCACGAGAGCTTCCGCTTCCGCCTCGGAGAATCTTCCAGCCGCTTCCACATCTCGCTCAGCTCCCAGTCACACGGAAGAAGGCGATGTCAGTATCGAGGTGGTGATTCCATTGCCATCCACATCCCAAGCAGCGGCTGCTTCGCGCTCCACTACCTCATCTTCCTCCATCGACAGAACGCCTTCCTCTGCTCTCAAGCGTCCGCGCAGATCGTCTCTTGTGCAGGATGGCTCATCCATCGCCGCCACAAGACCAAGGAGGAACTCGAGCGTGGCCAGCGTAGAGCCGCAATCCCAAGCTACGCTCAGCAGATCTACCAAGGGCAAAGTACCACAGGTCACTCCCAGTCGCAGCAGCGCCAACAAGCCGCCTTTAACCAAATCCACGCCCGTCTCTGCCAAGAAGAAGGCCAAGCATTCACGTAGTTCAATGGACGACCAAAGTGATCAAGACGATGAGCTGGATCGAGACATTGAAAAGATCGTTGCCGACTTTCACCGCGAGGCTTCCACCTCCGAATTCAAGTCATCCGAGCCGGAACAGCCACCGCCCAAGAAGCGAGCAAAACAGCCGACCGGCACACCTTATAAGCGCACTCCAACTGAACCTGCTCCAGCCGACAAGACAGCACCTCGCAAAACTTCCCGGAAAAAGACAGCTCTGAAGCAAGTGGAACTCCAAGAGCTGAGCGCCTCGACGACCAAGTCCGAGCAGCCGGTCAAGAGAAAGCTCACAGATGAGCAAAAGCGCCTCAGCATCTCAAGGCGTTATTTTGCCGCCGCTCAAAAACACACAGCGAAGGATCATGTCGGTACGTCGTCAATGCCAATCGAGGATCGAGCCACGGGATTCCTTGCATTCGGAGTAGACGATGATGAAGACGACGAACCCGTACAAGTCAATGGTGTTCAAGACGATGCTCAGAGCCAAGACCAAATCTCCGACGACTCCTCGGACGACGAGCAGCAGCAGGCTCAACAAGCTGCAAGCAACCCCGCTCCGGGTCTCATCAACGGAAGCAAGCATCGTGCAAATGGCAAAAGCAGGGGTCGTGAGACAAGGTCATCACACACAGCCACCAAAATCGTTCTTGACGACGACGATGATGATGATGATGAAGAACAAGACGACGAGGCCGGGACTGATAACGACGATGACGGAGCAGCTTCACCGAAACCCACAACACTAACTCGTGCTGCGCTATTGGATGCAGTTCCCTACTCCAACTTCACTCCTGTACTCGAAGGCGAGGCCAGGAACGCCATCGTCGTCGAGAACAAGCGCAAGCGAGGCAAGGAGGCGCTCTACTTCGGACTGCGTATCGGACAGACACTCGTCTTTCTTGGAGTCGGTCATGTCGAGGTCCTCCAAGGCGTTGCTCAGCTCGGAGGTGCCGTCATCTCTGCATCAGCACAGGGCCTTAAATCTGCCAACATCTTTGCACCCATCACCAACCCGCTTCCGGTTCTCAAGTCAACCTCAGCGTCGTCATATCCCGGCCACAACTTCGCATCAAGTAGCTCTCGTAGCAGCAGCAGCAACAGCGCCGACAACACCAGCGACACCAACATCGATACTCTGTTTGACGCTACATTCGACACAATCGTCAAAGTCACACCGCTCGCGTCTCCCATCACAGCTCTAGGTCAGGTCTGCCCGATCGGCGGCCTCGCCACGCCCTTCATTGCGCCTCCAAGTCTGGAGCTCAGCAACGAGGTCTATCAGCTCGCCGGAATCAAGGTGCTGTTTGCGCCCACCACTCAAGAGCTGGTGCAGAGACCGAGGGCCTTGCTTGGAGACGGCAGATTCTCCACGGTGGGCCTCAGCGCCACCTACATCCCTCACAAGTGGCAATTGGCCTTGCACCACCTCTCCAGATCAGCCATGTCTGCTGCCCAGCACCCTCAGGAGGAGTCCGTCGTGGCTCTCGTCCGAGGCAACAAGAAGGTCGGAAAGAGCACCTTGAGCCGCATGGCTCTTGAGAGGCTTTTGTCGATGGGCAAAGCGGTGGGTGGCCGAGTCGCATACCTCGAACTCGATCTTGGTCAGAGCGATTTCGGACCCCCGGGAATGGTCGCTCTGCATGTCTTGACTCTCACCGACAATAGCTGCGCCAAGGCAGCCCGAGAGGAAGTTGATCCAATCCACCGAATTGATTCGACGCGACAGGAAGCAAGTGAGACCGAGAACGCAGAAGCAGTAACAAGCAGCGACTTTTCAGATGGCGCTCACAGCTCCATCACGCTTGGTCCTGGTTGGTGTCAGCCGCGTGTGCCGGCGCGCGCCCACTTTGTCGGCGACGTCTCGCCGCGCGATGATCCAGAGAGCTATGTTGCCGCAGTGCTCGACTTGATCGAATACTTTCGGGCACAGGTCCAGCCCGGTGATCCCAACGAGGACGGCGTGTCGCAGCGCGTGCCGCTCGTCATCAACACGCAGGGCTGGATCAAGGGTTTGGGAGCTGATCTCGCTTCTCGCATCGAGCCCATGTTGCGACCCACGCACATCTTTGACGTGATTCCGCGAGGCTCCCCGGACCCGCTGCCTCCTCCAATTCGCGGTCAACCTTGGCTGGATGCGGAAGGCGCCATCCTTGGTTCTGGACCCGAAATCGTCACCCTCGAGAGCGTCTCGCAGCTCGAATTTGTGCAGGGAAGCTTTGGCAACGGCGACAGGCGTACCGCTACCGATGTCGGCCAGCTCAATGGTATGTTGAGGGCAAATGACGAGGGCCAAGGACCCGGCGATGGAGGCTCGACGCCACCTCGCTACGTCTCCGAAGTCGGTAGTAGGCTAGCACCTGCCGAATCTCGACTGCTCAACATGATGAGCTACCTCTACGCAACCCAGCTCTCCCCTGGTCGGGCTGACAATTCTTTTCAAATTCAAGGCAGCTGGAACTTTAGCGAGCCGCTCGTGCATCGGCGTCCTCTCGTCGTCGACGTCGCCCAGGGGCTCAAAGCAGGCATCCGCGTTCTGGCGCTCGGCTCATCCGTGCCCGACAGCTTGAAGCTCATGGCTCTCAACTCGTCGATCGTCGCCATTGTCGTCATGGACGCCAGTGTCCAGGTCGCCGAGGCGCAAGAGCAGCACGGGCCGTGGAAGGCAGCCTTCCACCGTGCCGCAGAGATCGTCTCCTCTGATCTTGCGTCGTCATCGCGCTGCGTCGGACTCGGCATTGTCCGCTCGATCGACGCTGAAGCGGGTCGTGTCCACCTGCTCACGCCTCTGGATCCAGCGTTCCTGCACGAGATTCAATCGACCACCGGCATCGGCATCGGCCTTGTTAAGGGCGCGCTCGAGCTCCCTGTCTGGGCATCGCTCGATTTCCAAGCCATCAAGGAGGCACGCGAGAGCAGACTCGACGTTCCGCCTGCTACGCATCACTTGACTGTAAACGGCCAAGAGCAGCCTCAACAGCAGCAGCAGCTCCTAGCTGGCATGCCTAGGAATCAGGTCCCCTATCTGGAGTGGCCTCATTCGATCCACCCGGCATCGCGTCAGAATGGCAGCAACAACACCAACAGCAACGGTGCAGGCGCTTTTCAACTCGGCTCGGAGAAACGTCGCATCCGACGCAACCTCATGCGCAAGAGCCAGTTTGTATGATCCCCCGCAAAACAGATCCAAGCATGTAGCATACCATCTAGCCTAATTCATCATCATTGTCGAATCTTCCGCCCTGTCGCTTCTATCTTCCACGTGTTTCTGTCTTCACATGGTGCGTAGGTGACTGAATTTATCAAGGGGGGAGAATCGTGGGGTCTGTGAGATAAAAGTTGAATCCCCTGTGTACCTGATCACATCGTGCGTGACTGACTGGAATGCAGTGTGAAGCGGAGAGTGGGCTGCACTCAAAAATGGCTGGGCGGGATTTGAGCAAGAGCCAATCAGGCACGCGTCAGAGGAAGTTAAAGTTTTATGTCGTACAAAAAGATATTTTCTTCCTGCCTGTACCTCTGCCTTTCGTTCACGATAAAAGCCACTTTTTGTGAGTCAATCGTCGAGAAAATTGGCGCTCTGTGTAGCCCAGCATCCTAAGAACACGACCCTGAAGAAAAAAATGCAAAAATTTGACCCCTACCCGATTTGAACGGATGACCTTCGGAAGATACCAGCTGCGCGTCCACGGGGGAGGATTTGTACTGGAAGCCGACGCTCTACCGCTGAGCTAAAGGGCCATATGTGATGAGTAAGGTTTAAGCCACATTATGAATCTCGGCAATTCCGAAATTTCACGTGGCAACTGTACGACTTAGATCCTCACGAAGATGGACTCGATGCACTCTCGAGGAATCAGATTTGACTGGCACACATCACACTAGTCGGAGCAGTAGAGCACGGACGTAGTCCATTTCGACAGAATGAACAGACTTTAGATAGTGTCCCTTTATGACGGCGTGGGGAATGGGAGCCTGTTGCATTTGGAGCCATGAAGCCATCTAGGTCTGCTTGCACAATGGACGTCCGGATCTTACTTGAGCGTTGCAGAGTGACACTTGGAGCGGCATGCTGATCAGGCTAGCTGCAAGGATGCCCAAGCTGTCGCCGAACTGTTGAAAGAAGACATGGGATGTGGGGAGAATGTCAGCTTTGACTCGCGGAAACTTGTGACTGTTCGGAGGTGGATGATCACTTACGCCAACGCAGCCGATCCTGAATTCGTGTTCCTGAGCCTTCTTGGCCAGTCTATACGCCTCATCCGCCTCTCCGTCCTCTCCATTTCCTTCGCCCTCCGCCGTTGCTGGCAACACAATCCCCTGCTTCGACTCTTCATCAACACCAATACTATAGAACACACTGACGTACGCCGACCCACCCGCCAACCCCTCGACACATATCAAGACGATCACCAACGGACTCGCGATACTCGCCCTGAACCACGCATACAGACTCTCCGTCATCAAAACCACCAACAGCGTCGTCTGCAATACCGCTGGTAGCCACAGCAGGTGTCGTGGGATCGCCGGAAGCTTGAAGATCGAGATCGAGGATCGGGAGAGAAAGACGAAGGTCTGGTAGACGAGCTGGTAGAGCGGATAGTAGTCGGTCAACTTGCGGATGATGTGCGAGAGCAGAGGATGGGTTGAGGGCGTGGGGAGGGGATAGATGAGCGTTGGTGCGATGCCTTGGTTGATGGTGTACTCCATGGCGTAGACGATGACGAGGGGAATGATGTAGGGCTGCAGCATCGGTTTGAGCAGCGACATCTTCTCTTGGAACGAAAGCCGCACCTTGATGTCCTGGGGCGAGGCGAGAGGTGTAGTTGAGTGTTCTTGGCCTTCGTCGTCGTCCACGGTGGCGTCTGCTTCTCGATCCTCCGAATTCCTCTCCGCAGTGTCGTCTTCGGTCGACACGGGTGCGTACTCTCCGGCAGCTTTCGCATTGTCTTGATTCAACAGCTGCTCGACCGAAGGCAAGATCGCCACGTACGCCAGCACCATGAATCCAGGCAGCACACTCAAGATCGCCATCCCCGTCTGCACTCCCAACGGCCTGACCACCCACCAAGCTGCCGCCCCTACCAACCCAGCCGCACCCGTTCCACTCGCAAACCACCCTACAGCGTCCCCGGCAAAATTCGTCTCCAGCCCCGCACCCGCTCTCTGCGCTGCACTCAGCCCATCCCTCCTCCTCCTCCCCTCAGTCTTGGGAGCGTACCTCGTACTCAACTGCAAAAACGTCAACTCGCCCAACCCCGAACTGAAACTCGCCAACGAAATCCCCACCAGCCTCATCACCAGCGCCGGGAAGAATGATACCAGCAGCATCCCTGCAAAGCTCAACGCTGCACAGCTCCATACTCGTTTCGTGTAACGAACCTCTCCTCGCAGCAGGTAAGGCCAGATAGCTTTGGCGATGAGAGCGGGGAAGATGTTGGCAAAGCTGACGAGTCCCGTAGGCACACCTTGCGGGAGTAGCTCTAATGCAGCGGTGAGGATCACGACGTAGAGAGAGTTGTTGAGGAGACCGAACAGGAAGAACGCTGTGTTGAGTCGATATGACGTGCGTTTGGAAGAGGCGGGAAAGGGTGGGCCTGGGGAAGCGGGGGGAAGCCGGGCGGCGGGGCCGTTGGTGACCATGCTTCTACGTGGTGAGGTTGTGGGTTGATCTATCGGAGGTGAAATGGAAGATAGGGACTGATGTGAGCCTTCGATAGGTCGAAGTGGCACTGCTTCGATCGCCACCATACATGTGTCCGTCGTCGCGAGAAGATGTCGCAATGAAGAAAAGCGAAGCAGGTATTAATACGACGGCACCAGTCTGTCCAGCTGAATCCGGGTAGCTCTCTGCGGTTGCTTCCAATGTGCCGTGCTGAGTGGTAATGTGACACTGTGCGTCCTGGTGTATCGAGGTGTCGGTCGAAGAACAAGTGAAATCGTTGGAAGATGAAAGCGTCCAAAGCGAACGAGGTGAAGACGATGATGGTTACAAACTAGCAATGGCTCGTGCTGCTTGTGCGAGCCTGAAATATGCAACCCCGCGTCAATTCCGAACCCTGAAATGGTTCGCCCTCACGTTGCTGTTCGTCACGATTTGACCACGTTTTGCCGATATCTGGGGATGCATGTCCTGATTTCAGCAAGATCTCTCACACAGTCTGCTGACCTACACAAACATCAAGCTTGGCAAAAGTGTCGCAAAAGTCCATGACGGGCAAGGAAAAGCACAGAAACGTGATGTAGTATGAAGGCTGTACCATCGCTTGTTAACTAGCAATCCATGATCAATCCTTCCTCAAGTTGTCCAGACGAGCCTGAAGAGCGTCTTCGTCCTTGGAAGCACCACCGCCGAATCCACCTCCGCCTGCCCCCTCTCCAATGGCCACGCGTTGCTGTGGCGCGGCTTGCGGTGCTGACAAAGCCGCCGTGGGTGCTTCGCCGAGCTGCTGACCTACCGAGACGCCGATTTCGTCGAGCACTTCCTTGAGAATGTTGTCCGACTCTTCCTCTTCACCTACACCCTCGTCTTCGTCGTCCATGGCCTCGTCGACGGCATCGCCCATCATCTCATCCTTCATGTCCATGGTGGCGCTCTCGCGTTCAAAGTCGCGCATGATGCGCTGGATGGCCGGCAGATTCATGCTTCGGTTCATCGTGCCCATTGCCTGCAGAGATAGGAGTCGAGTCAAAGAGGAAGTCGTCGAGGGGTCAGTGAATGAGATAGGCTTTGCTGATGTCCATCCAGACGGGTGTCAGACTCACCCTGGTTGCTCCTTTCATAGCTTCGGCCATCTGCTGGTTGCTTCGCAGCGTCTGGATGCGCAGTGACACCGCTTGCAATTGTGTCTTCATCTGGTAGAACTTGTGGATGTGTCTTCGCGTCCTGACCAAGTCTTTCGCCATGACCTTACACGCCGGCTGTCAGAGCAGTTCGGAAGTAGATTTCCTCTAAAGTGTCAGTGAACGCTGTGCGAGACGAGAACGGAACTGGTATAGATGCTTACCATCTGACCTGCCCGGGCGCTCTTCTTGATATCCTGCGTGAGCTTCTTCTCCTGCTGTTCGAGCTTCGTACGCTCGCGATCCAGCTCCCTCTGTGCCTTTTGCAGAGTTCTCTGATGTTGCCTTAGACGCTCTGCGGGCGACTTGGCCCTGCCGAACAGGGACTCGATGATGTTCATGTTGTTGCAGGGAGGTGATCGCGACTGCTGTTCGTGGTCGATAAGAGTTGGTTGGTGGCTGTTGGTATGGCCGTGTTGACGGAGAGTCCCTCAAATCTGGCGGCTGATCCGATTGACCTATGCGGCTGAGAGAGAGGTTGTGTGCCACGAGTGACGCAAAGGGTGATTGGATCGAGAGGCCGAGTTGGAACGAGCGGATGGTGGACGAGGATTGAGCCATCGGCGCATCCGCTTTTCCGAAAGTGGAGTGAGAGCAACACACTCAGCTGCAATCTGACGCTCGCTTGGCTGAATTGGACCCTCCGATTTCCCTCCAATATTCTCGAGTCCGGGCGTGCAGGGCCCACTCTTCCTCCAGCGATCAGACACGCAGCCTTTTGCGAGTGTGCGTGTGCGTGCGTGTGTGTGTCCTCGGCTGTCAGCCATCTTCCAACGGTGTCTCTTAGACTTCAGAAGTTCGTACTCTCTACCCACGTCGAGCCGATGTACTGCTGCGGAAGGTGACGCTCGTCTCATCATCGACACCTACCATTTCTGACCGGGAAACTGGGTCCCTGGCAGACCCCTCCGACACACTTCGTCCCGATTCCAATCCAGCGCTTGATCAACACTGACCCGGCTCTTGCGACACCAAGCAGTTCAGACACTCAAGAACGCCGAAATCGGTCGCACAGACGCATCGCAGCTATGGCGTCGCTCATCCCGCCAAAGAAGCCGCGCAAGCCGGGCATGCCAAAACTGTCCATCCCGGCAAGGCCGTCGTCCTCTTCGTCCGCCCCTCCGGGGTCATTTCAACGGGACGACGCTTCATCTGATGCCGCTGCTGCCGCTGCAAGGCCACAGCCGGGACATCCGTCTCAACGACCACAGCCTTCGCTCATGATACCACAGGCGTCCTCCTCCTCGACATCATCGCTCGGCGGTCACGCATACCAGGACGAAGGCTACGAAGATGGTCATCCGGGCATCTACAACACTACGACTTCCACCATCTATCCGGACACCGTGCCGCACCTCACGAATGCGCAGATGCACACCGCCATTACAGACGATCTGCGGCGTGCGATAGGTGGCCTGTCCATGGCCGACTCTGACGGCGAACGGCTCGATGCCAACGGGCTCCGTATACCGGTCACAGGCGGCAAAAGCTCGTCCAACGGATACTGGATATCCAACGACTCGAGTGCTGCCGGCGGCGGGGTCAGCAGCAGCACGGATCACGGCGAAGCGAACGGCGCGGACGGAGCATCATCGCACCCGTCACAATATCGTGCAAGGACCGACTCGAGTGCGTCGGTCGCTTCGACGCGAGGCAGCAATCAAGGCGGACACGACGACGAGCTTGTCTTGGCAGGCAACTTTGAGATGCTCTCGAGGCTCGGCGAAGGCGCCAGCGGAGAAGTGCACAAGGTTCGACATCGTCCAACGGGTCTCATCATGGCCAAAAAGACCATCTCCACTTCGCCCAATCCGGCGATTCACCGTCAGATCCTTCGTGAGCTCGCCTTCAATCGCTCGTGCCACTCAGACTACATCGTGCGTTACTACGGCGCCTTTCTCGAGGAACAAGACACCTCGATCGCCATCTGCATGGAGTATGCAGAGGCAGGCTCGCTCGATGCCATCTACAAAAAGGTCAAGAGCCGCAACGGCCGCACAGGAGAAAAGGTGCTGGGCAAAGTGGCCGAGTGCGTGCTCAAAGGACTGAGCTACCTGCACGAACGCAAGATCATCCACCGCGACATCAAGCCGAGCAACATCGTCGTCACACGCCAGGGTCAGATCAAATTGTGCGATTTTGGCGTCTCCGGTGAGCTGATCAACTCGGTCGCCGGCACGTTCACCGGAACAAGCTTCTACATGGCGCCAGAGAGGATCCGAGGATTGGCGTACACGATCACGTCGGACGTGTGGTCGCTTGGTCTGACGATTCTGGAAGTGGCTAGCAACCGATTCCCATTTCCCGCCGAAGGTGAGCCGCCATTGGGACCGATCGATTTGCTCTCTTATGTGGTCAATATGAAGGTGCCCGAACTGCAGGACGACGAAAAGGCGGGTGTGAAATGGTCTCGGGCTCTTCGCGACTTTATCGAACGATGCCTAGAGAAAGAACCCACCAAGCGACCGGGACCTCACAAGATGATCAGCCATCCCTTCATTCGCAAATCCGAGACGCGACAGCCGCAACCGGACATTGCCAAGTTTGTAGCTGATGTCTACGGCTGGAGCTACCTACCGAGCTCGATCGCCAACCAACAGGAGCAGACTCCGACGCAGGCGACTTCCAAGAGCGGTTCGCTGGGCAGGATCCCAAGCGTTCGCTCTGCCCCTGTCGCGGCGACGGCCCTGGCAGCCGTGATGAGCGACGCCTCAACGACCACACCGGTGCCACAAGGGACTGCGATGGCGAAAACTTTGCAGCCCGACGCTGTGCCATCCACCACGCTCATGCCCACGTCTACAGGAGCAGCGAGCGACAGGCCGCGCACTGTTCCAAAGATCTCGGTCGCCATTGATGGGCAAAGGCTTTCGCAGCCTCCCACTGCAGCGATGGGCGATACAGCGTCTCCTCACGTCGCCTCTTTCCCTCCAATTTCCAGGCCTCTGGGCGATCATCGAAGTCAAGAAGAGCGTCTGGCAGCTAGGATGCGAGAGGCGGACGTTGGGTTGGTGGGAAGTCCTACCACGACTCCCGATGAGGATGAGGTTGGGCACGCTTAGCTGCGATCTTCATAGACAATCAAGTGTGCCTCACCATATCTCTGCAGCTAAGTGTCTGTTATAAATGGACGAATGTGTCTGCCTGCCAGTATGACAGGTCCTTGTGTTGTTGAACACCTTGCTTCGAAAAGTGACATGTGTTCAGGAACGACGGGCAAAAGATATTTTTGAAATATTAATTTTTTAAGGTCCAATTAATGGTTCCGGACGTGGCGTGCGTGTGAAAAGCGGATGGAACTCTTTTCCCGCCGCAAACGGCTCCGAAACCCCACATTTTCCGCACCTCACAGTCACACGCTTCGTGCAGCAAGCATGGCTCTCCCGAAAGGCAGGAACTGACCGGCGCTGATCCACTCTTTCCTCGTTTGGCTTCTCGAAACTTTACCCGTCACTTATTCCATCGCTAAGCCTTGTTGCATCATCACCATCGACAAGGGCTCAATAACGGCGACAGCTGCTCTGGCTACATCTCACGATTCGCGTCTCGCAGCGTCGTCCTGCTTTGACGCATCCGCTTAGGCAAAGCAAGCCGGGCGGGCTCCGTAGCAGGCTCGCATTCGCAAAGGGCATCCAGCGTCAGACCAGGCGAAGCCTCATAGACCGGTTACCGCAGTCGACTCGAACGCACACGCTCATGCTTGCAAGCTAGCAGATCTTTTCTCAGAGCCACTGCGCCTTTCCCACCTTCGCGAAAAGATCATCGTCGGTCGGTTCATTTCAGCCCCGAACAACGAAAGAAGCAGAGCAGAGCGCTGCTGTCATTCGGCATGTCGTTCACGATACCCCACCCGCCGTCGGCATCGTCCGACTCGGGCTCTTCCGCATCGCTGACTCCAACCGCTGCCAACGGCTACACCAGCAATACAGGCTTCTCAGATCCATCCTCTTCGACTTCCGCATCGGCAGCTCCAGTTTCAAGCTCGCTCTTTAGCTCGGAAGAGTCCAAATTCATCACCGACTCGTTATCCTCGGCTGAATCGTTCGACCCGTTCACCATCGGAGCTCCCGGCTTCAAGGTGCCTTCCCTACTACCGCCCAACATCGCTGCTACGCATGACCACCTCACATCACAAGCATCCGCTGCACCCTCGGCGGTGGCTGGAGTCGCATCGTCCGATTCCGGTCCTGGTCCCGACTTGCGATTGAGGAGCCTGTCCGGTCAACAATCATATCCTCTCGGGTACAGCACATCCTCGCCAGGACAGCAGGGCACGGATGCGTATGGCAACGCAGCAGCAGCACACAGGCTCAACAGTTTCAACTTGTATGGCCACCGAACCGGCGCTACGCCGCCTGCAGGTCTGAGCAACTCTTCGAGTCCCTCCTACTTCAGTCATCTGCACGACGGCTTTCCGTATGGTTCCGGGCGGCACGCCTCCTTCTCCGGTGCTTCGAACCTGCCATTATCGCCGGGAGCGGCCGCCGGGTATGGCAAGAACAAGGCCTGGCAGATGGAGCAGCTGTCCTTCCTCGAGGCTCAGGCGAATCGTGGTCAGCAACAGCAAACGCAGCAACCGCCATTCGGATCGGCGCTACCACAACATATCGGCGTCCAGAACGATCATCACCGTCGATCGAGCACCTCGGTAATCGGTCGTCCGTCGCCTTACGAAAACCTGTTTTTTGGCACACCAGCACATCTTCAGCAACAACAACAGCAGCAGCAGCAAGCACAGCTCATGGAGCAGCAACAGCATCGCCCGCCCTTCTATCCGGGTATGGAGGAACATCAAGCGGGCCTGGCCATGCTTGGGGCGCAGTTCCCGAGCAGTCATAACTTTGGCTCGTTACAGCATCAGCATCAGCAGCAGCAGCAGCAGCAAGGCTCGATGCAGGCGCAGCACCAGCAGCTACCGCAGCAACAGGCGATGAGGGGTGCAAATGGTCTACCGGGTGCATTTTCAGCTCAAGCTTTGGCCATGTTGAATGGCGATGCTGGTCTGGGAGCTATTTCGTCCATAGTGGCATCCGAGCCTGATGCTGCTGGTGTTTCGACACCGAAAGGTCGAACGTCGCGCACTCCAACTGCCAACGAGCCGGGATCAGCGAAAGCTGGTAGGAGTGCAGCGGCGTTTTCAGCAGCAGCCGCATCTGCGTCTCCCTCCGGATCCGCCGCGGGTACGAAACGTATGTCCACCGGTGCACCAAAGACCGCACCCACGCAAGGCTCTTCTCTCAACACCGGACCGTCCGGTGCTGTCATCCGCGCCCTCGGCGACCTTGCCAATCTCGACCTCGACCTCGAAGGCGCACTGCGAGCCCTCCCTGCGCATCTTCACCCATACTTTACCCCATCGCAGATGGAGAAACGCACGCAGCCACACCTGGAAATGCTTCGTGAACAGCACATTTCCGACGGACTCATCGATCCCATCACCGGGTTGGAAATCAGACCCGAACCTACGGAAGAAAGTCTCAAACGCGACGCCGAGGAAGCCGAACGGGAGAAGAAACAGCACACCTTGCTGACGACCGAGGAGAAGAAGGCGAACCACATCGCCTCGGAGCAGAAGCGAAGGGCCAACATCCGCAAAGGCTACGAGCTGCTGTGCGATATCGTGCCGAGTCTGAGAGAGGCCCTGGAGCGAGAAGCTACGAGTAAGAAGAGGGACAGCGACGACGAGAGCGACGACGAGGACAAGGGAAAGAAGAAGAAGCCCGGTGTCGGCAAGAAGGCGGATGAAAGCGGAGGAGGTGGGGGGATCGAGATCGATGGCGAAAAGATCGATGGTAGAGCAGGCCCGAGGAGCGAAGCGGTGGTGTTGATGAAGAGCTTGGATCACATCGGCGCGTTGGTGGAGCAGTACAGGGGGTTGTTGGGGCGGAGGAACCGAGCGAGGGTGGCGGTGGCGAAGAAGATGGGCTGGGATGGGCTGGCGAATCAGCCGGTGGGGGATGTGGATAGGTTGTTGGCGATCAAAGTTCAGGATTGGTGGGCTACTCATGTTGATGGTGAAGAGGAGGGGGAGGGGGAAGATAGATTTGGGGTTGGGCAAGGGGAGGCTGAGGAGGATGAGGGGGTGGGTGCAGAGATGGATGAAGAAGTTGCGGATGCGGAGGAGGTGAAGGGAAAGAAAAAGACAAAGGCGAAGAAACCTGCCCAGGGAAAGAAGAAGAAGGCGGGCAAGAACGAGGAGGACGACGGAATGCACGATTGAACGCTTTCCCCACACCGGAGAGACGGATCTCCTCTGTTGTACAACATCACTATAAACATACATTTCATCTACACGTCCTCTTGCTGCGCGGACTTGTCCTCCAAGTCGACCTTGTCGTTCCACCGTTTGACGATCTGGTCTACAGACATATCCGTGCCACCGGGGATGGCGGTTGTGTCGTCGCCGCGCGTTTTGGCGAACTCGACAAGATCTTTGGGGACCATGTTGCTGCTGTAGGTTGCGCCGGTTCCGCCGGATGACTGCATGCGACGATCGTGCAGAATTCGCAGTTGCGGGCGGTTGACCTGTGGTGCAAAATCTGCGGGGGACGGGTGTAGGTTGAGTCTGACGACTCCGTCTTCCGGTTCGTCCTGCGTGAGGCTCTTCTGCGATCGTCCAGCCTTTTCTCGCAAGTGCAGCTCATCCAGATCCTCCCACGCGAACAACAGCGGATCCGTTCTGGGCAACCACGCATTCACATCGATCAACCACACCCTTCCCAGATCCTTCGTCAAATACACGTCGAAGATGTAATCCCTCAACCCCCACCTCTCCTCTTCCACCAGTTCATCCTCCCAAAACTCCTCGATCTTGTCGCTGATCTGCTGTTGCAATTGGCTCGACTGCAAATGTTCGTAGAACGTAACGTCTCGTTGCGAGATGGCGATGAGCGAGTTGCTGCGTACAAAGCATCGAAATTCGTACGACTTGTTGAGCGAGAACCACTTCTTCAGCACCAGCTGCGGAGTCGGCGCCTGCTGTGAGGATGTGCGGAAGAGGTGGGATAGCTGCTCGAGATCTCGACCGACGAACTCGCTGCTTTTGAGGAGCAGGTAGACGTCTTCCGGATGATAGCATTGGAGGGAGTTGCCCGGCAGCATGAACCCTGCGTCTAGCGGCGCGGAGTAGTTGAGTTTTGGGAATACTGGGCCAGAGTACTTGGAGATCACGTCGCGGATCGCTGCGTCTAGTTTTGGCAGGGAGAGTGCTTGCTCTGGCTCCTCTTCGTCGGAATCTGAGAAAGAAGAATGTGAGGATACTGAAGAGATCGTAGCCGAGGTTGTCGCAGTGATGGTGGAAGGTCCGCTTCCATCGGGTAGGACGAACGTGCCGGAGTCGAGCCAGTCGAGCAGTTCGGGTTGAGTGGAAGGGATGTCGATGACGGTGGATTTGGGTGCGTGCTTGCGAAAGATAGGATACCATGTGCCGTAGGACGTCCAGTGGAGGGCTGTGTGGGGAGGTGTGAGTGGGTCAGGTGACACCGACGCAGGTCCGGAATCGGCCTCCGACATTTGGATTATCTCTGCCGCGGCGTGGAGAGCGAACGCTCTGACGAATGCCGAAGGTGGGATCGTGTCTGACTGTGACCAGGAGGATGAGGGGGAGCAAGGATGGTTGTGGAGGAGCACGAGTGGGGGATCTTCTCAAAAATTTGGATGCCTTTCTCGGAATTCGGTTCAGCATGGACCGGCCAAGCCGCGGAAAAAGACACAGCTCGTCTTGGTCGACATGTCGTTCTTCGAGCCTCTACCATCACTATCAAACAACGGGCAAGCCCTGCCTTCCTTCACAATGTGGCACATCCTCGAACCCCTCGACGCCCCCTCCTCCTACCGCGACTCGCGTTCCTCCAGCAGCAAACACGAACAGCAACAAGCCCTCCGCGCCACCTCCACCCTCTACCTCGGCAATCTCTCCTTCTACACCACCGAAGAGCAGATCTACGAGGTGTTCGGTCGCGTATCCTCCGTCTCCACCGGCGGAGGCATCAAGCGTATCATCATGGGTCTCGATCGAAACACCAAGACGCCGTGCGGCTTCGCGTTCGTCGAGTTCTACACCCACGCCGAGGCGGTCGACTGCATGCGGTACGTCAGCGGGAGCAAGGTCGACGAGCGTGTCATCAGGTGCGATCTGGATCCCGGGTATAAGGAAGGCAGGCAATACGGGAGGGGAAGGAGCGGTGGTCAGGTGAGAGACGAGTACAGGCAGGAGTACGATGCAGGGAGAGGTGGATGGGGTCACAACAGGCTGAGGGAGGAGGAGGAGAGGAAAAAGATGGAGGAGGAGCAAAAGAGGAGGAGCGAGAGAGAGCAGCTGTACCAGGAGGGTGTGGTGGGCATGGATACGGGTGGTGGAGGTATGGTGCCCATGGGTGGTGCGTACGAGTACAGCGAGTTGGAGGGTGATGCGAGAGGTCATGCTGGGGACAGATCTGTGGGAGCAGGAGCCGCGAGTGGTTGGGGTGAAGGTACAGTGGAGAGCAGAGGTACGGCAAAAAGGGAAAGGAGCTATGACGACGATGAGGACGAACAGCTGTACGGCAAGAGCGAGAAGAATCCCAGGTTCAGGGACGACGATGATGCCGATGAAGTGTGATTTGCCTTCTCATTCGGTCGCAACAGCACTCGGTTTTGCATGTTTTGTCGATGCAATTATGCTCTCAATCGTCACCCAACTCGAGTCTCATACAGTCTTTCAAATCACCCTTTCCCTCTCGGCTCGTGCTGTGTGATCGTCTGAGACGAGTCAAACCGTATAAGTTAATGTGCTGCATTGCGTCATGCGATGTGTTTCACGATCGACCTGCGATGGTCTACCTTCTTGTCTTGTCCGCTACCTCCTGCAGCAACGGCGTCACCCTCGCCAACGCGATCATGATCGCCTCCTCCGTCCTGACCGTCCTCGACCCCTGATTCTCCACCACGTTGATCCACGCGTCAAACAGATCCCTGGCAGTGTGTCGATCCAGCTTGATCCCCGTATCCTGCTCTACAGCGACTTCCAACCCGCTCAACCCGCCGAACACCAGCAACGCATGGTTGAACTCTTCGGACAGCGGTTGAACTGTCTCCCCCGAAGGCAGTGCCACGGGGGTGCCGTTCGTCGTAGCCAGCGTAAGGTCCGTCAGCGAGACGCCACGTTCCGACGTTCCAATGACCAGATCGTACCCTCCCTCCCCTCCGAAGGGACACCCCGTCAAGACGCTCGACAAGCTGCCTGCCAACCTCACCGTGTAGCCCCAATACCAACCCAGCTGCTCCACCGGTTCCCTCGGGCTGACAATCTCGCCCGCTCCGTACGCATCCATCGGCATCTTGACCGTCACCCTCGTCCCACTTTCCACCCTGGCACCCTCTGGCAGATATGCTTCGATCACATCCCTCAGCCCGACGTTGACGTAGACGCTGTCCTGTCCACCTCGTCGAGCCCAGTGCGGGGGTTCGACGGTGACGCCCTCTCGATACTCGCTCTGGTCTTCGAACCGCAAGTGATGCGGGCAGTCGAGCGGTGGCATCAACCCCGCCAGCCTGAGATCGCGATGCATCGGGAAAAGAGCCTTGCGAAGGTACTGCGGTGTCTCGAGATACTGCAGTACTCTGGCGAGAAACGTGTGCGGATCAAATCCTTTCCCCACCCCTTCCTCTCCACCACCACCTTCCGCTTCCTCGTGAGCTTGTTCGCCCTCTCCACCATTAGGATTCCCCTGGGGCGCATTGTACCGCCTCTTCGTACCTCGATTCTGCTGATTGTGTCGGTGTTGGTACAGATCGGTTCCTGCTTCACTTCGAACCTCGCCTTCGTCGAAGACGACGATCTCGTCGACGTTGAAGATGGCGCACGCTCGGGCGATGTGTGCCGCAAGACGACTCTGCAGTTCGGGCGACTGGGCGTTCAGAACGATCGAGCCGGGGATGGCGACCGAGACGGTGAACTTGCGTCCATTTGTCGTGGCTGGGCGCGTGATGAAGGACGGTTTGTGTGGGTTGACCTGGGTCAGATTGGAGGGTTTGGTAGATGATGATGATGCTACGGGAGGTTTGGTGTTTGTCGAAGGCATAGCTGTGAAGTTCGTGGGCTGTTTGGCTTTTGACGATGTTACTGAGGCAGTCTCTGCAGGTGTGGTGACAGGGGTGGGAGCGTGCTCCTCGTCGGAAGATTCGTCTGCCTGAACGCCAGCATCGGCGTTTTTGGATTTGCTCTTCTTGGATCGTTTCCGGATGCGTTTACGTGCACTCCCCTCACCGGCACCAGACGTGGAAGCGACGGTGTCCGCTGTCATTCTATATACGCCGGATCGATGAACAGAGAAGAACGCTTTCGATTGTCTCGAGAAGAAGAAAAGGCGAAAGGGTGGAGGAAGAAGAATAAACTGGGGGTTCGCCGAAATTTTTGCGCTTTCGCCTGCAGCTATTTCATCCCGACTTCCGAATCTACCGCTGTGCACCCTTGCTTGAGACTTGCTCTATATTATCCTCAGCAGGGCTACGGATGGCCTCGTGCTAGGACATCGACCCTTGCTCGACACACGGATGCTGTCCAAGCGATACTCAGACTGTATCTTGAATGATCAAAATGCTTTACGGGCCATTCCATTGCTAACAATTCCAAATACAGGGCGTACGACGGTCTTACCAGTTCTTCGCCTTCCCCGCTCCGCCGTTGGGACCACTGTGACCTGGATCTCGGTCGATCAACGACGACGAGCCCAGTCCAATGCCGGTGCTTGCTCCCGTCAGTCCATTCTTCCCACTACCACTTGAGACCTTCTGATGCTGCTCTTCCATCTCCAACCCGAGCCCGTTGGCGCCGTTGGCTCCGCCGGACCCTGCACTGCCATTCATGCCGCCCACCCTACCACTGAATCCAGCCTTGTTCGCGAGCTCATTGAGCTTGTTCGTCAACGCGTTCAACTCGATGTTCTGCGCCAGGCTCGCCGCTCGCCCCTTGAGCTTTTCGCTCAAGTGCTCCAACGTCGATGCGAGCTCTCCACCCTGAATACCGGTCGAACGGTCCGAAAGCCACCACCCTGTACTCACGCACTCTTGGGCATCGCTGACGAGCCAATCGTACCACATCTTTGTGATGGGTACGGTGGCGAGGTGCCACAGAGCATGTGCATCCAGTATACGCAAGATGGGTGGGAAGTCGAGCAGCTCCAGTAGCACCGACGCCGACATGAGGGCGAGGATGAGTTGCAGGCGACGTCGCTGTCTGGTGTGCGAGCTGGGTGGACCGATGTTGGTCGACACGGGCACAGGAGGTGTCTGCGCCCCATTGCTGAGCGGTGTCGGAGTCGAGAGTGCGGACAGAGACGGTTTGGCAGCGCGCATAGCGGCACGAGAATAGGCTGTACGGTCGACCAGCGGATTCGAGGGGAAGGTCGTCGGTCGAAGCGAATACACCAACCAGAGCAAGGTGTGGATCAGCCCCACCACAACATTGGCGGCCATGTTGTAGGCGTAGTCGAATCGCCCGATGCTGAGATAGAGCACGTGTAGGCCCAATGCACCCATGCAGACCCTTCGGAAGAGCACGAATCGTTCGCTTCCAGGAGCGATCCTGAACAGTCGAGCCGCACTAAAGAAGAATGCCGACATGATGACCGATCCAGCGCTAAAGTAATCCAGCTTCTCGGTCCAGTTCTTGTCCCTGGTGTGAAAGACCGCCGACCACATCCACGCGTTGATGCTGATGAGCGTGTGCACGATGTAGACGAGCTTCAACGGAAACGCGTCCGGCAGTTGCTTGCGCATCATGAAGAGCGCGTTCCAGTGCACTTTCAGGTTCATCAGGCTGAACAGGACCGAGAGAGGCTCTTGCGCTCCCAAAAAGCGGATGAAGACCCACTTGCCGTGAAACTGCACCATCTGCTTCTGCACTGGTCGCAACGCCGCCATCTGCGTTTCGACGATGCCCTTGATGCGCTCTGCTTGGGCCGAGACAGACATGGATTGGGATTGAGCGAGCTGCTCCACCTCGGAGCGTGCATCGTGCTGGATCTTGATGACGCGCTCGGCGGCCTCGTTGGTGATGCGGTGTGTGCAGTGATATTTGCAGTCGTCTTCGCACGTCCATTTGGTAAGGCGGAGGATGAAAGGCAGACGATGCGCAAACATGGTGCCGTCGTCGACGCCGTCGCGACAAAGATCGGCGGTGCACGAGTCGACGCAGAGATGATACTCGGGCGAGCGGTCGCCTTGAGATGCTAGAGCGGTGGAGGCGAGCAAGAGGGCGGTCACCAGAGCTAATAGCAGCACCGTCAGCGCCGAGCGATGCGATCGGCTGGGGCGAGCAGCCTTTCTCACTGTGGAGTCAGAAGCAGATCGTGTCGATCCGCGCCGTCTGTTCACGATGCTCGAATGCGACATGGTGGAAGCTGTGCACGAGTCGGAGTCGACGTCAGGTTTTGATGGAGAGCTAGCGACGAGATCACGTTGACGACTCGCCTTGGGCGCTGATGGCAGAGCCGTGCGTGAAGGACCTGCGATCGCTTGCATGCTCATCTGAGGGCAGTGGATGCGCTAGGTGTATAGTGTTGGTTGTTGGGAGCGTACAGAACGATGGATGCTGCAGCAGCAAAGTCGGCGTAGTCTAGGCTCGAAATTGCCTTCGAATAGCGACGGTCTATCCGATCCGCAGCTCTTGCGCGATATCGCAGAGTGTGAGAGTGAAGGAAGAGAATGAAGGAGTGTGTGTGTGTGCAAGTGTCGGATGTGACTGATTTGTTGGAGAATGTCGGATGGTGCGATGTCGGATTGAACTCGATTTCTAGAAGAGTCGACCAAATAGAGTTCGTCAGAGCGGTAGAGCTCGGCCCAGGGTTGAACCCCAATTTTGGTGCTGGGCCGCACCTATCTCCAGACTCTGTCGCTTGCTCAAGCCGCATTAAGAATTTCCAGCTTTTCAACGTGCGGAGCAGAGGATGCACCAAAACAGAAGCTGTATTCACCACGGCCCACTGGACTCCAGCACGCCGGTGGACGGTCGTCGCCAGGGTCCGTGCAAGATCAACTTGCCCCACAGGGTCCGACGATTGGGCTTTGCTCCCTCCAACAATTTGCATATCTTCGCCATCGCATCCTCCTTCTCTTCACCTGCCAACCTAGTGCACTCAGGTAACGATAGAATCAATCTACGCGGTCTCATCGCCCTTGCCACTTGAACCAGCGATCTGCCTCAGACAAGCTGCACGCAACCTCTTTCGTCGTCCAAAGAACAATGTCGACCTCGTCCACTTCAACGGCACATCCCTCCGCCTCCATCCCATCAGCTTCATCTTCAGCCGCCGTCGCTGCCACCACATCCAAAAATCAGCTCTACGCGCTTGCCTCGCGGGTCCCACTCATCAAGTCCCATTCGATCTCCCTCCCCAAGCCAGTCAAGCTTCCACCCGATCTGCATCCACTACCTGCCGACATCTCCGCCTACTTCGTCTACCCGTTCAGCCTCGAATCCTACGTCCTCGATCCCAACACTCCCTCGTCGAACACTGTGGATCAGCTGCTAGCCAAACACAAGCAGTATCTCGAGAACCGCGAAAAGGACAAGGAGGACAGGCAGAGGGAGAGGCTGAGGAAAGTTGCACCAGGATGGCACGGCGATGTGCTCATGCCGACCAACAGTGTCAACACAAGAAAGAGCTTGGACGTTGGTGCGGTGCTGGAGCAAGCTCAGTCTCAGAGCACGCAGCAGCAGCAACAGCAGCAAGGCGTGGAGAGGACACCACTGGACGACTTGGCTGATCACCTGGCGCAGCTCGACGCTTTCAATACTTCGGGTACCCCGATCTCCGGCTCGCACGGTCAGAGTCAGAATCAGAATCAGTACCTGCAACAGTAGACACTGCATGCTCGAGATTCAGTCGCTTCGAACCCTGTTTTCCCTATCCGTCCTGTCCACTTTGTATCACTAGCATCCTCAAATATACCCCGCAATCTGCAACCTACGTCCACCAGCCTCCTGGCTTCCAATCACACTTCGTCGCAGTTCGAAGCGCTATTTCATCCGACATCATTCCTTCCTCGCGTGTAGTGCGAGACCCGCCAACAACAAACTGACTTGTGCGTGCATGGACGTCGCTCACGGACATCAAAAGAAGAGGAGCCTTGACACCTCTACGAGAGCGAGAAAGCTCGAGAAGAAAAAAAAAAGAAACGACGCCTACAGGATTTGAACCTATGCTCCCAGAGGGAATGGCATATTGTTGTTGAGTAGGAAGATACTCTAGAATCCGTAAATTCTAGTGCCACGCGATAACCACTCCGCCAAAGCGCCTTGATGTTGCAGAGTGTGGTATAGTAACATTATATACAGTTTCTCCTTGCACCGGCCAGTCAAGACATCACGTCGAACCAACTCCCTCTTCAAATACTAAACGGAGTCTTCGACAACCTGCACCTAGGCACACATTCTCTGAACATGCGTTGACAGAACAGAGAAATCTATTCACTGGTGTGTTGTGGTCTTGAGGAAAGAGTCTATCGCGTCTGCTTCTCGAGCAGCTTCAACAGCAGATCCTCCATCCTCTTTCCTCTCGCCTCCATCTCCTGCACTCTTCTTGCCACGTCCCTCAGCTCGTTTTCGACGCTGTCCTTGCTGCTAAACTCCACATCTGATGCTGCCGCTGCTGCGGAGGAGCCTGTTGCTTCTCCTATCGCGGTGAGAGCAGATCCACTTCTTGCGTCGCGGTTCGAGTCAGATCGTGTGATGGATCTGCGAGGACGACGCGTAGGACTGGATTCTTGCGATCGTGGATCGTCGACTCTGCGTTTGGATCCGGACCGCCGTGGGATCTCGCGTTCGAGTTCGTTGGGATCGATGGAGCCGAATAGCTTGGCGAGGGGTGAGGTGAGCGAACCGAGTCCACGCGGTTCCGGTCCACGTCGAAGCAGTTGGACGGATCGGTTTACCGGAGCGTCACGGGTTCGGCGCGAAGTGACGCTGTTGGCGATCGAGGATTGCGTAAATGTTCGTGGCATGGCTTCTTGCGTTGATGAAGCACCGGCATCAGTGGGCTGCTGGGCATGCTGGTGGTGGCTCGAGGCGATCGCAGAACCAGTTCCAGGCTGCGGTTCAGCCGTCAAATCATGCTCCAACTGATTCGCCGCTCTCTCCTCCCAATTCCCACCTTTCCCATCTCCACCGTCCTCGTCGGCTTCACCATCGGCTTCATCCCCCGACGCTCCCACTCCCTCCCACTCGTCCTTATCCTCCTCCGGCACATAATCAAACGCAGCCTCAATAACATCCGCACTCGCTCCATCCAATCCGGAACCAAGGACACCCAACTTCCCCAACAACCCCCTCCCCTTCTCCGCCGTCAAACTGATCCCATGTCCAAACACGTTCAACTCCGCAAAGTGTATGATCAACAACACGTGGAAGCTCGTCAGCCGTATCAGAAACACGTTGATCTTGTGCAACCATCTCGGCGATACCACGAAGCTCAACGGCATCACCACCGCCACCGCCAGCAGGTTGAGTGGAGGTTGATACGAAAAAATCGCATCCGTGGTGATACCGGACATGGTCTTGCATGCGAACTGGAACATGGCTTCCTCGTTGGCGTTCATCGCCACCACCTGGAACGTGTTGCTGAGCAGTGAGATGAGGACGGTAAGCAGCAGAGTGTTGCTCATGATGGTGTAGATAATCATGAGTGGGGGACCGAACGTGAGCGAGAAGCTTTCCGCTTCGTCGAATCCGAGGTAGGAACTGCCGAACCACACCTTGAGCATCAACCAGAGCACCGCCTTGAACGTCCATCGCTCTTCGGCAGCCAGAGAGTAGAACGCATACGCAAAACCCGAAAAGCAGATCATGGCGAGCACCGTGAAAAAGGCAAAGTCAGAAAGCATAGCTTTCAGGCTGAGCAACACCACATTGTCCTGCACCAACGAGCTCGCCACACGAGGGCACAGCAGCACCGCCCCCAATGCCAAGCAGTCGAAGCTGAGATCGCTCCGCGCCGGCAAGCCGTGTTGAAGGGCCGAGACGCGAAGACCGAACCAGCAAAAGCCGATGATGCAAAACATGGCGTCGATGAGGTTGTACAGCGTGCCGAGGTAGTGCGACACTCCGTGCTCCTGCAGCTGTGCCAACTCGTCTACAGCGAACCCGAACAGCCAGATCGAGAAAAGCGTCTCTTGAACCGTCCACGTCGGACTCCCCTTCTGCGCCAATGCCGCGACGTACAGAATCAGAATGACGACAAACGTGACGAATTCGAGCTTGCTGCGGATCGACGGAACGCGGAGACGCAAGTGATTGAGCAAAGGCGCCTTGGTCGGGTCGTAGATGCTGAGCGGCCGTTTCTTGTAGCTATCGTTGAGGATGGCATGCGACGCCTGCATCGGAGAGAGCACCACCTTGCCGTGCCAGATACCGTCGATGCAGCGCTGACAGAGCGGCGTCGAGATGAAGCGTTTGGCCGACGATGCGATGGCCAGTTCGAGCGTGTTCGAGTACTGCTTGGCAGCAAGACCGTGCTTGACAATGTCTTCCAAGTCGACGTGTGATGTCGACAGCTGCAGCTCTTTCAGCTCCTGGTAATTAGCGCCGGCTAACGGATGGAAGCTCGCAGTGAGCGACGTGACAAGCTCGAGACCGTCGTTCGAAAATGTGCGGAGCAGCTTCATCGCCAGCAGCTCGCACAGCGTAGCACGAGTATTATTGACCGACTGGAAAGCGAGATCGCGCGTCGCCTCGCGTTGAAAGTAGATGCGATTGAGCATGAGGCAGTAGAGGATGGCGATCGAGCGAAAGTTGCTGTACTTGATCGCCAGCGGTCGGACCAGCGAAAAGTTGAGATCGACCGAGGTGAGCTCTTCCCAGCTGAGATGCGTGTCGATGGTCTTGCGAAGATCTGCGCGGATCTCGTGGATCAGGTGAAACACATCCTGACGCTCGACGACCTTGATGAGGTTGACGCCATCTTCGCCCTCGGATTCGAGCAGACGGTCGATCTCTTGCGCATCCGCTTCGGTGGTGGGACGACGGATGTGACTGCTGTTTCGGCTGACGGACGGTGCAGTGCCGAGGAAGGTACCGTTGCGAGCCGTCTGCGCGGCACTGTTTGTGTTCGACGTTCCTGCGCCAAGGTGTTGTTCCGTCGAGCTGAAGGAGAAGGCAGAATCGCGAGGCGAAGGCGCTTCTAGAGCGAGTGCAGGGGGGATGTGATCTTCGGGTCCAGGCTGGTCGGGAAGGTTACGAAGCGAGACGTGTCGTTTGTGCTGTCTCTGATTGCTGCGGAGCGAGTTGGCAGATGCCCGCTGCGAGACCGCTTTCGACATGGTTGCAATGTGTGGGTAGAAGACGAGAAAGTCCAGGATCTGTGTGATGTATGCAGCGAAGCGCGCCCGCGATGCGAGCAAAGCAGCGTCCGAGTCCTGGATCAAGGGAGAGTGTGAGGATCACAAAGCGTCTTGGATGAGCGACATGATGCCTGAACTCGATGGTTTGGGCTCGTGAAGTGGCTGATCGGCCCGGATAATGATGGTGAGTGTACACCACACAAGAGGATCAGTGCACTGCAGGTGTTGTTCTTTCCTCCTCCACTCTGGCTTGCCTGGGCGAATTTGCAGAAAACGTGTTTGTGTTGGTTGAGGTTTCTCTTGGGAGCTGCGCTTCGCTTCTTTCGCTGCTTCCGTGCCTAATTTCCAAAAGGCTCCGATTTCCGAAGTCGCGAAAAGGAACACATACACGCGCTTGTCCGTCAATTCGAGACCCTCCTTGTGGTGGTCGGACCAACTTGCATCCCATCCGACTCCTTGTTCCACACCATCGTCCAGCCTGTCAAGCCACGGTACGGCCTGGATCATGCTCGCTCGGTAGACAAGGAACGAACCCTTCTTCTTTTGACAATACTTCTTTGGCGCCGAAAACGCCTCGCCCTATTTGGACGTCTTCAAACCTTGACGAAACGCATCCGGACATATTCTTGACAGTGGGAAGCAGAGACTACTGCAGTGGACCGCTCGATTCCTCCATAATCCCTTCGTGTGCGTCCCTTCCGCGCGCTTTGGATCCGCAACCATGTCGTCACGCCTCTACTTGCGGCTGCCCAACTTGCCGTCGTTCCACCGTGCCATCACGTCCTTCCTCGGCTTTATGGATCTCAAGATCGGAGCCTCCATCCTGACCCTATTCGCGCTCTTCAACAAGACAGCAGGCGTATACGGTATCCTTGCCGTTTTTCAAGGCGGCACATTCTCTCAGGTAGCTCTGTACCTCTACTCGATAGCCACCATCGTCCTCTTTCTGTGGGGTCTCAAGGGAATCTCTGACGAGGATGCGCAACACGTGCTCACCTACGCCCACCTCTTCACACTCGACCACATGATCTCCACGTTCTGGACGCTCCTGTTCACCTTCAACTGGTTCTACTTTACCCCGCACGACGGCCAACCTACCACCACCCAGTCGTCGCACCAGACTGGCCTCATGGATCTCATCGAGACGCTCGAGTCTCAGTACAGGACACCCGAAGAGATGCTCAAGCTGCATCACGAGAAGTTGACGCCGGAGCAGCGCAAGATGAGCGCAAATCAGATCTGGAAGGAGGAAAAGGACTTTTCCGCGGCGGTGCTGACTCTAGGCTGGCTGGTCAAGATCTACTTTGCATTGGTGCTGTACTCGTACGCGCTGCATCTGCGTCACGGCACCTACCGTACATTGCCGCTGTCCAAAGCGTCGGCCAGCTCGGCAGCGTCGCGAAATGGTGGACGCTCCGAGTATCGCTACCATCCCGTGGTCGAAGAGGAAGAGCTGGAGAGCTGGAGCGACGACGAGGCCGAAGCAGAGGCAAACAAAGCGCCAAAGGCCAACGGTACCAACGGTGCCAACGGCAGCGCTTCAATACCATCAGCAGCAGCGTCTTCCGGCAATGGTGCATCAGGTGGAGCCAGGGCTGTCATTGACCGTTTGGCAGTATGACCGTTATTGACCCACGTCGCTCAACGGAATCACACACTCGCCGCGACTCGTCGTGTCAGCGTCCATCATCACTCTGGAATACAGTATATGCGCACATCGACCAAGTTACATCGCGGCCTTTGCGAGTCCTGTTACTTTCTGGTCAAAGCTGAGTGCGCTAATATGAGCCCAGGTTCCGTCAAATGGCATCCTTGGGTGCTGGCGGCATGTAGCGAATCGCTCACTTGTCTCCACGGTCATCATCGGGCTACATCTCTTCGAGTGTTTTATCGGCGATAGTTTTTCCTATCCCGTATGTTAGGCCTCGGCAGCCGGCCGTCATCTTTACTGCATCACGTGAGTCTTTGTATACTCGGTTCACCAAGAAGCAATAGAATTCGAGTTAGATTCAATTTCCTAGTATTCACATATCTTGGGAGTGAGATTGAAATGACCAAGGCAGCAGACGGCAGTCTTTTCCAGGGACATCGCAAGATACTCCAGATAGTGGACCTGCTACCGGCCTCGGAGACCAAGAAGAAATCTCAAGTCGGCAGCCTCACAAACGAAGCTGTGACTGTCGATGGGTGAGAGCGAGAGCAAGTTCCTGCGACGTTTGGTTGAACAGCGACAGAGTACGGAAAGACTGTGCTAGCCTGTGACTGCCGCATGGACAGGTTGATCAGCAGGCTCGAGTTCGGCAGCAGTCAGCCAACGCAAGCAGCATCCCACTCGACGAGGTTGAGAATACCGCTCGCCATCATCGCTCGTCACACCACCAACCACCAAACCTTCCCCCCCTTCACCAACCTCACATATACTCGTCAAGATGGTCTCTTCGTCGCGTCGCGTCTCGCGCAAGGCTCACTTCGATGCCCCCGCCCACATCCGAAGAAAGATCCTGTCGGCTTCGCTCAACAAGGAGCTCCGCGCTGAGCACGGTGTAAGTATACACTCACGACATGCAGCAATCATTCGACGTTCGTTAGACCGGCCTCATCCAGCAACAACATCACAGAAGCATTGCAGAGCATCACACTCCGACTCTCATCGGCATCACCCAGCATTGTTACAGCCGACAACGGCATAGGCAACGTCAACGATGGAAAAGGATCGGAGGATAAGGATGCTTGGTACATGCACGCTGGCACCTGTCGTCTCGACGTTAGGTGTATGATCTTCGACACTGTCGTTCGCATCTCTCAGAGCATTGGATGGAGGCAAATTGAGCATTGATGTTTGACGTCCTGTCGGATTATAGAAAGGGTCTCAAGGCCCTTCTTAGGCAGTGGAAGCCGAGACAGCCGCTGGGGACTCTCATTTCGGCCTTGCGACTTCTGCCATCCCATACGATCGGTCAGGAGAGGCTGCGATCTTGCTGGACCACAGTTGCACCCCTTCGAGGAAAGCTGTCATCAAGCCACAACTTGCGATTGCAGCGCTGGCAGATCGGAGTGGTACGCGCAGTAGGCCTGCTCTGCGATAGGCTTGACCGTCCAATCTGACCCAGTGTCACTCATCAACGGCTTCGTCTGGCCCAACATGCAGCAGCAAGGTCGGAGACAAGTTCGATGGCAGAATTGATCAGTGGTGACACCAGATTCGAAGGAGGATCATGCGGCTCAGGAATGGTTCCGTCGCCAGGCCACGTCAATCTGTGTCGCTTGTCTTGTCTCACTTGCGCCGACATCAGTGGCTGCGTCCATGAGGGATTAGGAAATCTCTCGTACAACTCGCCAGCATAACGACATGATCGACATTTACCGACGCCTATCCGACGCAGACACCACACCAGCCCATTTCGCTTGCTCGGACACGACGTCGATGATTGCTTGCATCTAGAATTTCATTTGTACCATGAACCGCTTCTGACCCCTCCTCTCTCTCTCTCCGCATCACCTGATTGCACCTCAACAGATCCGATCGCTCCCCGTGCGCAAGGATGACGAGGTCCTGATCGTCCGTGGTTCGTCCAAGGGCGCCGAGGGCAAGGTCACCCAGGTGTACCGCAAGAAGTGGGTCATCAACATTGAGCGCATCCACCGCGAGAAGACCAACGGCGCCACCGTCCCTCTCGGCATCCACCCTTCCAACGTTGTGATCACCAGCCTCAAGCTCGACGAGGACCGCAAGAAGATCATCGCCCGCAAGGCTGGTTCCAAGAAGGAGACTGCCGAGACCAAGGACAACTAAGCGCCGCGCTCTCCCGTAGCGTAACGTTTCGTTGTTCCCAGGTCATTGTCAGCATTCTCGTTCTTGTTTCCTATTGTCGCGGCATCATTCTCCTCTCGTACACCTCGCACACCGTTGCCGATGGCGATTCATTGTCGATCCTTGCATTGACTTACTGAACCGCAGCAGCGACGGTGCAAAACATCCTTCCCTCGGCAAGGCATTTTGTACAACTTTTCCAGTTCTTCGCAGCATTCTTTCCCAACGTCGACCCGAGGGAAGGTGGTCTTGTGCGTCTCACCATATAAGACCAAAGGGTCATCTGCACCAAGGCTCGAAGAGGATATGGTTGCTTCTCTGGCTGTTGCGACCGTATCCACTTTGCATTCGCCGTTGTGGATGACTTCCACCTTCTATTCATTTGCACAGCATTGCCGCCACTGTGTCGGTTCTGTCTCTGTTTCACATACAAATCCCAAGCCAGCCACCCAAAATATCAAACACACTAGTGATTCCAACTTCTGCCGTGTTTGCGGTCGTCTGTCGTCTGTGGTTCCTGTGTATGGCGTTCTCTGCGGTGTCATTGCGATCTGAGGTTGACGTCGTCGTCAAATGAGCAAGTTGCAGACCGCTCGAACAAAGCTTCCTTTTTTTGTCGGAATAAATTGGCCTCCTTTGTTCTGCCGAATTTGAAGAGGTCCTTTCTTGAAGGGAAAAAATGGACATCTGTGATGCTGGATCCGAAGCATGGAGACGAGGACGGTGCTTCGTCTGGAATTCACAGTTGGGGCTTTCTCGCAACGATCCGCATCACACGCAAATAAACTACAACACTGTCAAGTGCATATCCTTTCCAAACCGATCACATGTTCGTCGAGACCAGCTCGGATTGTCAATGAAGGACAGTAGCTGTATGCGATGCACTCTTGTACAGCCCGTTTCGATGTTCCAACATGGGATCGCAGTGTTTACAGAGCGACCCGCAACGCCCTTGTGATGTTATGTTGCAATTTAAGGTGTGGCCTGGAGAGGCGATGGCATCATTTAGAGGATTTCTTGCAAAGACACAGACGAGCGGCCTGGTCACGCGTTCAAGCACCAAATTCCGAAAAATCTAAAAAGACGAGAAATCAAAGATGGCATGGCACACACACGTAGCTGACGGCGCACACTGTAGCTGGACCGGAGGAAGAACCTTGGTAGCCCAAGAGGTACTTGCGCATCGCCCATTCAGGTCGAGTCTGGGCCGAGCCATGAAAGTAATTGGCTTGTAGAACATGCGCGGCACCATCGCATGATCGCATTTCGCTTCCTTGCATAGCGTGTGTAGCAATGCACACTAGAGCGAGCGATCCCGAAGAGGGAGAGTGGCGAGCAACGAGAAAGAGGGCGTGGGAGTGCGCAGATCTCAGTCGGTCCGGTGCGTCTCGAAATTTCGGGTCGTCTTTCGAGTCGAGAAAGTGTGCGTAGCTCGAGACCGCAGCGCACAGCATCACGACACAGATTTCGGCTCAACTCCGATTGCCACACACACTCTCACTCGGCTCGGCTATCACACACTTCGTCGCACGCTCGCACGCTTCTCTCTTCTCTTGTTGTTTGTTCGCCATCATCACTTGCTCACGTTGCTGTACTGCCGATCCGCTCTCCTGCACCCGACAACGGCACCCCGGATAACGCCATTCTTTCGTGATCAGGCGCTCTCTTCGACACTCGACGCATCCGTCTGCGCTCTATTTGTCGCTCCTCAGATCGACGTCGCTCGCTACACCTCTACTCGATCGCCTCTGCTTTAGTTCCGGGAATCGTTCTCCGCCGGTACACCGCCTTCAAGGACCAACATTCCCACGCTTCCCTATCGTGGCTGACGCTGCTGCATTGAACCCTGCATCGCAGTCGGCTTTGTCTGATCCGCATCAACGCACGAGGACCACAGCATCCTGGCGGATAGCTACATGGCGATGCACTCGCAGCTGCGCTACATTTGCTGAGCTTCAATTCCAGCGTCTGACTTGCTCGAGTCGTCGGCGTTTGCGCCTCACAATCCCCGGCTCGCGGCTCAGTCTGCTCTTCGGCAGCGCACGTTTGCCATCATGACGCCAAGCCAAACAAAGTCAGGCTCCTCCTTCGATCCATCTTCATCATATTTACACTCGACACACGTCGATGCTAGCGACCACCATCACCACCTTGCAAATTCATCGCGCACTTCTGATCATCATCCTCACATACGGACCTCGGAGTCGTCCAGTTCCACGTTCGCTTCTTCGTCCAGGCATACTTTGGATCAGGGCAACAACACAAAACGCACATCGAAGCAAGCAGCTTCTAGCTGTTCCACCAGACCACAAACATCAGCCTCGTCACCGCCATCCTCGCCAGCGTCTGCGGCCGCAGTTGACGAACGAGACCTAGAGTCGCAGTCGCTGTCAGCACATTTCCCACTGCAAGGCTCACAGGAAGGTCTCCATTCCAGCATCGCCTCGAACCGTAGCACCCATTCAGATCACCCCAACACGTCGGCTATGGCCACGCTTACCGTCAACACGCCTCCTGCAGTCCATCAAACCGATCCGATGCTCCAAGTACGCTCGACAAACAGTCCGCTCCACAAGTCGGCTGCCTCTTTCCACCACTCACATCGTTCGCCTTCACCTCCACCCCCGCCTGCCCCGTACACACAACCTCCTGTCACATCTTCATTGAGCAACGTCACTTCTGGCGACGGCTGGGCCATCGTCCCCAAGTCCCCAAGGTGCACCTCTTCGAATTCCGAGGCTGCCCTCGCATCGGCGAATGCATCATCTAGCGCGTCTGCGTCTGCGTCTTCGACAGCACAGCACGCCAACGCAGACGACTTTGCCGGTCTAAGCCAAGCTGCTTACGCAGCAGCCGCCAACGATGCATCAACTCGTCGCTGCGGGCCCGTCGACCTGGCTTCCAGCTACGATGTGCCGTTTGGAGAAAGGGCCTCACCCGCCATCATCTCGCTCGCTCAGCGCAATGCTAGGCCCTTGAGCCGCAACGGCGTACATCCGCCCAGCCCTTTGACCTTGTCTCCCGCATTGGCGAGCGAGCCCATCAATCCGTCTGGCGCACATCGAGGTGGTCTTCGTGGATCCGATGAAGATCTCGAGGTCGCCGACAAGGATGCTGCCATGGACACCTCAGACGACAACTGCGCATCTACCGGCGCAACACCTCTGGTGCCTCCAGCAACACGAAAACTCTGCGTTCGACACCAACGCATGGCCGACGAAGGCACCACCGCCCGACTGCAAAAGGTAAGCAACTACTTTCGCTACGACGTTCCGCCCTCACTGTCTTTGTTCCCCTCCCCATTTCCCTTCTTTCATCGCCTTGTGACTCGCTGGTTGCTCTCTTTTCCGGAGTTCGCTTGGAGTCGTAAGGTAGATGCAGATCCGGCAGAATCGTGTCGTCCATTGTTTCTCGCGGGCGCTCGAGGCTGTCTAGCGATTGCCGTAGGGGGTTTCCCCTTCTGGCGGTCGTGGATCGCGATTATGCTATAACGAAACACTCTGTTTGAAGCCTCGATCTGCCTTATAGGTCGTGTGCTATAAGTGATGTGGTACATGCCTTCTTTTCTCTTCTTCATTGTTTCGAACGGCACTTGGATCTCGCCGGTCCTCTTCCTTTGACGAGACACAACATACTGACTGTCATGCTGCATTGTCCTTTTTTTTGCTGCATTTTTAATGCCCGTAGTCCATCGAAAGCCTGCCGCTCGCCGATCAGACCGCCGTCAACACCGTGTGGTCGCTCTTTTCGTCTTCGTCCCACTCGCGCAGGGCGCTGATCCTCCAAGGCATTCTCACCATGTGCTGCTTCAGCCAGCTTTCGCTGCTCTCGTCCGAGCTAGCCCTCGCTATCCGCATCGACCCGTTCTCGCTCTTCCCGCGGGAAGTTTCGCTCAAAGTGCTCGGCCATCTCGACGCAATGAGTCTCGGCAGAGCTGCCCAGGTGAGCCGATCCTGGAAGCAGCTTGCCGATGACGACCTGCTCTGGCGCAACATGTGCGAGCAGCACATCGAACGCAAGTGCGAAAAGTGCGGCTGGGGTCTTCCGTTGCTTAGCGAGCGCCGTCGTCGTGCGCCCGGTCCCGCTGTGCAGCTCGGCACTCCCGAATCGCGCGACCTCAGCTCCGATGGGTCGGGATGCACCTCGTCCACCACGCCGGGCTCGCTCAAGCGCAGCATCACTGCCGCTGCCAACGCCGCTGCGCTCGAAAAGCAGTCACGCTCGCGGGCCTCGAGCCCCACCCCCTCCGGCGGTCGCAACCACTCCCGCTCCGTCTCTGGCCAGCGTGATTCGCACTTGGACGCCATCCCGGAGCAGCGCGACCGCGACGCCCCTCCTCTCAAGAAGCAGCGAAGCGGTCTCAACGGCGAGGCCAATGCCTCTGGCTCATCGTCGGGCGCTGCACCAAAGACGCGTCCTTGGAAGTCGGTCTACTGCGAGCGACTCGCCATCGAACGCAATTGGCGCCGCGGTCGCTACACGTCACGCATTCTCACGGGGCACACAGACGGTATCATGTGCCTTCAATTCAACGAGAATCTGGCGCACCCAGCATTCCCGGTCGTTATCACGGGCAGCTACGACCGCACTGCGCGCATCTGGAACCTCGAAACGGGCGAGATGCTGCGCGTGCTCGAGGGGCACACCAGGGGCGTGCGCTGCCTGCAATTTGACGAGGCCAAGCTCATCACCGGATCCATGGACCGCACGCTCAAGATCTGGAACTGGAGGACGGGTGCGTTGATGCGCACGCTCGAGGGTCATACCGAGGGTATCGTCTGCCTCCACTTCAACGACGACACACTTGCCAGCGGCAGTGCCGACAGCAACATCAAGATCTGGAACTTCCGCACCGGCGAATGCTACACGCTCCGCGGTCATCGCGACTGGGTCAACGCCGTGACGCTCTGGACGGGGCCTGCCGCCAAGAAGCGCCAGCAGCGTCTGCGAGAAGCTCTTCGGGAATCGCGTACCGTCACCTCGATCAAGGAGGAAGATCCCACCGCCGCCGGCACTTTCCTCTTCTCTGCATCAGATGACGGCTCGATCCGACTCTGGGACCTGGGCTTGCGTGAGTGCCTGCTCACGTTCGAAGGCCATGTAGGCCAGGTGCAGAGCCTCAAACTCGTCATGATGGACGACGAGGCGGTGAGGAAGCTCGTCGGCGGCGCAGCTGGCGGTGTCGATGGCGAGTCGTCGGCTCAACAGCGCAGTGGCGCACGACAAGCTTCGACTCACTCGAACGGGAATGCGCACGAGGAGGCGGTAGCCTCTGGGGATGCAGATCAGGACATGCTTTCGGTCGAGGATCAAGAGTCGTACTTCCTCGGCGATGCCAGCCTATCGCCATCGCGCCGACAGTTCGAGGGAGGGCTGGCGTCGTCTGTAGGAGCGGCAGATATCCGTTCCAGCAGCGTCAGCAACGGCAGCGCATCGACCAGGCTTGGTCCTGCGCGTCGAATGTCGAATGCAGCCGAGATCCCAGAGCGCTTCTACCACGCAAACGGTAGCAACGATGCTGCACCTCGTCGAGGAGTAGGTGCCTCGTCGTCACAGCAGCAACAGCAGCGTCGTCGCATCGACAAGAGCCTGTTGCGGGTGCAGGACCGTCTGTGTGCAGCAGGACTCGTCGAGCCGCTGCCTCTGGATGCCGAAATGGGCGATCTGGACCCTACCATCCAAGCCGCGCGCTCGACGAACGGCAACCGATCGGGCGACGAATCGCAATCCAGCACTTCGAAGGACAAGACCGCCGATCGACACCACGTCAAACCGCGTCCCGTGCTTATTTCCGGTTCGCTGGACAACACGCTCAAGATCTGGGACGTGCGTACCGGTCGATGCATCCGAACGCTCTTCGGTCATGTCGAGGGCGTGTGGTCGTTGGACGTGGACAAGTTGAGGATCGCGAGCGCGTCGCATGACAGGACGATCAAGATCTGGGACAGAGATACGGGGTACTGCCAGAACACGTTGGTAGGGCACAAGGGTGCCGTGACGTGTGTCAGTTTGAGCGACGATAAGATTGTCAGCGGTAGCGATGATGGCGATATCAAGGTGTGGAGCTTTGCTGCACAGTCGCAGACAGGTGCTGGAACAGGGGGACCAGGTGCGGGTGCGGGTCAGCATCGGTTTGCTACGCCGGTGACCGCTAGTGCGGGGGATTTGGGCGGACCTGCTCCGCCCGCTTAGTCTGAGAACGGTCGTTTTTGTTTTTTTTTTACTCTTTTCGCATGCATGCAAGTTGTTTTTGATCTTCCGCAAACGATGGTTCGCAAGTGTGAGATGATGGGTGATGCGTCAGCTCGCTGAGACCTCTGTCCTGAGCCGACACCACTTGAGGCTGAAAGACAATAAAACCTGATGATGACAGCATGGTACTTTTACAGAAACGGGCCCTTTCGTGTTGGGGAATGGGGGATCACCGGGGGGTATAGCTATAGAGAATCTTGTGCAGATCTACGACTCAACGACCTCGGTCTGCTCTTCGACGACGCCGTTTTCGTCTGCCACTGCTGTGGACGTCGCGACAGCCTCCGCGCTGAGTGGTTCGACGGGAGCGGCATCGACCTCTTGCTGCTCGGTATCGACTGTGCTCTCCTCCGGTTCGACGCCATTAGCCAGCGAGTCTTGCGTCTCGACCCCGTTCGCGCCCGCATCCTCTCCCTCTCCCTCCACCTGCGCGGCATTGAACTCCTGCAACTCCCTCATCTCCTCCTCCCCCCTCAGTGGCCCTCTCTCGCCCACCGCTTTCTCCTCATCCCTCACCTTGAACCGCAGATTCTCCTCGTAAAACTGCAGCAGCTTCAACGGACATCGATGGTGCGCAACCACGCTCTCGAACGCCAGCCGGTCTCCGCTCTCAAAGAGTACGAAGACGCGGATCTTGTTGTTGGGCATCTTCTCGACGGCTTCTACGCGCTTGACGATGGGATCCCAATCGGGGATGCGCGCGTAGCGCTTGCGCAGACGGTCGAGCTGGATCGCGTGGAGGTGCTGGGCTTCGAGGAGCGTGCGTTGCTCGTCCGAGAGGGTGGGGTCGGAGCGGATGCGGAGGAGCGCGGGGTCGTTTTCCGTGTCGATGAGGGCGTCGTCCGGGGTGGGTGAGCGGGAGGCGGCGAGGTCCGGGTTCTTGCGTTTCGTGCTTCGAGACGATGTCTCCCCCAGCGTGAGCGTGGATTCCCGTCTCGAGGTCCTCTTGCCCGCACCACCCGACAGCGCACCCGCACCGCTCTTAGCCGCAGGACTCGAAAGCGAAACACTCGACTGTCTCTTCCCACCCCCACCCTTCTTCCCCTTCGAACCCATCTTTTTGACCTTCTTACCCGGAACTTTAGCCCAGTACTCCTGGATCATCTCCTGCGCTCCTCCCATATCCGACTCGTACACCCAGCTATTTTCGCTATCAGGATACCCCTTCCACTTGACAAAGTACGAAAGCTGGCCCGCGGTGGTGGTCTCCTGCGAGTGCGAGACGATGTATTCGATCTCGTACTCGTCTTCGGGTTCGTCGGAAGCTGCATCGTCACCATCGGCTGCTGCGGCAGAGTCGGGTGCGATGGCATCGCCGTTGGAATCGACCATGAGGACGTCATCGTCGGACGATGGCGCAGCACCATTTAGCGTGGATGTTGAGGGTCCCGCGACGGACGACATGTTGTAGAGTCAGTCCCAAAGCTACAAGCTTTCGGAGGAATGGCAATGGTTTCTGTCGATGTGCGAACTGTACTGGACGGGATCCTGAAGAAGAAGCAAAAGCGAGAATGATGTTGGAAAGGAGAGAAGAGAAGAATCACAGACACGGTTCCCGCATTGCATCCCCTGCCCAACTACGGATTTTGCGCACAGACGCCTCAAAAGCGCGTTTTTCAGAAGGAAAGAGGCAGTGTCGCAATTGTGCCGCGTCCCTCTTCGATTCTTCCAGTTGCACCTCAGAAAGAGCAGGACGTGTCTGAAACAAGAAAAATGACAAGGTCGCGTAGAGAGAAACAAAGTTGCGCAACCTCGCGCGAACCTGTGTAACGCTCCAGCAGCCCGGCAACTTTCAAGCAGCGCAACTCAAAGTCCAGCGAGCTACAGTAACAGACCCGCTACTGGTGTGTCTTGCTCAATAGTCTTGCACCCGCACTCTTTCCACTCGTAGCAATCCACACGCACCTTCGAGGTTGTTCCTGTATGACATTTAATCACCTCGCATCTACTGTCCGTTCCTCGACAAGTGATCATACGCAATCCAGTGACCTACAACTTTAGCCATATCATCCGAATGCTTCAGACAGAAAGCGTGGGGCATCCCGATCCTGCAGTGCGTGCTCGTCGCCCTCGACCTTCCGTAATGATACTGCATGCCTCGTGCGCTTGCTCCGGTGTCCGGCTTCCCATTTGCCGCCGCCGACGAGGAGACAAAGTCGTCCTCGCTGTCGCTGCTGGACTCGTTGACCTGTGCTTCGATGACGATCTCACCGTTGGGTTTGCGGATGGCTTTCGCGTTTCGCAGATCGGGGATGCTGCCCGGAGAAGAGCGGTATTCGGACACGCTGAAGCTGCGGGTTCGGACGTGAGATTTGGCTCCGACGCTTCCGAGGCGCGGTCGCGTGGCGTCGAGTCCTAGACCGGGTGGAAGGTGGACTCGATGCAGGCTGAGAGAGCTTTCCACCTGGGTGCGGATCCACGAGGGTGCCCACGAATCGCTGTCTTCGCTCGCCCAGTAGGAACGCACCCTTCCACCCGCCGCTTCGCTCGTAAACTTGCTGATCGAGTCCACCGTCGACGCATCCAGCTGCTGCACTGTCGAGAACTCGTCCTTTGCCATCCTGAGCGCGTTGAACACCGCACCTCGGGTCGTGAGCAAATCCGCCGTCGCCAACGCCGCTGCTTCCGGCTGCCCCGTAATCAACCTCACCAACCACACCATCACCCACAACGGCAACAACGTAAACACCAACAAAGGTATCGACAACAACGCCATCGAAACCGGATTCAACAACGCCAACTTGATCTTCCTCGCATTCGGCGTCCTCCCAATCCACGCCAACGTAGGGAACAACATGTGCAGTCCATCAACCCCGTCCGGTCTTGCCTTCAACACCTCCGTCGCTATCCACGCTCCGATACTGTGTCCCACCAACACCACCTTCGTCTCCCTCTTCCCGTCGACGTTGTACATCTTGTTCACGGCATCCACCACGGCGATCTTGTGTCGAACCTGATCGCCGAGCGTGCAACCGTATCCTTTGCTAGCTTGGGCCTGGTTGAGTTTGTTGTCGCCCCATACGGGGTTGGAGCCGATCTTGGGCAGCGGCGCATGACCACGATGCGAGACAGAGAGGATCTCGACGGACGAAGTTTTCAGGGACGACGAGGTGTAGATCGAGTGGAGGAAATCAATGTAGTACGACGAGAGACCGGGGTTGCCGGGGATGAAGAGCAGAACGACGCGCGGCGGGGTGGCTGTGGGTGAGGGCCACCATAGTGCCTGTGCGCCGGCGAAGGAGGTGGTGATGGGCAGGGAGAGCGAGCTCGCGATCGATGGTGTTGGCCGCATATTTTGCTAGTGGTCGAATTCCAGCGACGACCGGGATGCTTTGTGCTTCTTGTCGGGGTCCTCGATATAGTGTGCGGAGGCGAAGCAGCGTTTGAGCTCGATGCGCAAGTCGATTTGTTGTACGAAGTTTCTATACTGTCGGCCCGCTGATCTACGTCCGGTGCTGATGTCGTGGATGATCGTGACAGGACAACTCTCCGGCAAGGACATTCCGAAGCCGTGTTCGAATAAGTTCCGCCACTGCGGTTGGATAGCCACCGGCCCGTGCACGCGCTACTGGGCGGCAACCCTAAACGCGGAGAAAAAACAATATTTCAAGATCCGCCCTCACAGACAAGAAGATTCACACATATCCAAGATATTCCGCCGATACTGATGTAATTGAAAAGGATTGGAATACGATGCGATGCGGATGGAGAACAAGATGTCGGCACCAGGCCGATGGAGACGTTAGGGGAAGTTTCATACTCAAACTTTGCCTTCCTTGCGATTGGAGCTGGTACCCTTGAACAGCTTGCCAAAGACGGATTCGCGTTTATGATGTTTACCTGCTTCAACGGTGGGAGGAGCTGCTGGGGCAGAAGCGGGTTCGGCGTTGCCGTTTCCTCGTAGGCGGCTGGCCGTACGTTGAAGCATGTTCTGAGCTGATGGTGGAGGTGGTGCTACTGCTGAGGCGTCGCTGTCCTTTTCGGCGTTGACTCGCTGAGGCGTCATCGTGGCTGTGGTGGAAGATGAGACCGATCGTTGCTGTGACGCTGGCGTTGGCGACGTCAAGTCTCTGCTGCGATTGCTACTGCTGCTGCTGCTGCTGTTTGGCGATACCTCTGCGACCTTCGTATCGCCGCTGAGTTTGAGGGCAGTCGGCTCTTCGTCCGCGCTCTCTGGCACCGCCATCGGTGACGCCTTCTCCCCAATGGGAGCCAGCTGCGAATGGCCCACCGATAAGTCGCCTTCGACCCCATCTGTACCTCCGCCATCCGTCTGCTCGAAAGAGACGGATTTACGATGCGACAATCGACCGTCCACAGAACGATTGCGCCGTTTGCTAAGGCTGTTCTGAAGATGCGCCTCCTTTGTCGGCGAGTCGTCGTAGCTACTGAATCTACGCATTAGGCTCGTGTCGTCTCCCTCTGTGGCGAGCACATGCTGACCATCGATCGAAACGAGCTTGGTCGAACGAACGGATCCGTGAGGCGAAGGCAGAGACACGACACCCGTAAAATTGCGAAACGGATCGAGCTTTTCCAGGTTGGGCGTGGTGGTTCGGCTGTGGATGGTGTCAAAATCCCAAGACAGATAGTGCTGCGTCGAATGGATAGAGCCTGCACGACGTCGCTCCTGTCGGTCAGCGAGCGGTGGCAGCCCGGCTAGCACCGCCGAGATGAGGTATTTGGGTGTCTTGGCTTGTTTGAAAAATCCATGCGCCAGAAGCTTGTCTGCCGTGGGTCGCTTGTCAGGGCTCTTTTGCAGACACTGACGAACAAAATCGTCCATGAGCTTCGAATACCTGTGTGCACCGCCCGTGCGATCCAGTTGCGGCGGCTCATCCTGCATCGTGCGCATCAGCACCTTGACCGGATTGAGCTTCGAATTCGGTGCTCTCCCTTGTGCCAACTCGAGCGCGGTGATGCCGAAGCTCCAAATGTCGGCCTTGGTGCCGTAATGCTTGCGCTCGATCACCTCGGGCGCCATCCAGCAAGGCGTGCCGACAAAGCTCTTGCGCTTGCCTTCGCTCGAGACGCTACCGGACGACTTGTCCGTGTCACCTACAAAGACGCCGACGCCAAAATCGCCGAGCAGGACGGTGCCGTCGTCGTCGACCAGGATGTTGGCCGCCTTGAGGTCGCGATGGAGCCAGCCGTTGACGTGCAGGTAGTTGAGGCCCTCGAGAGCCTGTTTGAGCACGGTGGCGATGACGATCTCGTCAAAGCCTTCCGGGTGGGCGAAGCGCATGATGTCGAGCATGGAGCCGCTACTCATGAGACGAGTGGCAATGTGAAGCTTGGAGCCTCTGACCCAGCAACCTCGCACTCGAAGGACGTTGGGATGCTTGGAGAGCGACATGAGCTGCGTTTCTCGGCGCAGCTCCTCGGTGTCGCGACCGTAGGCTTCGAGATCGATGACCTTGATGGCGCAAGCCCTGTCGAGCGGTTTGAAGACGCCTTGATGTACGACGGAGGATGCTCCGAAGCCTGCGAGGGAGCAGTGAGGGAATCGAGATCTTGGTTGTCAGTATCAGATTGGCGGCCACGGGGATTGACTCAAGCTCAAACGTACCGATCACGTCTCCTACGATATAATCATCGCCGTTTGCCGAGTACATAGGCTGTAAGGTGCATCGTCGGATCGAGGTGAAGGTCAGTATAGTCGCGCAGGAGTGAGAAGACGCATACATAGAGCAAGGCTACTTACCCAGTCATCGTAGACGGAACCAATGTGCATGGCGGCTCGCATCTTGGCCATACGGCCGATGGCGGCATCTTTGTCCCTGGCACTGTCGCGCGAAGTGCTGCTCCGAGGCGTCAAGACGGGCGAGACACTGAGGGTGGATGCTGGACCCGACGTTGTGCTTGAACCGGACGTCGGTGCAGCGACATTGGAGTCGAAGGTGCTGCTGCCGGAAGCAGCCGATGCCGACGCAGACGCAGATGCGCTGACCTTGCGCAGAGCGTCCAGTGCCATTCTGTATGCGCAGAGTCTCTATCTGGCGAGCTTGCGTTGGGGCCAAGCTTTTGCTCGCCAGGGGGAGAAATCTGGCGGCAGCGCCGATGCGCCGATGCAGGCGTCGAATTAGTGCTGCGTTGGACGTGAATCAGCAGCGAGAAGAGCGAGCTTCAACTTAGTCGACCGCGATGTTGCTTGTGTTGACTCGAGCTTAATTCTTGAGATCCTGATCCAATGTTCTCGTGAAGAGCGTGACGAGAGCAAGACTACAGTTTCATATATGCGACGGTGCAGATGACGGCCGTCTGAGAGGCTAATCCGTGGGAGCGGGTGTTCTCGAATCTAGCCAAGCCTGCTTGCTTGCTGCAGCGGGGTCGCCGATAAGCTCGTGGAAAGGCGAAATGAAGTCGATGCGGGTCTATTTGTCGCGTGCGCTGTCGAACGCCAAGATCTGCTGGAGCAATTGTTCCAAGTTACCAGCCGTCTGCAGTGATCAGTGGTGCCGTTCAGAGGAAAGAGAGGCGAGGATGCAACGGAAGGACGTGGATGAAGAGGTGAAAGGGAATGACAAGCGGTGCAGCGTCGAGGACCAACAACGGAGATGATCCCCGAGGATCGACCGTGTTGATGCCGCGACAACGTCGATGAGGCTTGACGGGAAGGAGGCTCGATCCTCTTCCAGCGCGACACGAGGCGACCGACAATGTGATGGAAGATGCAATGCTGCAGCACGCCAAGCTCCACAAGGAGCAACATCATCCTTACTATACCACGGCAAGCGCACCAAAGCAGACACGCGCCACATCGCTTATCCTCACAACCGAGCAGGACCCTGTTTCAACCTTTTTCTCTACAGGCTACACACTGTACACTGTCAAGTTTTCCTTAACTGTGTTTTTGAATATTTTCGGACAGGCCGGTTGTGCGCGCTCACGAGGAACGAATCGCCTGCATCACCCCTGCAGCGAGCCGCTGAAGACAGGAGCATTCAGCAGCCACATCATCGCCAGAGACTTGAGGCCAAGACCAAAAGGCTACGACAATGCTTCAAAAGTAGAAGGGTGATACATCAGAAAGGATGTACGTCACACACAGACACCACCATGAGCGATGACAGGGGCGTTCCGCGTAAGAGAGCTTGGATTGCCGCGACGGCTGCATGCGGGCCCTCTCTGGCTGCATCGGCTCAGTCTATTCGAGCACAGATGTTCAAGTCGATGATCGGGCAAGTGCTCGCGTCAAGTGCCGATGTCGACATTTGAAGCCGCTCCATGCGCTGCGACGCCTCGAACTAGTTTAGCGTGGCGGCAAGGCGGCTCTTGCCATCATTGACTTGCGCGCACTATGACGCGGAGTCGTGGGTGAAGCGCCAAAGTGGCACAGTCGGCCTTCACACTTTGGAACGCTCCCGGGCTTGTCGCAGCCAAGCCGAGACGAGACGACGGCGTGTGACGGCGGCAAGACTCGAGGTGGCAGCTTGCTTGACACGAGCCAAGCAAGGAAATGATCCGATTTTGCGCTGTCCCACACCGCCGGAGCTCGTCTCTCATGCACGCTTCAGCCCACTTTCTTTTGCAGCGAGGTTCTAGACTCGATTTTTGGGTTGACGTGCTGTGTGCGTGTTAACTTAGCACGGCCCACCTTGTTGGGTTCAACAGCTCGACGTATCGACTCCACTTTGTCATCTGATATCGCTTTCTGAGACGAGGCGCGCTCCCCCTTGTGTTCGCCCACTCCGATCGACGCTCCATCCTCGTCGCCATCATTTGTCTTTCACAGCTTTGCCTTCTTGGCTATCCCCGCGGCCTAGCGAACGAAAGCAACGATCTGACCGCTCGTCTGGCGCAAGCACAAGTGGCACCATTCCACCGCAGCCCGCCATCATCCACCGAGTGTCTCATCGACGACCGTCTTCATCAGCACGTTCCAACTCAACAACCCCGCCCTCATTTTGGCCGCAACTCACGCGGTTGCAGCGCGGAAGCCGTATCTTAGCACTGCCTATAATCCTTTTTTCACCAGCCATCCAATTCCGTCGGTCGCCGGAGATCAACGTCGTCTCAGCATGCAACCTCCGCCATTCTGAGAGAAGGTCGCTTTCCCTACAGCTACGTCTGGCCTCCTTCTTCGGACGCCTCGCGTCGCATTGATATCGCTTTGAGGCGTCCATCGTAGAGCGCCTCAGCTCGATCGCATCACCATGCTGCGCAACGCTGTCAGTCGCACCACCCTCAAGGCCGTCGGTCAGGGCGGCCTCGGTGGCTCCTCCAGTCATGCAGACGGTATGCATCCAAACCTCGGTCTTCACAGCGCTGCTGCCACCGGAAACATCGGCCTTGTCAAGTTTGCTCTCGAAAACGGCCAACCAGCCAACAGCAACCTCAATGGCATTTTGCCTCTCCACGCTGCCTGCTCCGGTGGCAGCGAACAGAGCGTGCGCATGCTCATCCTGCACGGCGCCGATGTCAACGCTCCACGTCTCAGGGCAAAGGGCTCCGCAGCTGGACCAGGTGCCGAAGGATCCACCCCCCTCCACTTTGCTGCTGCCAACGGCCATCTCGAGATCGTGCGCATCCTCCTTGAGGCCGGTGCGCGCCCCGCTGCCGCTGACAAAGAAGGCGTCACCCCGGAAGCGCTCGCGCTCGGCGCAGGTCACATCGAATGCGCCAACCTCGTTCGTTCCTGGATCTCGGCTTACGGGTCCAACGGCTTGGCCGGTATGGTTGAATCGCGCGAGACCGTCAGCGGCGACGTCACTCTGGGTCCAGCAGGCTACATCCGTTACGCTGCCTCTGGTGGAAGCGCTTCTCCCCTTCCATCTACAGCCGCACCATCTGCCGCCAACTCGACTCCCGCCTTGTCCAGCACACCTCAAGCTGCCGTTCCTCATTCCGCAACCAAGTCATTCAGCACTGCTTCCACCTCGAACCTCACGACGCAGTCGTCCTTCGACACGCTGCCAGCCAACAAGAGCGGATCGCTCTCAAAGACCAGCTCCAATCCGAACCTGCGAAATCAGGTCTCCTCGTCTGCGACGCCTCCTCTACCCGTCGCGTCACCCACGTCTGTATCCGTCGCTTCATCTCCTCATCCAGCATCGGCATCAGCATCGACAATCGCGACGCCCGTCACAGCTGCAACCTCCCCGCGGATGACCACCTTCCCATCCACTCAGCAACCGTACGAGCCGGTCAGCGTCGCTACCGCCATAGGATCAGGAAGCGTTCGCGAGTCTAAAAGGCGACCGTCGCTGCCGTCGATCTTGGAGAAAGCTGCGCATCCGGCTGCATCCTTGCGAGCGGCTCTGGCCAGCGGCTCGTCGGCTCACACGGGCTCCATCAGCTTTTCGCAGGCATCATCTGTCAGACAACCAGACGTCTCGTACGACGCCAATAGTTTGAGCCCTGGCAAAAGACCTGCCAAGCTTGCAGGCAAGCGCAGCCTGTCCAACATTCTTAGAAAAGCCACCGGCTCGAACCCGATCGGCAGTCAACAGCAGTCGACGCCAGCTTCACAGCACTCTGGTTCCTCCTACGCCGACACGACCGCTGCTGCTAACAACTACATGCTGAGTGGTGGCGCGATCAACATGGACGCGCTTGCGAAGCCTGGCCGAAAAGCTGGCAGGCCATTCGAGCACCAACGCCCCTCGGCCGCCTCCTCCCTCCGCGGAACGCGACGCAATACAGCTGGCGATAGCTCAGCTGAGGACCAAGAGGCATGGAGACATGTTCCGATAACACCTGCCACGCTCTCCGAATCGCGGACGGAAGCTGGCGCGTTGAACCAGCCGCGCACGCTTCGAAGCACTTCCTCCTCTTCGTCACTTTCAGCAGCTCGCGATCTGTTCATTGCCGATAATCAGCGCAGAGCCCGTGCCGGCTCCAACGAGCGGGTCACTAGCAACTCGCGTCTGCCGCAACGTGCCAACGCTTCGCTCGACCTGCTGCGCCCGATAGGTTTCCTTGGACAGAGCGACGACCCAACAGCATCAAGAAAGAGCATGGACAAGTACAGGGTGAATTCCAATCAAAACAGCCGCATCGATGCCATCATGCGTGCAGGTCTCGCTCTGCCATCAGCCTCAGGATCGACGTCTAGCAGTCAGCAAGCTGGAGCATCGTCCAACGCACCGCACTTCGCCAGCAGGGACAGGTCGGTGAGTGGGTCTAGTTCCCAAAGCGCTGCGACCACCGACAATGATGGGCAAACGGTGGAAGAGACCGCGGATGAAGACGATCTACAGGAGTTTCTCGATCACAGCGCTTCCCAGACTGGTGACAGCACCTTGGATGGCGGTGAGCGGCACGATTCACATCGGCTTCCTGCAGGACTACGTACCATGACCGCGCTTCGGCAGCAGAGCAGCAGGGACGCCGGAGACACTTTGATGACCGACCCAGCAGCTCCGGCTCACTCCCTCGTCAATGCGCCCGGGGCCTTACAAGACGGAAACCCGAGCCACAGCAGCAGCAATACGCCGCTCACTCGCGTCACGCGCGATCGATCCGGCAGCCACGTCTCTGCCGTGAGCTCAGGCTCTCAATCCGGTCACAGCTCCCGCGGTACGGACTTTGGCCAGCGAAACTCGCCGGGTCTTGCCGCGGGCTATCAGGCCATGTCCATCGCCGAGGAGAATGGGTTGACATTGTCCGCCGGCCCTGCATCGACAGCAGGCACTTCAATCTCATCTCTGAGCCGAGCCGGTCGAGCTCCTTCAGTCACCGAAAGCATCACGAGCCATGCTTCGTCATCGTCGCTTCGTTCCAACTTTCTCAGCGCGGCCGAGCAGGCCCAAGCCATTCTAAACCACGAATCGCCCTACACGTCTGACGGTCCGGATGGCACAAGCACCTCGTTGGCGGCGCAGCTCGCTGCCTACGGAGAAGCATTAGCTGTGGAGCGGAAGCGAGCTGGAGACGTACGGAACGGTTCCTCGCCCGCCCTGAGCGCACGAGGAAGCAACGCAGCACTACGCTCTAAGCTGCCAAGCGTCAGCGAGGATCAATCGCCTTCGCGATCCGCGAGTCACAATTCGCGCAGCTTTTCGGTGAGCGAACAGCGCCACCCCAACTTGCCCGCAACCGCCGCACAGTCTTACAATCGACGCGTGTCTCGCAGGCCGCACAGCAGCGAAGGCCAACAGGACGCAGCCAAACGCGGTACGTTCGGTTCGGTCACCACGACGATCGGCCCTTCGACACTGTCTGCAACGGACAAAGCCAGGCTAGGGCTCGACAGGAGTCCTGCACCAAGTCACGCCAATGAAAAGGTAGCGGCGCACGACTCGCGAGGCGTATCGCCACACACGATTGATGTTCGCCGAGAGGGATCGCCTCTGCCGCAACACACGGCACAGGGCCACGCCGAGGTCGCTGCAGCACCTGGCCCTAGCGATCGACCCGCCGCCGCGATGCCGACCAAGGGTCAACCTCGACGTCGTCACGAGCCCGTGACGCTCAGCTCCGCCTCGATCTTACCGCTGGACACGGCGACACCAAACCCTTACGCAACGGGTGCAGCCGCAATCGATGTTGACGACGAAGACGATCCCAAAACTCCTGTTCTGGGCGGTGACAGGGCGACGATGGACAAGTTTGCTACTTCGACGCGCAATCTGCATCATCACAGCCCGTCGTTGCCAACAGAACTCGAATCGTATACTACGGCCAGATTTGAACGTCTGCCGGATATCGTGCCGGCCGGTGGCAGCGGTCCTGACAGCAGCACGGGCAGTGCAGCGCCGCCCAGACCACCGCCCCGCAAAGAGTCGATCCACCCCTCGGGCCTCGGTCTAGACAGTCCCAGCATCAGCAGCGACAGTCAAACGCTGACGCCCGATTCGGTCCAATGGCAGTCATGGCGAGCCGAAGACGGGACGGTCGGTCGCGGCGAAGACAGTTCGACCCAAGAGAAGCCAACAAGATCCACCTCTTCCAGTCGATGGGACGGACTGAGAAGGCCGAGCCTCAATATGCTGCGAAGCGTGACTTCCTCGTCGACAAATTCGCAGACACCGAGCCACGCTTCCTTCAGCGGCAGCGCAGAGGATCACGGCCACAGCCGATGGTCGACCGAGGACAGCACCGTGCTTGACAAAGCAGAGCAACAGGCTTCAAGTGGTGGGAGCTCCAGCAAGCGCGGATTGGTGCGCAACCTTTTGCATAAGGCCAAGGGAACATCCTGAGTACATGCTTTTCCCTACAAGCTGGCGATGTGAGCAGATCTGTTCCTTTGTATCATGCCTCAGAGAAACATCGCCATCGAACAAGCCTCTTGCAGTGACACAGATTGATGCGATCGAGTGTGAGATTCTCGGCCGCTGGCCTTAGGGAGATATGTGGGGGTCTGAGGCGAGCGTGTCGCGCAAAGTGCACTTCTTCGCGTCCAGAACCTTATTTTCCACCTGAGCACGGACCAGAACGCAACTTCTCTGCAGGCTTCCATTTCGGCGAAACCTGTTTCTCGTTCCTTTCCTCGATACCACCCCCATCCACCTTGATCTCGTTTGCAATCATCTTACTCACGCCCCAGTCAAGAGCTTTCAGGATGGCCGAAGAAACAGCTCCAAGGCGAAGCGCACGCACAGCAGGCAAACCCGCGCCCTCCGCGCCTGCGCCTACGCCAGCGGTCAAGCGAAAAGCTCCGTCGAACGAACCAGCCAAGAGCGGCGAAAAGAAGTCCAAGCCTGCTCCTACCACCAAGGGTGCCTCTGCTGGTGGCCAGATCAAAGTGGGCGACTCGCTGCCGAGTTTCAAGCTCAAGCTGCAAGACGGCAAAGAGATCGACACGGGTTCGCTCAAGAATGCCGTTCTGTTTTCGTACGTCTCGCTCTCTCTCTCTCTCTTCCATGCTTCTTTCCCCCTCCTTGACCTCCTTTCCACCTACTGACTCTCGTCTCTATTTCGCAAACTACAGGTACCCAAGGGCAAACACATCCGGTTGCACAACACAAGCCAAACTCTACCGAGACAACCACACCTCCTTCACCTCTGAAAGCTACACCGTCTACGGTCTATCCAACGACTCTCCCACCTCGCTCTCGTCGTGGAAGACGAAGCAGTCTTTCCCGTACGATCTGATCTCTGACCCGCAGCGGAAGCTCATCAAGGCGCTCACCGGTTCGGATGACAAGACGAGGAGGAGTCACTTTGTGGTGGATGGTGAGGGAAAGTTGGCTTTCGTAGAGTTGAGCGTCAAGCCGGTGGAGAGTTGGGAGTCTGCATTGGAGTTTGTGAAGACGCAGTGAGGAAAGGCTAGCGGAGTTTGACTGCGTGGCCGGTCTTGAGAGGGGTCAGGCGGGTCGGGAGGGTGGAGCCGAATTGGTGGGTGAGGAAGGCGTGTAGCCGAAGGTCGTTTTCTCTTTGGTTCTCGTCGAGAGCGGGTGGAGGGGGAGGCTGGTCCTCGGCGTCCCAGGAGTCCGGGGTATCTTGCGGCTTGACATCTTGCTTTGCGTCTTTATACGAGGACTCAGCCGGGAGGATATTGGTGTTGAGCAACAGCAGCTCACCCAAGAATCTCTCCGAATCCTCCATCTCCCTCCCCGTTCTCTGTTCTACCGTTGCACCGCCCTCGATCATATCCTTCACCGCCTCTCCCACCGGCAAATACATATACGCCCTCCTCGCCACCCCCCACGCAGCATTCCTCATCCCACCCACCACTTGCAACAAAACCAACCTCTGCCAACCATCCACCTCATACCCTCCACCCTCTCCTCCCTCCAACACCCTCGCCAGCGCAAACGGATCCACATCGCGCAACGCAACATACACCCGATCGCACATTCTCCCACAATCCCCTAGATCACCGTGTACCTCCTCCTCAACCTTTTCTTTCACGATCTTGTATTCGCGTAATCCACGATGTAACGGTTGCAGCATCGCTCCTGACGAATCCTCGTTGGAGTATTGCCCGAGACGTGTTGCCCGACCTGAAAGACAGAGGATCTGGAGGAGATAGAGAGAGATGAATCGCTGTCGTCTTTCGTGTCCCTTTGCGGTGCTTTCAAGGCCGAGGTGCTTTGACAGCTGTTGTAGATCTTCGTCACCTGCCTGCTCTTGGACGGGTGTGGAAGGGTATAATTCAAGTACAAGTCTCGGCAGACTACTCGCCAGCTGCATAACATCCCCACACAGTAGACTCAAGTACACCGAGCACTCGTACACCTTCACCGCAAATTCGTCGATCCTTTTGCTCGCAACTAGAGCTTCTCGAAGTTTCCGAACAAGCAGGAGGATCTGCTGGAGCTCTTCCTCCCCCTCTCCCACCCGATGTTTAGGTGATGGAAGAAGGTAGTGGGGGGAAGTCAAGACCCTGGGTGGAGAGGTGAGGAACGGTATGGCTTTGGTGGTGATTCGGGTGGAGATGTATTGGCGTAGTTCGTGCTGCACGGAGAAGGAGGTGAGGTCCATACTGCCTTGGTCGGAGAGGGCTGTGGAGAGGAGGGAGGTGGAATCGAGACCGCGCGAGGGCGAGGCGAGGAGCGCGAGACGGTCGAGGGATTTGTTGCCAAGTGGCCGGGATGCGTCGCGCACAGTGAGGCCATCGCGACGGTCGACAGCTGACGGTTGGGTATGTGGCGGTTCTGCTGGGCGTCCATGTGTGATCGATGCACGTGAGAGGCTGTCGGTCAGCGAGGAGATGGAAGGATCTGGAGATGCGGCTGAGGACGACGATGCGGAAGCCCATCTCGAGGTTGAGGATCCTGCGGCACGGTTCGTCTGTACTGCGCGAAGTGGAGCTCTCCAGGCACTCGATGACGAGGACGATGATGTCCTGTCGTCCGGTCGAGCTCGCCACGACGGTGATGAAGCATTCGAAGAGCTGGACGCCGTGGAGGTGTTTGTGGCCCATCGACTTTGTTGCGTGCCGTTTGTCGAAGGCTGACTGGTCCGAGCTGGTGGCTGCTGCTCCGCTGAACGAGCTTGAGCCACTCTTGTGCTCGACCATCTAGATTGATCCGTCATTCTCGTTGTTGATGTTGCATGAAAGGTAGAAGAGAAAGAGCATGTGTTTGTGTCTCTCGAACCTCCTCCACTTCGCAAATCGGCTATTCCGCGCACGAGACACTTCCAACACGGCAGCCTCGGACCCTGAAATTTGAATCTCGAACAACACCGAACCGTCCCTGGTGCTCCCTCCCTTTCTCTCCCTCCATCACTATCACATCGTTCGTTGTCCTCGACTCACCATGCCGATGATCACACCAGCATTACGGCGTGCGCAAGCAGGCGCGGCCACACCCGCACCAGCATCTTCCTCCTCGCCCGCCGCTTCATCCTCCACCACCGCCACCCTCCCCTCCCAACCACTCCCGGACCTACCTCGCATCCCCCTCTCCCCCACCACACTCTCCCGCATCGCACCACCCATCAAAAAGATCCACTCCGACTCCGATCTTGAATCATGGAAGCGTTCGTCCGCATACTCCACGTACACACTCTTTCTGCAACGCATCTGCGAGGCTTCCGTTGGAAAACCCACTCGACTCCCATCTCGACCCACCTCAAACCCAACTACACCCGTAGAAAAACTCATCTCACTCCTGTACCAACTCGACTCGTGGACGGACGAGATCGAGCCTCAATCCAAACCCCAGCGTTTTGGAAATCTCGCTTTCCGCGATTGGGGACAGAGGCTGGGCGAAAGGATCGAACAGCTTCACTATGATCTGCTGCCCGAACAACTTCATCCCTTTGTGGTCGAGTTGCGAGAGTATCTCATGGATGGGTTTGGTAGCTTCGTGAGGATCGATTACGGAAGTGGACACGAGTTTGCTTTCTTCGCTTGGTTGTGTTATCTCTATCGATTGGGGTTCTTTGATGGCGACGAAGGCGATGAGGGGAAGGTGGAAGAGCAGATCGGCGTGTCCATCTTTCCATTGTACCTCATGGTGGTGTGGAGACTTCAGGATCGATATGGACTCGAACCAGCCGGATCACACGGAGTCTGGGGTCTAGACGACTTTCAATTCATCCCTTACATCATCGGCTCCTCTCAACTTCGTTCTCAATCCTCCCTCCGACCCAACCAGATCATCACCGTTTCCTCGCAAACCCAGCTCCTCCCCCAGCCGTCCACACCGGCAGTCCTCATCTCAACACCCTTCACCATCCCTGCATCTAACCTCTCCGGAGACGCCGCCGAGGTGGTACTCCCGAATCTATACCTGACATCACTGTTGCGCATCCAAGTGCTCAAACGAGGACCGTTTCACGAACACTCTCCTCTGCTATGGGATATAGCTACTACGGTACCGAATTGGGTGAAAGTGCACGCGGGGATGCTGAAGATGTATGCGGCAGAGTGTTTGGGTAAACGAGTGGTGGTGCAGCATTTTCCGTTTGGTGGGGTCGGGTGGGTTTGGCAGGATGCACCGGAGAACGTCACGGCAGGCATGGCGAAAACCAGTAGCAACAGTGCGGCGGCTGGTGGGAGGAGTATGGCATTGGGTGGATTGCAGGGCAACATGAGCAGTATGGGTAGACCGACGGAGAGGATCACGAGGATGCCGGCGGCGGGTGGAGCGGTGCCGGCTAGAGGTGCTGTCGGTGGAGTGAGGCTGGGTAGCGCACTGGGTTTGCCAGCTAGAAGTGCGCAGACGAGCAGGCCGACGGGGACGACGTCGAGCGCAAACCCACAAGCACCGACCAAGGCGGAAGACACATTCGTCCCTCCGCTAGGTCCAACTCGCATTCCCAAACCACAATGAAAGCATGCCGCCGTCACAGCACACACATAGACACAGACACCCATCACAAAACTTGACCTGACAATGCAAATTTCAGATCATCACCCACAGAGACACGATAAAAGTACATTGACCAAAACTTCGCGCGCGCACTAAACCCCCCTGCGCAGCGTGACCTTCATACTGGAACGAGACGACGACTGTGGCAGACCCACTTCTCCCGCCGCTGCCTCCGCCGAGTGCGCTGCCGGCGCAGGACTTGCACCTCGCGCCTCGCGTCTAGCCGCTGGTTCGGGGCTGACGCTCTCGGTGTACTGTCGAAGTCGCTCTGCACGATCGCCCGTGGAAGAAGCGGGCAGAGGGGCAGGTTGTGGAGAGTGATGTCGCGAATCGTAGGATGACGAGGTTGCGTAGGTCCTTGCATGTGATGACGCTGCTGCTGCTCCTGCGCGGTCGTGTGCGTGCGACCTGGAGACGGGTGGTGGTGGTGGAGGGTAGTCGTCGTATGCCGATCCGTACGGCGCTCTCGAGTTTGTCGGCGCTGCAGATGAAGATGGACGGTACGCTCCACTCCTATCACCTCCGCTGCTAGCCGCGTATCCAGCGTACTCTCCTGCCCCACCCCTAGCTCCACCACTCGACGAAGCAGCTGCTCCCCCCGCGGCTGCATACGGATCATCACGACGCACGTCGATGTCGTAGTGCTGCGGCGGCGGCGGCGGATACGTAGCCACACTAGGCGTCGCCTGCGATTCCGCCTCAAGACGCTCGTAGAGGATGGCGCGCTCGAGACGCATGCGCTGAATGCTGCGTTTGATGCCGAGCGTCTTGAGATGGAGTTTGTCGTTCTCGACCTCGATCTCGCGCACCTTTTTCTTGAGCTCCTTGTACTTTAGGCGATACTTGGCTGCGTCGCCTTGAATGGCGACGGTGGAGGAGTAGGCTTTCGATTTGGTCTTGACCGGCTGCGTTGCGGGTGTTGGTCCTGACATGGTGGTGAAATGCCGTGAGTCGCGACGATAGACCGACGCGTGCGTGGATGAAGGTGGTGATGGTGCTGAAGATGAGGAGAACAGCGCTCGGCGTTGCTTCCGGTGAGGAACTGTGACGGTAGAGAACGCGAGAGTTGGAGCAATCGGCTCGTTGACTGAGCGAGGTCGGATGATGCGATGTGCTTGGCAGTCGATGTCGAGTGTGTGATATCCGAGAGTGAGGAATGGCAAGGGCGTTGAGAATTGGTCGGTGCGGAAGCACAGTCACGTGCGAGAGAAGAATTGGACGGCCAAAAAAAAAAGCAGAAATAAAATTAGTTAGTTCAAACTGGCGAACAACTCTTCCAGGGTGTTGGATGTCGGACGTGCCGGTGCATCAGCGCTTTCTGACTCGAATCTCACCAAGCCGATCAAGTTGAGTGCGCTCTGACCTTCTTCCAGCGCAACCACCATCGACACCGTGAAAACCAGATTGGACTAGACTAGGAAGCTATTCGCAGCTCCTCTCTAGTCTCTCCACGCCGCTGCCACCATGTCGTCGTCAGCACCTCAACCCGTGTCTTCGTCGGCTGAGCCACGAGACCCGGTCCAGAACCTCACCGACGCCGCCAAGAATGTCGACCTAAATGCACAGCCAGACCAAAAGCAGCAGAAGCAGCCAAAACAGCAACAGCAGGGACAGCAGCAGCAAAAGGGCGAAAAGAAGCCAAAGGCAAAGAAGGAATCGGCAGATGGCGCATCAAAGGCTCCGCTCGAGTTCACCCCCAAGCCTGCCTACTTTGACCACCGTATCGCCATGTTCGAAAAGCTCAAAGCAGAGCAGGATGCCGAATTCGCAGCAAAGCCTCGTCAGCCCATCACCGTCACCATGCCAGACGGATCCACCCGTCAAGGTACCTCCTACGAGACTTCGCCCATGGACATTGCCAAGGAAATCTCCAAGTCGCTCTCCGAGAGGATCGTCATCTCCAAGGTCGACGACAACCTCTGGGATCTCGAACGTCCCTTGGAGGCAGACTGCAAGCTCGAGCTCTTCGACTTTGACTCCCCCGAGGGCAAGCGTGTCTTTTGGCATTCCTCCGCCCACGTGCTTGGCGAAGCCTGTGAGAAGCACTACGGCTGCCACTTGTGCATCGGTCCCCCCACCGAAGAGGGCTTCTTCTACGAGATGGCCATGGGCGATTCGGGCGAGCGCATGATCACCCAGACCGACTTCAACGCACTCGAGACGCTCATCAAGAACGCCACCAAGGAGAAGCAAAAATTCGAACGTCTCGTCGTTTCCAAGCAGCAGCTCCTCGAGATGTTCAACTACAACAAGTACAAGCAGCACATCATCCAGTCCAAGATCCCCGACGGCACCTCCACCACCGTCTACCGTTGCGGACCCATGATCGACCTCTGCGTCGGCCCACACATCCCGCACACTGGCCGAATCAAGGCCATGACCGTCCTCAAGAACTCGGCCTCGTACTTCCTCGGCGACCAGAACAACGACTCGCTCCAGCGACTCTACGGTATCTCGTTCCCAGACGCAAAGCAGATGTCCGAATACAAGCAGTTCCTCCTCGAGGCTGCCAAGCGCGACCACCGTAAGATCGGCAAGGAGCAGGAGCTCTTCATGTTCCACGAGCTCTCACCCGGTTCGTGCTTCTGGTTGCCCCACGGCGCGCGCATCTACAACACGCTCCAGGAGTTCCTCAAGTCCGAGTACCGCCAGCGTGGCTTTGACGAGGTCGTCACCCCGAACATGTTCAACTCGAAACTCTGGCAGACTTCGGGTCACTGGCAGAACTACAAGGACGACATGTTCGTGCTCGGCGTCGACAAGGAGCAGTTTGCCCTCAAGCCTATGAACTGTCCCGGTCACTGTCTCATGTTTGCCTCACGCGACCGATCGTACAAGGAGCTGCCGCTGCGACTGGCCGACTTTGGTGTCATCCACCGAAACGAAGCCTCCGGTGCGCTCAGCGGTCTGACAAGAGTGCGACGATTCTGTCAGGACGACGCCCACATCTTCTGCATGTCGAGCCAGATCGAGCAGGAGATGGCTGGCTGCTTCGACTTCCTCCAGCGTGTGTACGGCCTGTTTGGCTTCGAGTTCAAGCTCGAGCTTTCGACCCGCCCCGAAAAGTACCTCGGCGACATTGAGACGTGGAACGTTGCGGAGAAGCGTCTCGCATCAGCGCTCGACAAGTTCGTCCCCGGCAAGTGGGAGCTCAACCCTGGCGATGGTGCCTTCTACGGTCCCAAGATCGACATCACCATCTCGGACGCCATGCGTCGTCACTTCCAGTGTGCCACCATCCAGCTCGACTTCCAACTTCCGCAGCAGTTCAAGCTCGAGTACCGCACCGCCGTCTCTCAGGGCGGAGAGACGCAAGCCGAACGTCCCGTCATGATTCACCGCGCCGTCGTCGGCTCGTTGGAACGATTCATCGCCATCCTCACCGAGCACTTTGCCGGCAAATGGCCCTTCTGGCTGAGCCCACGTCAGGTGCTCGTCGTGCCCGTCACCAACACCGTGTTCGACTACGCCAAGAGCGTCCAGCAGCGTCTGTGGGACGAAGGCTTCTTCGCCGACGTCGACCTTAGCGACAACACGCTGCCCAAGAAGGTGAGGAACGGCGAGATCGCTCAGTACAACTTTGTCTTTGTCGTCGGTCACGAGGAGATGCAGACCAAGAGCGTCAACATTCGCAACCGTGACGATGCCAACCAGAAGGGGAAGGCTGAGACGATGGATTTGGAGAAGACGGTGGCGGCGCTCAGGTCGCTCAAGGCGGAGAGGAGGTTGGAGAACAAGCTGGTTTGATGTGGAGGAAGTGGTAGACGGTTCCGATGTGTTTTGTAGCACAGAAGGTTGGAGAGTAATGATGATCACATCACACGTTTGGTTGAGACAAGATTGCATTTAGTGGGTATCGATCGAGGTATCAAATTACGAGCGTATTTACAGCACTGATTCACAACTGAAGCTGGTATCTACAACTACCTTGACTTTCCGGGTCGGGATTTAGAACAGCAATCCACCCAACAACATACCACCAGCCAAACCACCGAGGAGGGGCATACCACCCATACCGCCGTACGGTCTGCTGTATGGACCCATGGGTCTGCTGTAAGGGCCATAAGCGCCGTAGGGACCGTCGAAGGTCTGGTAGGGGCCGTAGCCGAGGGTGGCGCCGCCGCCGTAGGCGCCTGGTGGGGGAGGTTGGGCGAAGATCTCGCGACCCTGCTTGTCTCTGCCGACCAGCTGCGGTTGACCCGTGCGGGTGGCGGTGATGAGGGCTTGACGGATGGCCTGGTGTTGTTGGTAGGCGCGCTGTTCTGCTTCGCGCTGAGCTTGACGTTTGGCCTCTCGTTCGGCGTGGGTGGTGTTGGTGAGCTTGTCCTTGAGCGATCGACCGAACTTTTTCATTCCCTTGGGATTGCTGTCAGCTGCACTGGTGCCGGGACCAGCTCCAGCTGCGCTGGTGGTGGCAGTAGAGGAATGATGTTTGGCAGACGACGTCGGGCGATCGTCCTCGTCATCAGTATCGGCGTGGACCATGTGCTCCCTTTCGATCCTCTCGCGCTCCTTCTTAATCTCGCTAGGATGCTCCCTCTGGTACTGTTCATCGTCGAACGGATGCACCCAGATGGACCGAGGAGGGTTGGCGAGCGTGTCGACGAAGAAGTTGTGGTGCGTCGATGGATCGTATTGACGAATCCAGCCCTTGGGCAAAGGACGGAGCATGTCTTCCATCGACTTGCGAGCTGCTGCTGCATCGTTCTGCTGCGGAACACCAAGATGGCTCGAGTCGGAAGCGGTGGTGGTGTTGGAGGCGGCGGGTCGAGAAGAGCCGCTCACCTGGTCGTACGAAGGTGGTGCCTCGGAGGGCTGGGTTGGCATGTTAGATGACATGTTGTGAAGCCGTGCGAGTGTGGTTTGGGTGTAACGAAGATGATGGTGGCTGCGTGGATGGTTGGAAACGACTCAGCGCCACCGATGATATTGTACTCACGGCATCGCTTCTGATCTGCCAAGCAGGCGGCTTCGGTACCCGCACTGACAAGGGTCTTGGAAAGAGGTGGAGGCTTGACCGCTGCGCAAATGCGTCACCGCCACCTACAGATCCTGCCGAATTGCAGCACAGCCCGACCTTCTTTTGAATGCAGTGTTACGCCGAAAACAGTATAGTTGTGGCAAGTGTTACACCTCGCTTTCCCACAAACCCTATGTTGCAGGTGTCGAGTATCCGAATTGCTGGTCTTTGGTAACGGAAATCAAGGCTTAGCTCGGTCGCTCGTCGAGTGTCCGAAGCAACCGCCGTAAATAGCCGTGTTTGATTTCCGATAAACGTCACACTCTGAATTGCGCTTCTCGTTGTGATCAAATCGTTCGAGAGAGGCTGATAAATTTAGACCAAGGCTGAACAGAACAATGCAGCACTGAGTGGAGCTCATAAGGCCCGTCGGACGAGATCCTAGGGGTGTAGGAAGTCGTCCGAAGCAGCAATACGCTCGATTCGAATGCACGGTTAAAGTGACAGAAGTGGAAGCGCTCCGTCGCCGCCTCCGCTGTTGCTTGCCCCTCAGACCAAACCACCTACGTGTCCAGGTATAGACGCTCTCAAACACTTTGGTCGCACTGCTGACTCTCTTCATCGGCGTTTCAGCCGTTCTTCTTCCAGCATTTACTGTAAGTCAATCAAGCTACACTGTACCTGACGCACCTCTGACAGCGAGGCGCGGCTCGGAAAGGCAAGCCCCGAAAAAGTACGCGGCTGACGGACTCAAGAAAAAAAGGGCTCGGACCCTGTTTCTCGCCGTTTTGTCACAATCAGCGTCGGCGCTTAGCACACATTTCGTGTAGGCGGCCGCGCTCTCCATACCATCTTTCGCTCTGTCACTGATCGCTTCCATCTTTCCATCTACACTCTCGTCTCCGACCTCTTCCAATCTTATCTCTAAAACGCACGCTTCAACGTGCGGCATCAGCACCAGTCTATCGCTCCATAATCCCTTTTGGTCAACATGGCGACCGACCAGGCTGCCGAAAAGGAGCTCCAATCTTCCTTGCTCCGCATCTCGATCATCTGCGCATCTTCGATCCAGTCGCTTCGTGAACCCGTCCAATCCACCATACTCTCCGCCGATGCTCAGCAAGCATCCTCTTCAACGTCGTTGCCACCAACAGCGGAAAAGCTCTCGTCGCAGATCGTCTCGGATCTTACCCAGCTCCTCACTCTTGTGCAAAAGACGACCACCAACCTCGCCCTTGCCATCAAGCCCAGCACCAAGTCGACATCAGCCCAGCCTGCTCCTTCGTCTTCGTCTGCCGAGTCTCCCGTGTCAGGTCTCGACGCAAAATCTCTCGAGGCTGCTCAAGCACAGATCGTCTCGCTGGGCTCAGACCTCCTTCCCAAGATCGTTTTCCTCGCAAAGAAAGCCTGGAAGGATCGCGAAGTCTTCCAGCAGCGTCCGAAAGCCAACGCCGATGATCCGGTCCAGATCGAGGAGAGGCGCAAACTCGAACAGCTCGCCAGAGACATGGGCGGCCAGATCATGTCGGCTGACCAGCTCGGCTTGCCACCTTCGCAGAGGGACGACCTCGACAAGAAGCTCGAGTACTCGCTCGGCAACTCGTTCGCTCGCGAGATTCGCTCTGCTGTAGAAGATGTGATCGGGTCCATCGCAGACCTTCTCCATTCCCTCCTCGATGACCGTGCCAGAAAGGCGCTCGAACATGCGTCCCAAGCACGCGACCGTGCCGACGGTCTCGTCGCCAGCGTAGGCAAAAAGCTTGAATCGCTCTCCGTCAACGGCAGCACTGATCTAGCAGAACTCCGCAAGCGCACCCTCGCGGCCAACAACCTCGTTTGGGAGACGTGTGCCAAGTACATTGGCGAACGAAACGCCGACGGCACTCCACACACCATCACCTCGGTCGGTCCTAGCGGCGTCCGCACCAAGGTTCACGTCAAAGGTCTCAGCAAGTCCAACCTCGAAGCAAGCAAGCGCAGCTGGAACAACCGCGTCGAGCTTATGCGCGACGGTCTCGATGAACTCAAAGAGGGTATCGAAGCAGATCACTCGCATGCCAACGGAGCTGACGAGGATGACGAGGCAGACGAGTTCGCCTTCCCCGCCGCTACGCCCCTGTCTCCAGACCAGAAGGACCGCCTTCGTCAGCTTTCCAACCTGGTCAAGATGGGCAACCTCACGCACGAGACCATCCTCAAGGAGGTCGCAAAGTCTGGTGCCGCTCACAGCAGCATCGACCTCGATGAAGTCGAGGAGCTCGGCAAGCAGCTTGAAGAGGCTCAGGACGAGCTCGTCGCTGCGTGCCTGTATGGCGAGGCAGATGCTGGCCTCGAAATGAAGATGTTTGACCATGACGCTAATATCCAAGATGCAGAAGGCGGCGCAAACGGCGTCGATGGAGACGACGAAGATGCAGATCTTACCGAAGAGCAGGCCATCGAAAAAGCCATCCTGCGCACGTTTGAGCAGTATGTCCAGGCCATCGTCAGCCTTTCGGCCTACGTCACTGACCGAGACGAGTTGGTGGAAAAGGTCAACATCGCTTGCGCAACCGACGAGGAGGGCGACTTCGCCCACGTCTTTGCCGCCAAGTTCAACCAGCTTTCCAAGGTGCTCTCCGAAGCCAGCTCCAACATCGTTGTTCGTCTATCATCGGCATCTGATTCTGCGAACACCACCGCACCTCGCTCGAGCGTACAGCACAAAGCGGTCGTTCAGGCTAACGATGACTTCAAGACCGAAGTCTTTGTTCAGGAGCTTCAATCGATCGCCGACAAGATCGGATCCGGTGCCAAGGTGACGGATCGTGCTGTCGCCGAGCATCTCGACAGCGCTGATCCCTTGCACCGCATGCGGGAAGGATACATTCTCCCCAAATTCAGGGACGTGTGCAGCAAGGACTACACATCCACTTCGAGCGAGACAGCTGCTGATGCAGAGTCGCTGTACATGTGCGGTAACTCGCTCGGCCCGCTCTCACGTCTTGGCAAGAAGTACCTCGAGCAAGAGATCGAGGCGTGGGGCCGTATGGCTGTGCTGGGTCACTTCGAGCACCCCTACGGCACACCGTGGACGCAAATGGAGAAGCGTGTCGGCGAGCTCTGCGCCGACGTGGTGGGAGCCAAGCAATCCGAAGTCGTGGTGATGGGTACCTTGACGGGCAATCTGCACTCGCTCATGGCCACTTTCTACCGTCCAGCCACCAAGCCGTTCGGCGTCGATTTCGCTGGTGACGTCGAAGCGGCCAAAAAGCAGGGTAAGAAGGTCAAGCACAAGATCATCTTTGAGCAGAAAGCGTTCCCATCAGATCAGTATGCGCTCGCCTCTGTGATCGAGCTCAATGGTTTCGACCCCAAGACGTCAATGGTGCCTCTCGTGCCCAAGGAAGGGTCAAAGACGCTCGAGACTGCCGACATTTTGGCGACAATCGAAAAGTGCGGCAAGGAAGGCGAGACAGCCATGGTGCTCATCGGCGGCATCCAGTACTTCACGGGCCAGCTATTCGAGCTCGAGAAGCTGGCAGCCAAAGCGCACGAATACGGCATCCTGTTTGGTGTCGACCTCGCCCACGCATTCGCCAATGTTCCGCTTGCGCTTCACGACTGGGGCGTCGACTTTGCCTGCTGGTGCACGTACAAGTACGGTTCGTCCGGGCCAGGTGGCATCGCCGGTCTCTTTGTGCACGAAAAGTGGCACAAGGCCGATCTGACAAGGCAAGCAGGCTGGTGGGGACACGAGAAGGAGACGCGCTTCTCGATGCCAGACACGTTTGTGCCGACGAAAGGTGCCGAAGGCTGGCAGACCTCGAACCCGTCGATGCTCGATATGGCTTCCCTCAAGGGATCTTTGGAGACGCTGCTGAAGGCGACCGAGTACGGAGAGCGCAACAGTAGCGACCAAGGGATGTCGGGCGATGGCAAGCATGGCAGGGGAACGATTATGCCCATCCTGAGAAGCAAGAGTCTGCGTCTCACGGCGTACCTCGAAACGTTGCTGCTCACTCCTGGCTTTTTGCCCGACGGATTCGACATCCGTATCGTCACACCCACAGACCCGCTGCAGAGAGGCAGTCAGCTGTGCATTCAGATCCCCGACCCCACCAATGGTGCCGAGCAGAAACCCGAGCAGAAGCAGCAGCAGGCCGAGCAGCCAAAGACCAATGGCAAGGATGTGCCGCCTCCGATCGACGGCAAGCGTCTCATCGCAAGGGCGCACAAGAGGGCGGAAAAGCAGCGTGGTCTGGTGGCCGACATCAGGCACCCGGACATGCTGCGTCTGGCACCGTTGGCGCAGTTCTCGACGTTTACGGATGTGTGGAGGACCGCAGACGTGCTCAGGCAGAGTCTGTTGGACGAGGTCGAGGCTGACAAGTCTGCTTAACTTGCAACCCAATGCATGCTGTCTAAAAAGCGTTATTTGATCATTTCATTCACTTGCAAGTAATTTTGATGCAACTCTGATTGTGTTGAACACATAGTTTGCGAGATGATCGAGCTGCTCACACGTCGTGAATAAAGTGTGCAGCACAGATGTGGATTTTTGAGCGGTGATTTCGAAGGCCGTAGCCCCGCGAGCGTGTGTTGCATATCGCGTCTGTGCGGCAGAACGTGGAGATAAGACGGATCGGCAGGGTTCCGTTTGGATTTCGCGGCGCACGCCCACGCCGGCGGATCAACAGTTCATTGTTACCGGAGCGATTTCCTCGTCCGTCGATCTTGACCATCTACCACCTTCTGCTAACTTGCTGGACATCACATCTCCGCCTCTTGGTCTTTCCAGAGTCCCGCACGCGCATACACGACCGTGTCACCCTCTCCAGCCCGTCGCTATGGCGTCAATACCCGCCGACGCCGCGGGTGCCAAGCCTGGCAGTTCGAGCAGCGCTTCCGCTCGAGCCTCGGCCACGGCAGCCCCAGCTGGGTCACGTCGTGGTCGTGATGCCACCCCGTCGTTCGGCGTCATGTGGTCCGTCATGCGATCGATCGGCGACATGTCGCTGCCGTTCTTCTTCTCCAGCGTCACCGTCTCTTCAACCTCCCACGTTCCTCCCTCCACCACACCTCTCATCCTCTGTTCCAACCACAGCAACACCATCCTCGACGTAGCCATCCTCGCTTCGCACTTTCCCGAACGACGACCGCTCCACTTTTGGGCCAAATCGGGATTCTTCCACAACCCCATCCTTCGCTGGATCCTCACTTCCTCCGGCAACATCAAGGTCGATCGCAAGAACAAGAACAACCAGTCGCTGTTTCAGGGTACGTTTCAGGCTATGAAGGCAGGTGGTGCCATCGCGCTGTTTCCCGAGGGAGGGAGTTATACCATTCCGAAGCTGGCGAAGCTGAAGATGGGGGCGGCGTGGGCGGCGTTAGAGTACTCGAGGCATTTGCAGACGGAGCAAGGGGATGGGGTGAGGACGCAAGTCAAGATTTTGCCGGCAGCCGTGGTGTTCGACGACAAGAGCGTGTTCAGGAGTAGAGCGGGTTTGAGGTTCGGAGAACCGTTGAGTTTGGATAGGTACATAGAGGAGTTCCTGTCTTCGCCGATGGGAGCCGGAACGAGCGAAGAAAAGATCAAGAGTGCGGTGGGAAAGGAGGATGGAACGGTTCCGGCTACACCGGAAAGCATGACGAGAACGAACACGTCGGAAGGAGAACAGTTTGCAAGTCCAGCACATCGTGCAGTCGCACGGTTGACGGAAGACCTGCAAAGGGCGATGGAGACGTTGACGTTCAACGCTCCGGATTGGGAGACTTTCCAAGCTGTAAGGTTGGCTAGGGAGACGATTTTCGAGTTGCAGGGGGGAGAGGTGGTGAAGGAGGACATGGAGGAGTACGTTGAGCTTTCGAGGGCAATTATGATGCTCCTTACGCTGGACCAAACGGACCAACCATCAGAGATGAGAGCGACATCGAAGGAAGCAAGACGCTCGCTCTTCGTCTACAGCTCGCTGCTCCACCTCTCCGACGTCGACAACCTCACTCTCGCACGCACCCTCGCAAACCGCCACTTGTCCATCCCACTCAAATCCTTCCTCCTCCGTCTGCCCATCTACATCCCGATCTTCACCCCAACCCTGATCCCCACGTATCTGCTCCCCAATGCCCTCGCCCACCACTACGCCGGCAGGGAGGAGGAATCGCTCTCTTCCGTCAAGACCCTGTTCAGCTTCCTGTTCACTTCGATGCTCTACTCTACGCTGCTGTTCAAGACCATGACGTGGGCACGGTGGTCGCCGCCAGGGTTGTTGGTGGGGATGGCAGGTGTGTGGTGGTTGCACGATCTGAACCGCGGGTGCGTGGACGGTGCGTACTCGTTGGTGAAGCAGATCAGGTTCGGGTGGAGACTGCGCGGTGTCAAACTCGATGCGTCGAAGAGAGTGGAAGGCGTGCAGAGGAAAGGGAAGAGCTTGTTCTTCTACGGAACGCTTGTGCATCCGAAGATCTTGGCGAGGGTGATTGGGAACGACGGGGATCATCTGACGGTTCAAAACGCGGTGTTGGATGGGGCGAAGCTGTTCCGCGTCAAGGAGGCGGAGTATCCGGGGCTGGTGAGGGAAGATTCCAGCTCGACGAACATCAATGCTGTCAAGGGAACCCTCGTCAGCGGTCTCACCGATTCCGACGTAGGCTACCTCGACACCTTCGAGGGCGACGAGTACATCCGATCCTCCGTACGTGTCATCCCCGACCCACTCGCACCGGCGGAACGCAACTCGACCCGAATCGCCAACGCCGGCAACGCCCCTCTCCACGCGATCCTCTCTTCCCTCACAAAACCGCGCATCGCGTCCCTCTGCGCTTCCACGTCACCCAAGATCGAAGCACAGGTTTACACCTGGGTCGCAGGCAGCGACAAGCTGGAAGACAGAGTGTGGGAGTTCGACGAGTTCGCCAAGAACCACGCGGCGAACTGGGTGGGCGAGGGACAGGTGGAACACGAACACGAGTACCAGGTGGTCGATCGGGTACGGTCCAGAATGGACTCTCCTGAATCCAAGCCACTCCTCACAACGGGAGGAGATGCACGGAAGGATGAGGAGGATGCAGAGCGATGGATGGAAGAATACGCATCGACGCTGGTCGAGGGCGAAGGAAGGGTGAAGGATGCACTGGTGCAAGTGTGCAGCGTGTTGAGGGAGAAACCGAGCATCCAGTACTATGTGGACAAGGGGCTGGGGAAGAACAGGCCGAAGAAGGGGGACAGGGAGATGCTGACTGCACTGTTGAGGGCGAGAATCAGTGCCAAAGCAAAGTTGGAGGAATTGATGGTGATGGTGGAGAGGACGGAGGTGGAGGAGGTGAGATCGGCGGTGGAGTCGTTGGTGGAAGCAAAGAAGAGAGCATTGCGAAGGATAGGTGTCATGGAGATGAGCGGCGACGCCGCTTGGCCCTTCAGCCAGATTGTGGTTGGAGCAGCAGAGATCGAGTCCAAGAAGACAGTTTAAATCCCTCACCACATACATATATACACACGATACCACTCTCGAATACATGACAATACATGACGATGCCAAAAAGCACGTTTCCCTACAGCTACAAATACAAGACGTTCTCTCACTGAAACAGCAACAATCCACTCCTGGCGTCCGCACGATCGCGATACGCCCTCCACCAATCCTTGGCCTCCTTGCCCTTCTTCCCCGCTACCTTGACATTCCGCACCCCCAGCACCTCCGCATCCGACGTCGTTTTGACGATCAGCATGTCTGCATCGACAGAGAAAATCGCCGAACCTGGCGGGACCGCGTTCTGCTTCAACACGGATGCGAGCATCGGGTCGACTTTGCGCAACTCATCCAAGGGAACAGCGCTTGTGTTGGAGAGGGTGATCGCGACTGGTCGAAAGCTCGCATTGGCTGGAGGGACGAGATTCGTACTCAACGGGTACAAGTATGCGAACGCCCCCTCCCTCGCTACAATGTCTCTCGCTGACCATCGATCCCACCTCACCACGCTGTGTTCCACCTTGAGCTTCGGCGCATAGCTCTTCATCCTTTCATCCTGCTCCCAACTGTACCTCCAGCATTGCGGTAGATCCGACAGCGTACGCACGAGCAACGACGCAGCTCTGTCCGCCATGACCTTCTCCACCTCCAAAAAGCTTGGTTCTCCGCTAGACGGTACTGGTGGGAAATCGAATTCTTGCTGAGCGACGATCGTGCCTGTATCGAACCGACCTTTTTCCAACGTCTGAATGCTGACACCTGATGTCGAGAGTCTCCTTGCCAGAGCCCACTGTATCGGAGCTGCACCTCTCAAGTGTGGGAGTAGGGATGGGTGGATGTTGATCCTCTGCCATGGATTGGGGAATGCATCCAGGAGGGTATCTGGTATGAGGTGTCCGAAGGAGCAGGTGAGGAGGATAGCTTTTGGATTGCTGAGAAGGTGTGGAGGTGCGGTGTAGTCGACCATTCCGGTGGTGGGGACGTCTTGATGGGGCAAGGAGTGTTGAAGGGCGAGCTGCTTGACGGGAGAAGTCTTCATTCGGGTTGCGCCCCATGATTGATGCACGTCGGGAGGGGTGAGCACGTGCAGAGAGGAGCACAGGGATGAGCGATGCGTTAGGAGGGCTGAGAGAGAGCGTGAAGCAAAGGTGTCTGTGCCGCAGAAGAGGATATCGTATGGCGCTGTCGGAACAGGGGGTGAGGAGGAAGACTTGCAGCTGAAAGGACGCAAAGATACCCGTGAGTACTGAGCATCGAGGTTACCTCTGCTACAGCGGAGAGCTGGCCTGGTCAAGCACGTCTGTATCATCGCTCTCTTGTCATTGTGGCCGTTTACGGCTGATCCGATGAAGGCTTGATGAACGGCGATGAAAGAGAGAGAGAGAGACCACACGATCACGGCGAAAGCAATCGGGTTGGATTTGCAGGGTCCAAACCTTGATTCGGGTCCAAGAACCGGAATTTCCGAAAAAGACCAACACTTTTTCGTCTCGCTTCTTCGAACCGACTCCGCGCCGCGACTTGGCTTTCGTTCGCGCACACGCACACGCACGCTTTTGACAGGCATCTTGCGACTTCCCCCTTGCAGGTCACGAGTGACAAAGGGGAGAACGATCTCGGGTCGTTGAGAGACCGGCTGACGAGGAGTGGGCAGTGTTCATCCATCCCATCATCTTCTGACTCGCATTCCTGGAAGTCCTCCGTACCCTCACCTTGCGCAACAAGCTCGAGCGCTCGGCAAGACCGATAGGAAGGCGGAGAGCGCAAGACTGGGGATCGGATCTTCGCCGTCGATCTTCTCACGAACACGGTGGCCGCTGCGGACAGGTCCGCCAACTCAAACATGTCTTTCCGCGAAGGAACCGACCCTGCAGCAGCTGCTGCTGCTCAGCCAGCAAGCCGATCGGACAGCGTCGAGCGTCCAACAATGCTAGCGGACACGAGCATCTATCCGTCATCACGAACGTTCAACTCTTCATCCCGTCTATCCCACTACACGGATGCTGCGACCCGCCGATCATCGTTCCAGAGCGCACAGGCGAGCATCTACCAAGACACCGACACCTCGCTCGCCTACGACGATGCTAGCGAGGGCTTCGACCATCTCGACCTCGACAGCGATCTCGAGGTGCGTAGTCAGCGCGCGCCTTCTCGCAGCAATACTCGCTCTCCCTTTCAGTCCAATATCGGAAATCTATCTCACAGCGCGGATGGTGATGCGGTGGAGACGACGATCGATGGTTTCTCTGCTTCTTCCGGCAACCTGGGGGGAATGGCACGTCGCCGTTCCTCCTACAGACGGCAATCGTCCGAGATCCCCCGTCCGCAATCCAGCCTTTCCCGCCGAAGCAGTACCAGCGGCACCGTCAACGAAGATCCGCAAATCCGTCTCCGCGACGCTGCCACCGCGGCGGCCATGCGCTCCTCCATGACCCGTCGTCACTCGGTCGAGCTTGACCAGCTGGCCAACAGCATCACTCGAGCTTCCACTCCGCACGGCTTCCGCTCCGAGGACGACGAAGACGACGCTGCTGCCATCTCGTCACAGCCGAGATCGCGTCCGGGAAGCTCGCTTGCTCTGCGAAAGTACGAACAGGACAGCGAGTCGTTCATCAAGCGAGACGGTACCAAGGAGAGGGGTGGATCCATCTTGCCTCCGGCTGGGTTTTTTGCGCCGAAGAGGCCAGCGGCGAGGAACTCGAACAGCAATCTCCTCGCGACGGTCGCGTCTCCGCAGTCGGGGAGGAGTACGACGCCGCTTTCGTTTTATTCGGTTGGCGCGGCTGGCGGTGAAACGCAGAGAGGGGATGCGGAGGAAGAGGTGTTGCAGAGGAGCACCTCGCCGACGGGGTTGGAAGGACAGGGTGCGGCTGGGCAGGCGAGAGCGCCCAGTCCGTGGGGCGTCAACTCGATCGCTTCGTCGAGTCAGCAACATCTGAACACGTATCCAGCCAATGGGACTGGTCGGAGGTACAGTCACACGGGAGATGGTACGGGCCCATCGCATCCACTGGATCCGAGCGATGGCTTCCCCACACCTTCGATTCAAGCTTCGCCGAACTCGGTTCTGCGGATGATGGCGAGCACGGATCCGCTGTTGCCTGCGCGAGCTGTTCCAGGTGCTGCCGTCGCCAGTGCTGCCATCAACGGTAGTCACGCTCCTTCTTCGCAAGACGTTGGACTGGGTCTCGATACCAAGAAAGCTAGTCCTACCGTCACAGAACAGCGCGCTTCCCCGCCAGCTATCAAACCTCCCTCCTCCAAACAGAACGGAAGAGCGCCACTGAACGCCTCTCCTCCAACATCGAAATCGCCTCGCAACTACAAACACCAGAAAGGCTCCAACCACTTTCCTCTCTGCGGCCTTCTCATCACATCGTCGGACAACCCGCTGCCCTTCCTCCTCTCCTTGGTCCTGCTGCTTGCCCTCGGCGCCCTCTTCTACGCCTTCGAGGCCCCCTACCTCACCACCAACGTCTCTCCCGCCATCACCGCCGTCTTCACGTACATCTTCCTCCAAGCCATCGTCAACATGCTCGTCACTGCTTTCCGCGATCCAGGCATCCTGCCACGCGATCTCGATCCCAATCCACCCTGCGTTCTCGCCGAAACGCCGTTCACTCCCGGGCGACACGCGCTGGCGGACCCGGAAGATCCGATGGCGATCCCCGTGCAGCGGGTGTTACGGATCCGGGGGAGAGTGGTTCAGGTGAAATGGTGCGAGACGTGTGGGACGTATCGACCTCCCAGGAGCAGCCACTGTCGGGTGTGCGATAACTGCGTCGAGAACATCGACCATCACTGCACCTACCTCAATACGTGCATTGGCAGGAGAAACTACGTTTCGTTCATGGTGTTTTTGACGGCGAGCATCGCATCGGCGTTGTACGTTGTCGGGTGTAGTGCTGCGAGGTTGGTTCTCATGACGCGAGGACGAGGGGTGGCGGGGAAGATGAGTTTCAGGGATGCGTTGGGAGAGAGCCCCGTGTCCGGGGTGCTGTTCTTGCTATGTCTGGGAGTTACTGCGCCATTGGGGGTGTTGTTGAGCTACCATGTTAGGTTGGTCCTGCTGAACAGGAGTACGGTGGAGCAGATCCGGATCAATACGAGTCGCAAGTATGGTGGGGGAAGGGAGGAGGAGGTGGTGGGGTTGGGTGAGCATGGGGATGACGAATCGATCTTGGGCGAGGGTAAGAGAAAGAGTGGCGAGTTGGTGAGAAGAGTGGCGGAGAGGTTCGGAGTGTTGAAACCGCGCAAGGGAGATCCGAATCCGTTTGCGGTGAAGAGCTGGAGGTCGAATGTGAGGAATGCACTGGGTTGGAGGAGTGTCGAGTTGGAAAGCTGGATCGATAGGAGGGGTAGGAGGAAGAAGGATGAGAGGAAGCCGAATCCGAAGAAAGGTTCTGGGGTGGATGGGGTTGGAGAGGCGGGAACTGGGCTCCAGTGGAAAGCTTAATAGCGACCGACACATTCCATACACATCCACCGACCTCGTCGCTGTTACGAAAGTGTATTACAATGTCTATAAACGCATCTAGTCCTTGCTCAAATACGGAATCAACTTCTTCAACCTCGGAGCAGCCTGCTCGATCTGGTCATCCTTGCAGAAGCTGAACCTCACATAGTTCTTTCCGACCTCCTCGGCCCCCTTCTCAGCGTAGAACGCTGTGGCAGGGATCACCACGACATCGCAAACCTTGGCGATGAACCAAGCCTTCAGGTAGTCCTCTGGCTTCTTGAGGATCCCTTCCGGCACATCGTTCTCCTCGACCCACTTCTCCGGGATCTTGATCTTTGCTGCGTCCGCCATGATAAAGTATCCACCGTGCGGGATGGTATAGCTCAAGCCGATATCGTCCAGGGCCTGCGAAAGCAGACTTCTCCTTTGCGCATACTCCTGCACCTGTCGGTCGAAGAACTTCTCGCTCGCTGCACCTTCTAAGCCGATGGCTGCGCCTTCCTGCGCAGAAGAGTTGACGGCAAACGTGATTCTCGTGTGGACGGCTCTAGCTGGGGCGATGAGATGGTCAGGCCCCACCAGCCACCCGACCCTCCAGCCGGTGCAGGCGAAAGATTTGCCAGCAGAACCCACCGTGACGGTGCGATCCCACATCCCTGCAAAGCTCGCAATCCTAGTATGTGGCTGTCCATCGAACGTCAGACAATCGTACACTTCATCTGCCACCACCAAGATGTCGTACTTGACGCACAGTTCGGCGATCTTTCCGAGCTCGGTGGGGGAGAACACTTTTCCGACGGGATTGTGAGGCGTGTTGAGGATTAGAGCTTTGGTGGAAGGCTGTGAGAGCACTTGTTCGAGGTGGGTGAGGTCGAGGGTCCACTCGTTAGAGTCGATGTGGGCGGAGGCAGAGTTGGATGGTGGGAGAAGTGGGACGTAGAGAGGTTTGCCACCGTGGAAGAGAATCTCTGCATTGTACTGGTCGAAGAAGGGCTCAATGCAGACGACTCCGTCGCCGTCGTTGATGAAGGCACCCATGACGGAGTAGATGCCTCCATTTGCGCCGCTGGTGATCTGGATCTCCTTTTCGACGTCGAGTTTCCTGGTGCTAGATGCTCGCTGCTTTCCGAATTGGCTGGCATCCTCGGCTGATTCAGCGGCGCCAGAGGGAAGGTTGAATTGGGAAGAGTAGAAATCGCTGATCGCCTGCCTCAAGCGAGGACGTCCTTTGGGGTGGGAGTAGTGATGCAAGTCGACGCGGTTTTGAAAGTCTTTGGTGAGCTCATCGAGAATGTAAGAGGGAGGTTGCCAGTTCATGAATCCCTGTCCTAGATTGATCGCTGTGGGGAAGACGACGGGATTGAAGAGCGTCCATACGTCCAGACCCGAATTGAGTTCCTCGTGAATCCGGTCGGCTCGATGGGTGGCCCACCGTGTGGCAGTCGAGGTGGAAGGGGTCATGATGGTTCGTACTGATGCTGTCGACAGCAATGTCCGTCTTGTCGAGTAAAGAAATGTGGAAGATGGAAAGCGTCTCATGCGCGCACAGAATTCGTTCGATGACCGTCTTGTGTAGGGAAGAATAATGGTGTGATGGTAAGAAGCTGGTGACATGAAAGAGGTATGAAGACGTCAGAATCTCGTCTGCTGTCCGTGCGAGTCATCTCTGCGGCGGTGACTAAGACGGCGTGTTTCTTCCGATCCAAACCTCCCATATTGTTAGACCTTGTCGTTCCACTCACAGGGCAAAATCGATGTGCGTATCAGATTGGACCCTTGATTTTCCACACATTTCATCATCGACGTGCATCTGACGTGCTTCGATGCAGCTCTTCTCCCGCCGACCAATCAGAAGGCATCCAACCCCGCAGTGTCAAATAGAGCCAGCCTTGACCGCTTTTTTTCATCACTTAGGCATTGCCTTGCGCCATCGTCTGAATCGATCGCTTCGTCGGTCAATTGTGTATCGTAAACTCGCCGAAATGTCCACGCCGATGCCGAGATAAGCCACAACGAGAAGGTGTACCAGTGAAACGAGTGACTCGTGCATGCTTTCCTCTAGTAGTTGGCAAAGGTTTTGAGATCAAAGCTGTTTTCTGATTTCAGATACCCTGTTGATAAACCAAAAGCTGAATCTGATGCTTCGGCAAGTGCCCGTCTTGCTGCTGAAAGCAGGCCCGACTTGAGTACACGAGAAGCCTGACCATGGATGTCACCTGTTTCACAATGACCAGGTTCTTGGCTCATTTTGAAGACGAGCGGAGTTGAAAAGAGTTTACCAACCGGGGTGTGTGTGTGTGAATTGTCAAGTTCTGCCGGACCGGGCGAGCACGTTGCAAGGGTTTGAAATTGTACCTCTTTCGTCGTGATGTTTGCATCTCTGCTCAAGTGAAAGCTCGATGGTTCCACATACGTTGGACCATCGACGTTGATGTCCAAAGGGGCGACGACTAAGACAGATGAAATCTCGTCCCTGAAACCGCAAGAAAAACTTGACCGAGCTCGGCTAATTCTAGGCGACATCGAACAAGGGTGTGGCTGAAAAGCACTGCTCACGACCGTCTAAGAGCTTGTGGTGGTTTGGATTGATGAGTTGGTGGGACATCGACAGTCGTGATTGCCTGCAAGTCTTGAGCTAGCACATGGTCGACATTGCATTCCGTCACACCATTCTGAGCTTCCCGTCCCCTTTCTTCCATCATCATTGGCAGCTTGGACTAAAGCGATCCCATCTACTCTCACTTTCGTCGCCGAACTCCTGCCTTCCTTCACCTTAACCGAGCAAATCGCGTGGACTCGATCATCCCTCGTGGCAAAGGCGCACTAGACGTTCTTTTTCAGTTCCGAAGGCGGCAATTTGCCTCACAGGATCAAGATCGACCTGCAACCATCCACCCCGACCAGGGCTATTTATACACCCTCCGTCTGGTTATCATTTCCTCCTCCGCCCCCTGCCCCTTATAACTCTTTCCTTCTATCGTTCATCCAAGATGTCTGCCCCTGTCGCAAAACCCGACGACACGAGCAGTGGTCCCGACAGCAAGTCGCTCGATGGTGCTTCAGATCAGCAACCTCAGGTTGCTGCTGCTCCCGCTAGCCATGCCAAGGCCTCCTTCCTCGAGACCATCGGTCTCATCGACCCCAAGCCTGAGGCTCGCGTAGCCTGGAACGGACAAAATCCGAGCTGGTTCCGCTCGGTCTTTTTCAACATTACTGTGCTTGGAGGGTGCTCTTTTCTCGCCCCAGGAATCTGGGGAGCCATGGCTGCGCTCGGCGCAGGCGGCTCCCAGGATCCTAGCACCGTCAATGCTGCCAATTCTCTGACCTTTGCACTCATGGTCATCACCAGTTTACTCACCCCTTCGCTCATCGGCCTTACAAGCGCGAAATTCTGCTTGATCATCGGCACTATCGGATATGCCCCCTATGCCGCTGGACTCTACCTGAACAGCGCAAACCAGTCGCAATGGCTCATCATCCTAGGCGCGGCGCTATGCGGAATTAGCGCGGGCACCTTCTGGAGCGTTGAAGGCTCGATTGCCTTGGGTTACCCTGAAAGATTGAAGCAGGCACGATACATCTCCTATTGGTTGATGTTTAGAGTGCTAGGACAGCTTCTCGGAGGTATCATCAACCTCGCGCTTAATTATAATGACGCGGAAAAAGGCTCAATTTCAACCAACACGTACCTCGTCTTTGTGGTCCTTCAATGCATCGGTCCCTTGTGGGCTATGCTTCTGTCCCCACCTCATAAGGTGCAGCGACAGGACAGGACCCCCGTGTACCTGCACATCGAGTCATCAACCAAGCGCGAGTTGAAGCTCATGTGGAAGACCATCACCAAGCCCACTGTTCTTCTTCTCCTCCCGATTATTTGGCAATCTACCTGGTCAGAGGCGCTCATCGGTACGTACGCGGTCAACTACTTCACGGTTCGATCTCGTGCACTCGGATCACTTCTGTCCGCCATCACGGCAAGTATTTCCAACTACCTGCTCGGATTCTTCCTCGATTGGAAGAAACCCACCGTCAACACACGTGCCAAATATGCCTTCCTCTTCATCTACTCGATTCAAGCAGCTTGGTGGGCTTGGGCGATCTACATCATGAACAAGTACCACAACACCACTCCCAAACCCACCTTCGATTGGACCACCCCTGGTTACGGTGCAGGGTTCGGCGTTTACATCTTCCTCCAGATTGGGTTTAACGTCATGTACGAGCTCAACTACTGGATCATCGGAAACATTTCGGATGATCCGGCAGAGATTATCAGGTTGGCAAGTATCGTGAGGGCGGTGGAGAGTGCTGGTCAGTGCGTCAGTTATGGCGTCAACAGCACCAGCTGGAGGCTGGATGCCGTGGCTGGGTTAAACACGGCTCAGTGGGCGGTCAGTGTGCTGCCCGCTTGGTTGGTGGTCAGGAAGATCGGTATTTTGGGGGATGGTACAAAGATCCATGAGGCGAGGACATATGCGGGCGAGGAGGAGAGGAAGAAGTTGAAGGAGGAAGGGCTGAAGACCGCCGAGTTTGATTTGAAGGGTGACCTGTGATTCGGACAAGTCAGTGGACAAGTTTAGTTTGGACAGTGTACATGGATCATCTTGCGAGAGTCTAGACGTTACGACCACGATCATCTCATACGGAATTATATCTGTGTTCTCGAAACAATTGGCCTGCCGACTAACTTAGTGGTGCGTTCTGCGACGTGACTGCGGGTGAAGCTGTCTGAGAATGTGTTCTTTGTGAGATCACAGCCTGGTCGCTTTGCGTTCCGGCACAGTCGCATATCGTGGCAATGCCCAGCAGACAGACATCACTTCTGCCCAGATTCGATCTCAATTGTCCAGACTCGCACAGTCACATTCACTGCATCTGATTTATGACAGAACTCTGTCCTTTCATTGCCCTGCCATATTACGGATTGACAGCATCTCTCAGATGCCACAGCATCATTTCCGCAAACAGCGCCCCGCACGGCAGCTGACTCGGAGCCAACGGATTCAACGAATGCTGATCCTGTCCCATCAGCACCTCCGCAAAGTTGAGCCCGACAACATCACCCGGCATCCTCGCCCCCCTCGCCCTCTCTCCCTTGACCACATCATCACCATGCACCTCCAAGGCCGACCTCTGCGCGCCGTTCAGCTGTGCAATCCTGTTCGCATGATACAACGGGTGGTTCTTCCTCCTCTCGCCCTCGATGCCCAAGAACGCCTCCACCGTGCTCGCCTCGGATGCTAGCGGATAACTCGTATTTCTCCAAACAATCCTCGTCTTCTTCCAGGCCTTCCTCACCGCACCCAGCATATCGATCATCCTCGATCTCCACCACATGATCCTCTCCTCGGACAAGTTCTCCAACAACCCGACACCCGTATCGATGTCGTACCTCGCCCATCTGGCCAAATCCCACAAACCCGAGTTGAACAGTATCAAATCCGGCTCGCTCTTGCTTCTCGGCAACGGCATCGCCGGACTGGTGTTCGAGCTGGAAGCTAGATCCTTCATGTACGGTGCAAACAGGTCGGTCACCCTATCCTCGAACAACCCCGGTGCATTGTACAGATCCTCCCCTCGCCAGGAATCCGACATATCCGCACCATACGAATACACCGATGTCAACAGGAAATCGTACTCCGGAATGTAGCAGTAATGCGCCAGAGGAGCGTTGTTCTTGATCGGAGTGAAACCGTGTTTAGGCGGGACTGAGTTGAGACTGGATCCCCACGGGTGCGTCTTGTCGACGGTCTGTATTGTGTGACCCGTAAGAGCGCAAAAGTGCGACACGAGGGACTTGTCCACCTGGTGATCACCGATCATGAGAACGGTGCGGTTGGTGAGGAAGGCGGAGAGCTCTTCCACGCTGCTGCTCGATGCGGGAAGCGAGTGGACGGCGTGAGGTGCGATCTTGCTAGGATCAGGTTGTTGGATGTTGAGCGTAGAGATGAGCGTACCGAGGAGGTTGGAGGTGGTACAGGCAGGGTCGAAGGTTCGCCATGCGGGGAGGTCGTTGGTTCCGATCGACCAGTCGACCCATCCAGGGAGCGAGAAGGGATCACATCGTCCAGATGGCGTTGAGTAGAACCCTCGCCGCGGCCCACTGGAAGACACAGAGTTGCTAGATGACCCGGAAGGTGCCAGGGAGCAGAGGAGGGAGAACCCGATGAAGGCGGCGGAAAAGTAGGTGAGGAAACGATTCGCCGACTGCACCCGTGTCTCTGTTGCAGTGTGTGGTTTGCCCTTGCCCGTGAGTGGGCGAACGTTGGAGGGCATGCTTCAGTAGCTCTCCCTGGGATGGGCCGGGATCGCGCAAAAACTTCCGAACACGGTGGTGGTGCGAAAGGGAACTGTCTAAATATTCTCGCAGACCCTTTTGTATGAGACGTCGTACAAGCCAGACGAACGGACAATTCGAGATGAGCTGATTCTCGAGGCGAGAGGAGCCAAGGATGCGTGTACCACCGCACGTCGCTCGACGGAGTCCGATCGGTCCGGCGGTGCAAGAGGAAGTTGGTTGCGAGATCGATTGTTTTCAAGTCCGACTCCGGAGGATGAAAAGCTTGAGGCGAGGGCCGAGAGAAGTGTGGACTGTCAGCAAAGCCAGAAGAAACGGTGCCAAGCTGGCTCGATGAGTACAAGAAGAAAGGATTGGTCAAGTTGACCGACACGGTGGAACTAGCGGCCACGATCGACACACGCTTGCACTTTGCTCGTTCCTGCTTCAACGCATCCGTGCGGGGTTGAGCATCATGCGATCCACTTTGTGTTGCCGTCCACAAGATCGGGCCGAGCCGGCTAATTTGTTGTGATTTCGCTAGTTGTTAGTTCAAGCGTGTCTCACAATAAGGGCCGAACTTTCGTGAAAATTTTTTTCGGCTCCGACAAAATTCAGGGGCACGTGATGTAGCAGTCACCAAATGTAATAAAGATCCGGTTAGAAGCAAGAAGTGAAATGACAGCAATCTATATTTACAGATGAATTCAAAAAGAGTCTGGCTGAAGGGCAGGGGGGAGCGAGTTTCGGTGGCCAGAGTAATTCGAGGTTGTAGATGGCGCTGGCGGTGTGGCCGTCGAGAAGATTGCCTCGCAGAAGGCGGTCATCCCACATTGTGTCGAGTGAGCTGCTCGCAGGCAGAGCAGCCAGCGTCGTGAGCCAGGTCCAGTGTCAATTCGCAGCTGGCCAGTCTTTCAGTGCAATTCAGTGGGCCAGCCAGCTGCCTGTCAGTCAGTAGCGAGCCAGCAGCGAAACAAGCTTTGTCGCCATCCGGAGATCCATCTTACCCTCACCCTACGTCAATCCACCTCTCCTCGTCACATCACCTCAAGGTTAGTAGAACCACCCGATAGCGACTGGACAACGGACAACGACAGACAGACGGACAAACGGCACGAGCAGATCGCAACCAACTTCACCTAAGCAACGACAAAGACAGTGCCGTACATCTATATTCGCATTCGTACACTGCCAACCTATGACACGACCATATCCGCCTTCATCGTAATTATCGACAGCATACGTACGCATCGCCACTCGCAACACCACTTTTGTTTTGGATCAGTCGGATGGACACACGTTCTTGAAATGCTTGATGCAGGCTCTTCAGAGTCTGGTTTCGCATTCAAGTGGAAGCAGATAGCGAAGCATGGCATGTTGATGAGAGGACATCATCGTTGGGCATTCTTATCCTTGCAGTGTCGGCCATACGCAACACACTTGCGTGGAACGTATTCAAGGTCTAAGCACTGCATCGACACTCGATCTCGTGATGTTTGCGACACATCGACCACAACTGCTCAGCAAAGCTCCTCCAGCACTTCTCAGCGCCCTTGCGACGCCCATCGCGTCAGTCATTCTGCTCGTGCTCGCATTCTCTGTCTCTCGCTCCACCGTCTATCCGCTACACCCACACTTCAACTTCTCTAAAGAACAGCAGAACTGACCCTTCGACACCCACCCGCCCCCTAATTGCATGATACAGATCCAAAGATGTTGCAGATCTACAAGGAGCTCGACCTCGCGGTCCCCTCTGACGTTACCGTCAACGTTTCGTCGCGTGTCTTCACCGTCAAGGGTCCCCGCGGCTCCCTCACCAAGGTTAGCATCCCATATTGAAACGCATTCCAGCCCGACGACAGACTTCCATTCAGCAGCAGCAGCAGCAGCAGAAGCAGCATGGAGACATCAGGCGGAAGGTGACTAGGAGGCAGAGACGAAAAAATTGGGACATGCAAGGACAGAACAAGACAAGGCAGGTTGCAGAATCAGGCTAGAGGGCGAGACTGTTGCAGCGGATCCGGATTCTCGACCTCATCATCTCGGAAGGGAGGTGACAGGTAGATCCCACAGAGGGAATCATGATTGGGCAGGAAAAGGGCTAGCCTCACGTCGGTGGCAAGCGGCAAAGCAAATATCGCGACTCTGAAGCAGATGACACGGTGCAGCAGGTTCGGAACATCCGAATCAGTTCCGCAGTCAGATGAAGCGCAGGATTCTTGGTGGTGGCGCTTCGAGATGGGACAATAATAGCTGGTCGCTGCAGCTGCTGATGGAAGACCTACGTCGTCGAGGTTTGGATCGCCGATACAACCTAGCATTTGCGCAGAGATACTGATTCTGCTCCTTTCTGTTTGATTTCAACAGTCGCTCAAGCACATGAACCTCGATGCTCGTATCATCAAGAGCCCCGCTGGTCAGAAGATCAAGTTCATCGTGTGGCACGCCGCCCGCAAGCACGCCGCCTGCCTGCGAACCGCACAGGCCTGCGTCGCCAACATGATCAAGGGTGTCACCGTTGGCTTCCAGTACAAGATGCGTGCCGTCTACGCCCATTTCCCCATCAACATCATCATTGCTGGTGACAAGAAGTCGGCCGAGATCCGAAACTTCCTGGGAGAGAAGCGCGTGCGCAACATTGTCATGCTCGAGGGCGTCACGATTCAGGAGGACAAGGCGCAGAAGGATCAGGTTCTGGTGGAGGGTAACGACATTGACCTCGTTTCGCAGTCGGCTGCTCTGCTTCACGGTGCCACGCTGGTTCGCAACAAGGACATCCGAAAGTTCTTGGACGGCATCTACTGCACTGGCAAGGACACCGTTGTCAAGGTAGAGGCTTAATCTCTTTTGTATCATTCCCCCCCACGACATCCTCACACACAACCTACACTGCATTTCTTCCGACCTTTCGATTCACGTACTTTTAGTCGACAGTGGACATTCACTTGACCAAGTGTTGTTTATGTCGAAGGGTTTCTTGACGACCCGATCATACACATCCCGTGCACAAAAACAAAACACCTGCTCTCCTCGCGAGAGTATGTTTTTCGATCTCATACCTGTTCCAAAGAATGTGGCTTTGTAGTTTGTGTCACGTTGCGAGTTGAGATCTTCGAGCAGAAGAAATGTCCTTGTCGGTCGCTGCTGCAGGAATGAGGCGAGCCGATTCAGAAGTGTCCGGGGGTGTAAAGAGTGTGTATTGAGTGAAGCTTGTACAAACATGGGGAGTGGAAAGGGCAGCTGTGAGCTTGAAGGAAATGGCGGGAACGCCAAAATAAGAGCAAATGCTGGCGAGTGTACGAGGCTGCAAGCTGGATCGAAGGCGGGTATCGAATGACGCCTGGCCAGTTTGGCGACAGTGCGCCAAGACGTTGCAAGGCAGGCGTCATTATTATGCTTTGCCAGTCTACTGAAACTTCATTTCAGAGCATGCGGTGGATGCTGTGGTCGGTCAAGTCCGACAACACTTTAGCATCGAGCGGTTTGCCCTCATCTCCGCCCCTTCTCGTCAGCAACTCGGTCCACCAGGGGAATAGGAACTTCTGAACGATCAACTTGAACCAGGGCGTAAACGCCAACGGATCCAATTCGGTCATGAGCACCTTGAGCTCCTCCGGAGAGACCCATTTTGTATCGCAGACCTCGTTCATGTTGGGTTCGAGGGTGACTTGTGCGGTGATGAAGAGGATGTAGTCGATCTCGTGTTCTCCCCACATGTTTTCCGGGTCGTTGTTGGGAGCGAGGTAGTGGATCCTGGTCAGGTACTGGAACTCGTCGAGTGGCACCTGCTCTGCGGGGATTCCGAGCTCGTGATCAAGCTTGCGCTGAGCTGCACGTCGTACACCGATCTGCTGCGCCTCTTCGAGCTCGCCCTTGATGGCCAGTGGATGGGAGCAGCAGGTGTTGGTCCACATGTTGGGGAAAGTGATCTTTTCAGGCGCCCGTCGTTGAAGCAAAAGCTTGCCCGTGGTGGGATCGAAGAGGAAGACGGAGAAGGCACGATGGAGAAGACCCTTGTTGATGTTGGTCATGAGATGGCACTCCTTCTTGCTGCCGTCGCGGAGGTACTTGTCATCGTTGTCGAGGACGATGCATCGCTCTTCCATGAGACGGATCTGCTCCTCGTCGTATCCGGTGAGTGGCGCAGAGTCCAGCGTGACGGTGGAGCTGGTAGGCTGTGAAGAGGCCGTCTCGGTGACGGTTGTTGTCGACATTGTGAGAGGGTTCCGTCGGCAGGAGGTGCTGGTGGAAAGCAAGGAAAGGTGAGAAGGTTTCGCGGGTTTAGAGCAACCAACCAACACACTCGCGGATCAGCCCACTCGCCGTTCGCGACTTGGCTCTTTTTCTCCGTTCGAAAATGTGAGGTCGCGGCGCCCAGGTTCTTCTTGGAAATGCGAGTCAAATTTTGTATTCGACGACGACCGTGAGTTTCAAGTCGAGACAGCTCTTGAGCAGGCTTGCGTGTGTGTCTGTATGATTTTCTTCCGAATTTGCTTTGGTCGTGGGCCTGTCAAAGCGTGAACCGTCAACTTTGGGTCTTCGCTTGGCCAGCGGCCGGTCTCTGTGCTCCAATTCGCCAACGTCATCTACCTCTGCCTCTCATCACACCCATCGCTCTGATACGACCATCACACACACACAACTAGGGGCGTCATCATGTCATCCGAAGCACCGACCGCATCGACCTGGGTCTCGCCTCCCTCGCGACCCGAACACATCGAGCAGCTCATCTCTGGCGTCGACCGATACAACCCTCAAAACCTCGATGTCCTGCACGACTACCTCGCTCAGCAGCTCGACGACGGCTCCTACGACCTCCTCGCCAACCTCGCCATCTTGAAGCTGTAAGTATTCGCACTCTTCGACAACCTGAAACACGCATCTCGGCACGCCGCACCCGGCACGGACAACAGTCGCACGCACTTAGGAGCACGCAGCCTCGGTCTATCATGCACTGGACAAACGAAGTCGACACATCAGCAAAGTTGCGCACCAGAAATGACCCGCCCACAGACCAGATCCCTCCGCAGTTCAACCATGTAAAGCGGCTCCCAAAGTGATGATCACACATTACCATGAATGCAAAGCGACTGGCTCTCTGGGAGTGAAGCCCCGGATTGCCAATGACGTGCATCTATATTAGCTCTATCTGATTCGTACAACGAGGATACGTTGGGTCCTTCGCGGCCATCGTCGACAACCACCAACAACGGTATTTGACTTCGAAGTGGCCCGTGCCGAGGCTTGCGGCTCTGCTGGATCGATGACCCCACTTAGCAATGGAGCAGCATCAACTGACATAGAAGCCGCCCTCATGTTTGACCGTAACAGCTACCAATTCAACCCCTCCGACTTCAACTATGTCGTCGTCATCAACATCCTCCTCAAGGCGCTCGTAGCAGCACCGCTTCCCGACTTCAACCTCTGCGTCTCTCTGCTCGGCGAGGCACCTTTGCCCACTGTTCCAGTCAAGGCCGAAAAGGAAGCCAGCACCGCCAACGCAGATGACGCCGGCTCGCTCGCTGGCGACGATGACGAGGAAGAGGTGGTTGAGAAGCCCAAGGACATCGCATCTGCCGGACACGTGACCGACCCGTTGATCGTCCGCCTTTCGCAGCTCAGCACCCTGCTCTTCCAAGCACGCTTCCGCGAGTTTTGGTCAACACTCGCCAGCGAAGCGTACTCGGACGTGCGCGAGTACGCCGCCAAGATCAACGAGTTCGAGAACGCGGCACGAAGAGTAGCACTCAATTCGGTCAAAGGCTCGTTCACCTCGATCAGCGAGAAGCGAATCGCCAGCTACCTAAACCTCTCCGGATCGGAGCTCGCCGAGTTCATCAACGCACAGGATGGCTGGAAGCTGGCTGATGGCAACGTCAGCGTGCCTGCTAATCCGGATAACGAGATCAAGGCCACCGTCATCAGGGAGGAGATCACGCTCGATCAGATGCACAAGTTCCTCTCCCAGGCTCAGTCGCCCCTCCTCCGCGCATAGGTGGAGTGAGTTGGCTAATCTAGAATACGAGAGCGAATGTATCTTGTCCTTCTGACTTCAAAAAATGCATCGATCAAAACCGGCTGATCCAGCTCTCTTGTACCATATATCACATGCATCAGTCTCGACTTCAACTCGCATGACACCCTCACTGATTTATTCGATCTAGATTCGTACTAAGATACTTGCTCAGCTCGTGTGAGGTGTAAACATCCGGAGGCCATGAGTTCCTTCCGCTCACTCATCCCGTCCTCTTGTGCCTCACGGAGCAGAGCCTCATTTGTGGTGAGCCAGACTCTCATGACGAAATCGAGAGAGAGGGAGAGGGAGAGAATTCCAAGACACGAGAGGTCCCCCTCATCGTCGTCGGTGATGACCATGTCGTGATGCGTATTGAACCTAGAAGACGAAGCAGCATGCCGCCTGTTGTCTTTGCTCACGTCTGCTCCCCCACCTCCACTCCCTCCCGCAGAATGATGGCAGCATGTCAGTGCTGCATAGATCCGTGTCCGTCCTGAATGAGGCTCTCAGGGGACGTAAGCAAGAGGTTGCGTGTCGACGTCAACGATATGCTGATCGGGGATCAGGAAAAACCTCAGCGCCGACATCGGGTGAGAGCTCATCAACGCCACGGACATCGCCAAAACTCGACGAGACGCGCTCGACTAAATTGGGAGTCGACGCGACTGAGGGGAAAATCGAGAGGCCGAATAGTGCGGGCATGAGAGCAGTGGACCCCCTTCGGCTGCGCGACGTGGGTCACACTGCTCAACTGCCTCCCTGGGCCGAACGCGCCGTTTGGACCCTCGCACGACTGGAAAAGTGCCGCGATTTGCAGTGCGTTAACCTGGATCGATCCTGGATCTCTCAAGCTGTCAAGTCGAGACGAAAACAGACTGGTTCCAAGCCGACTGAGATTAATTTCAGGACCCGTTGCCCTCTCGCTGTTCCTTGCTCTTGCCGGCGCCTCGCTTGCCGTTGCTCGATCCTCTGCTCTGTCCTTGAGCTGCGCGTGCATTCGAACATCTTGGGTGCTCCTGGATTGCACGCGCCTTGCATCCATTCTATTTATCGCTGCTTTTGGCGTGTGAGTGTGAGCGTCCTGCTGCTTTTGCGCTGTCGCTCTGCGCCGCTACTGTAGCATCTGTGCGACCTCTTTACACGACCGCGCGCGGCTAGCCTACGCCAACCCTGTTCGGCCATCGAGCCGGTCTGGAAACCTGTGCTCCTGTGCCTCATCATCCCTCTTTTGGTGCCCATCCGTGTTTGACCCTTCATCCGCTACCTTTTTCCAGGTCTCGGGCACTTTTGGGCACCTCGTGCCGTTTTCCCCTCCCCATGTTTCTGGCGGCAACACAGGTGTGCCTGCCGCTCTGACCATCGTGCACCCTCACCGCAACTCACTCCCAAGTTCCGACTTCCTTTTCCGCTCCTTTGCTCTCTCGTGCGGACCTTTTCTCCTGCCACCACCATCCCTTGCCCATCCTGTTGTTTTCCCCGTTGCATTCTCTCGTACCATCTATCCAGTCGACATATATCGCATCTCGCACTCCCTACGCCTCCTCTTGCATTACAATCGCACCCACACCATTTCGCACGCGTTTTCTTACTTTTGCATTCTTCGACACCTGTCATCGGAAACGCAACCTCCACCATCCGATGTCCCACGCATTCCGCATCTCAACAATTGCAGCTCTTTCTGGCTTATCTCGCAGCACGTAGGGCCCACCCGCACCTCAAAGCCTCCTCGCACACCATCAAACTTGCATTATCGTCCTTAGGCACGGTCACCACCACCTTTCGCACGGACACGCGTGTCATATTCGGCAACGGCTCGAACATCCACAGTCGAAACTACTGCTCATCGGGACCCTGGCCTGGTCGCTGGTATGAAACCGTACCCCATCCTTTTTGATTGGAAGACGTTGACATCAGCGTAGCAATATTCAATACAACACGGCCGAACCTTGCTACATTTTCCTGCAGTTCACGCGGCCAACGTATTGGTACGCTATCAATCCTGCTGTGCGACCATCTGGACCGTCGTCGTTCGCTGCACAATCTCATGATAGCAAACTGCTTTATGCGCATTCAGGGTCCGACATAAGAAGTACTCTGCCGAAACATACATCAGTACGCTTCCTTGGACGATCCCAATCCTGCCAAGAGCGAGTCAGGCGCTTTCCGGCAAGAACCTCTGTTCTCGATCGACTCTGGCTTCTCTGAATACGTCGCTCCGCCATTATATGGACGATGCCCGACGGCACTCAAGTCATCGACCGCTCTTTGCACCACCATCTTGACTCTTTAACCGTAACACCAGCCTTTCAGCGCATGGACTACGCATCAGCATCGAGACCACCCCCACCTCCTGGCATTGTTCCCCGAGGTCCATCTGTGTCGGGATCAGTAGCCACTCCAGGTGCAATCGCGGCATCCGCCCCTTACACATCTCAACCATCGCCATCATCGTCACGTGCGACTCAAGCTACGCTCGCTGCGCCCAGACCCATGCAGCCTTACCCACGCCTTACGTCGCCTCAGCCTGCTGGTGAGCCAGGAGCGACCCCTAACAGCTCAGGCGCTCGCTCGCCTTCCCCGACCAAACGCTCTTTCAATTTTCCGATGGGTGATCCAAGTGAAAGGTGGAACTCTATTGGTCAGGTTTCCGGCAACGGAAACAGAGGCTCGACCAACGTAACCACATCGCAACGCAAGCCGTCAATACACGCAGGACTCTCTACATCGTCCGCCGCCGCAGAGCCCTTCCTCGGCTACAATGAGCTCTTCTCACCCAACGGCAGCTCAAGTCTTGCCACATCGGATACGTCCAAGAGTGCCAATGCCGCTGCCCTCTCCACCTCGGATCCCATGAACGTCGCCTTCCGCTCCGGTTCGAGCACCGATTCCAGAGCAGGATTCTCATTATCGTCCAGTCACGAGCAGGACCTCATCTCACATCGATTCGGCTTGTCACCAGGACACTATGCTCCTGGTGGGCGTGACGACGTCTCTTCACATATAGGCGGCAACCCCCGCAGCGCCGGTCACGACGACTTTCTCGCACGCTCACCGTTTGGGCCCGGAGCTGGCCACCCAATGCTCGGTATGCCCAATCCGGGCAATCTCAGCCCAAGGAGCATGATGCAGTTGCAGCATCAGCACATGCAGATGCAATCCCAGCTCCACATGCAACAACAACAACAACAGCAGCAGCAGCAGCAGCAATCTTCGCAGCAGCCTCAGTTCGCGCCACCACAGCAGCTGGGTATGCAGGCAGGTGTTGGCAACACTGCTGGAACAACGGCACCGGGCGGGCCGCCCGAAGAGATCACCACCGTCTTTATCGTTGGCTTCCCAGACGACATGACCGAACGCGAGTTTGCCAATATGTTCCTCTTTGCGAAAGGCTTCGAAGCGTCAACACTCAAGATTCCAGCCGGTATTGGCGCCATCGGGCCCAATGGACGCTTATCAGATGGTACTGGACCGCTATCGGCAGGCCCTGGTGGTCCCTACCAGGCGGTCAACCTGCCAGGTTCAGGGTTGTTTGATCTGGGAGGCAACGCAGGGCCAGCCTGGGATGAGCCGAACATGCCACTTGGGCTTGGCCGCGGAGGAGCCAGCGATACCTTTACTTCCCTAGCCAACATGACGGGCATGCCCAATGCTTTGGGAGCTCCAGGTCTGGGCGGCGCTGCGGGTGTTGCCAACAGTGTCGCGGCCGCGGCGGCCGCGGGCAAGATCAAGCAGATCATCGGCTTCGCCAAGTTTCGCTCACGTGCAGACGCGCTGGAGGCACGCGATGCACTCAACGGACGCAAGGTGGACGCGGACAAGGGCTGCGTGCTCAAGACGGAGATGGCCAAGAAGAACCTTCACACCAAGCAGCGTCCTGTCCTGACAACACCTGGATTTGCAGAAGGGCCCAACGTCGGCATGCCTCCACCTTCCAGCATGAGCGCTGCTGCTGCTTCCGGTCAAGCACCAGCAATGCCGCCATTTGCCCTAGCGACACCATTCGATCCTCGCGCCGGCCCGCAAATGAACGGACCCGGCTCGCAAGGCGGGCCATTTGGACCTTTTGCCAAGGGTCCAGGCAACTTCGAGCCGTTCAACGGTTCTGGACCCACGTCAAACGACCTTTTGTCGCCTCACGAGATGTTTGGTGGTCCTGACTTCTTTGCTCAGGGCGGACCCGGGCGACTAGCACCATCGTCGCAGCAAGCGCAGTCGCAACAACTGCAGTCGCAACCGCAGCAGCCAAGCTCGACGGATAAGTGGGGTGGGTCGCTAGGACCGCTCGACTACTACGGGCCAGAAAACGGTACGACCTCGACTTCGACATCGAACAGAGGTCTTCAAAGTATTGCTACTCAGACACTCAACGCGCAGAACGCTCCGAGGTCCGAGTGGCCACCTGTCGGCTCTCCGCCGCCGGGGCTCTACAGTGCCGCAGCGGGTGGAAGCATGGCGGTAGCAGCATTGGCACAGCAGCGACCGGGATTTCAGAGGCAAGGCTCGCGTGGCACCTCTGTCGGGGCGATCGGCCAAGAGCAGCCTGCTGCCATCGCTGTGAACAAGCCGGAGGATGGCATCCAAACCGCGCCCCGGTCGACGAGTCCAGACACGGCGGTGGCTGCTTCCGAAGCCCAGGCAAGCTCGGCGGCGACCCGTTTTGGCGCTCTCAATCTCGGCTCGCCTCCCGCCGATGATGAGGGCGCCAAAGCTCCGCAAGTGCCGAGTCCAGATCAAACTAGCACTACGGGTAGCCGAAATCTCGTTGGCGATAATCATCCACCCGTCAACACGCTGTTCGTCGGAAACTTGCCCAGCAACGCCTCGAGCGCAGTGCTTTCTCAGATCGAGGATCAGCTGCGAGGCGTCTTTGGCAGCTGTCGAGGCTACCGACAGATTTCGTTTCGGCTGAAATCCAACGGGCCCATGTGCTTTGTCGAGTTCGAAGACGTGCACACTGCGTCGAAAGCCATGTCGGAACTCAATGGCCACTCGCTCGGCGGCTCGATCAAGAATGGTGGCATTCGTCTCAGCTTCAGCAAAAACCCTTTGTTTCGTATGAATTCGAACTCGGCGATCAACGGCACCGTTGTCGGTGGGAGCGGCTCGAGCACCGGAACGCTTCCTTCGCCCGATAGTGGTGCTGTCGGACCGCATGCTCCATTGAGCCTAGGTTCAGCGAGCGAAAGCCTCTCATCTGCTGCGGTTCTAGGATCGCGTCGCTGAGGGTTCTCTGCCCAGTACCAAAAAAAAAAGAGGAAATTCACGAAGAAAAAAAGGGTTCAATGCTTTGCGTTGATCTCGCTTCTGGAAGCCTCCACACAACTTGCTTCTTGACCAGCATCATCCCGATTGACGTCACCATCCATCGCCGCGACTCATCCTGCTGTTCGGTCGATCAACACCGTCAACTTTCTACATTTAGGTGTCACCATGCTCGATTCGATCGATGCGGTCGACTTTGACATCGATTCCGCCAACAATGTCGAAGAGACGGCGTATCAAGAAGGCTACCAGCAGGGCTTCGATCATGGCGCGCTTCACGGGACGTTCGAAGGACGCGAGCTGGGGCGCGAGAAGGGGTTCGAGCTATGGGAGGAGGTGGGTTTCTATCGAGGCATGGCCGAGGTTTGGAGAAGATGCTTGGAGCAGGCAGATGCGGCTGGGCACAGCTCGCGGAAGCAGTCCAAGCAAATTCAACACCTGGCTGGTCTCGAGAGGCTCATCTCGATCTTTCCTGTGACGAACACCTCGTCAGATGCTTCGCTCGATCTGGCACAGGCTACCCCGGACGAGTCTGTCGACATTGAGCTGGACGCCGACGCAGAGGCAGACGCCGACGCAGGCAACGACGACGATTTATCCAAGCTCGACATGTTGACGCTTCTCGAGAAAATCCGAGCCAAGTACCGACTTACATGCTCGGTGTTGGGGATCACGCCGCAGCGCCCGGCATCTTTGGCCGACATGGTGAACTCTGCAAACCAAGGTGCAGCACCAGACGGCTACAAGAGCGAAGGCAAGACGGTGCTTGTTGCCGGTAAACTCGTGGACCCATCTCAACTCAAGTACTGAGGCGATCATCACGTTCGTCTAGTGCGATACTCTATACCCGGCATGAGATCTCCTTTGCTGTCCCCCGTTCGACAAATTTGCAGCTGGGAACGCTTTCACTCTGACTCTTTTGGCTTGCGCAATCCTCAAAGACACCGCTTGCATCTTACCCCGAACCTCTCTCAGTCACCCTTGCTTTTCCGTGTTCTTGTTCCAACATACCCTTAGCGACGCGGCATTTGCAATTGCTCATTCTGTCTTCTCCGCTGCACCGTCGTACACACATGTACTCGATACTCGATCCCTACTATCTGTCCCTTCGTCGCGTTTGCTCTGTCTCTTGGTTCGCCTCTTTCCTTTGTATTGCAGAGTTTCGTAATGGGTTTTCAGGACGGTGCATTCTTCTTTGACTGGTGACGTGCGGTTGATGGTCTTGCGATGGGGTTTGATTGTCTGTGTTGTCCGATGCGAGAGTGCGTATGTGACTGTGTTAGAGTGTGGCCAGAGGATAGCGCGTGGTGTTGTGCAGGGTCGAGGCGAATTTCTGGGCCATGATTCGGTGCGTATTTTTCAGGTCAGAATCCTTTCGTTCCGTGCAATTGTTCAGGTGTACTTCTTAGCGTTGGGTGGTCAGTGTACTGGCAGACTTCTGCAAGCGGCACACCGAACAGTGCTTGCCAACGATGTCGAGGCTCAGCACAAATGTCGTCGGAGCCTGTCGTCTGTCGACAACTAGCGGGATAGCAAGTCGGTCCATTCACGGTTCGCACAAGTTTTCCGGACGAGAAAATCTACCTCCCACCGGCGCGTGCTCCTCTTTCCAAAAGGCGCAAAGAGCACGACCGAAACGCGGGGTCTCCAAAGGGGCGAAATTCATCCCCGCTAAATGCGATCGATGCTCGAGTCCGGCCAACCGGTCAGTAACGCGAGCCAAAGCCGCGCGCTGCAGTGGGCGATTTTTTGTCCCGCAATTCCTGGCCCGAGAGAAGGGTTTACCGGGGTTGACAGGTAGGAGGACCTGCACTTCTCTACCCGCTTCTCCCTGCATCCTTCACACTGTCAGGCCATCACACGATCACCACCACCACCACCATCTCACCGCGGCGCTCGATCGAATCCTCAAAACCATGTCGTTCTCCGCACTTCGTACCGTCGCGGGGGGGACCTCGTCCCTGCGCGCGCGTCTCGCTCTCACCGCAGCACCGCGTCTTGCCACCACCCTCACCACTCCTGTCGCACGGCCCTACTCAACGTTCTACAACACCGACGTGGCAGGTCTCACCGAGGATCAATTGGAACTTCGTGAAGCAGTGTCCAACTTCTGTGCCGCGGAATTGCCCTTCGAAACAGCCAAGGCGATCGATCGCAACAACGCCGCTCCCAAGGACATCTGGCGCAAGCTTGGGTCGATGGGTCTGCTGGGCATCACCGCACCCGAGGAGTACGGTGGACTTGGGAAAGGCTACCTCGATCATACGATTGTTATGGAGGAGCTGTCGCGTGCCTCGGGCAGCGTTGCGTTGAGTTACGGTGCTCATTCCAACCTCTGCGTCAATCAGCTCAATCGTCACGGTACGAAGGAGCAGAAGGAGAAGTACCTGCCCGATCTGATCAGTGGTGAGAAAGTTGGCAGTTTGGCAATGTCCGAACCAGGTGCTGGCTCGGACGTCGTCAGCATGACCACCACCGCCGTCGAAAAGGACGGTGGGTGGGTCCTGAATGGAGGCAAAATGTGGATTACCAACGCACCCATCTCATCCACCTTCATCGTCTACGCCAAAACCGACCCGCGCGCGGGCTCCAAAGGCATCACCGCCTTCATCCTCGAGCGCGGCATGCCCGGCTTCACCACCCTCCCCAAACTCGATAAAGTCGGAATGCGCGGTAGCGACACCGCCGAGATCCACTTTGACAACGTCTTCATCCCTTCCGAAAATGTTCTCGGCACCGTCAACCGTGGCGCTGCAGTCCTCATGTCCGGCCTCGACCTCGAACGTCTCGTCCTCTCCGGTGGCCCGCTCGGCCTGGCTCAGTCTGCATTCGATTACTCGGTCAAGTACGCACACGAACGCAAGCAGTTCGGACAACCCATCGCCGAGTTCCAACTCATCCAGGCAAAGATCGCAGATATGTACACCAAGATCAACGCCGCCAGATCGTACGTCTACGCAGTAGGTCGGGCGTGCGATGCGGGCAAGATCAGCAGGAGAGATTGCGCAGGCGTCATCCTCTACTCCAGCGACAGAGCTGTCGAGGTCACATCGGAAGCTATGCAGATCCTAGGCGGTAACGGTTATACGAATGACTACGGCATCGATCGTATGTGGAGAGACGCTAGACTGTACACTGTCGGCGCGGGTACGCAGGAGATCAGAAGGATGTTGATTGGCAGAGAGTTCAACGTCCAGCTCAAACAGTAGATCCTCTCGTCACAATAACCAACCTCTTTCTCACAACATCATCGCTTGTGTGACAGGAAAACCCACTCTGAAATTGAAAGAATACCACGACTCGTCACGACGTAGGAGTATTTCTCCCGCCGCTCAACAAGGCCATCAGGTTAGCACCGTTCATGGCGTGACTGCCGACATTCACTGCGCCCTGCTGCTGCTGCTGACCCTGACTCTGACCCTGCCCCTGGTGTCCGGTGGGTGGACTCCCCGGCCCCTGCGCATAGTACGGCGCAAACTGCTGGCTCCTTGCCCCCTCCTGCATCTCGTAGGGCGACCTCGGCATCGGGGGCATCCCCAGCGGCTGACCCGCCAACACCTGCTGCTGGATGTGCGGCGGCATGCCCATCAGCTGCTGATACAGCTGCGGCGGCATCCCCGGCGGCGGCGGCGGACGCGCACCTCCGGGCGGGAAGAAGCCAGGTGGGAAACCGGCGTTCGGCGGAGGAGGTCCACGCGGTCCACCAGGCCCGCCGGGGATGTTCATCGGCGCAACGCCCGGAGGCAGGTTGGCCATTCCGGGAGGAAGCGGTCCTCGAGCGAGACCTAGACTGGCGGCAATGTGGGGGGGAAGTTGTTGGAAGCCTGCAGCCATCGGAGGTCGGCCGAGGAGACGTGGATCCATGCCGGGCGGAGGCGGACGGCTGGGCATGCCTCCGGGGAAGCCACCGAATCCGGCCATCCCAGGAGCCGGGCCAGGCGAAGCAAGACCGCCGGGTCCACCCGGACTCGTCGGTGATCCAAGTCCACCCAGTTGCTGACGTGGATCGTTGAACGAAGCTCCACCGCCAACGCCCACAGAGGGAGATTCAGATCGCTGCTGCTGCTGCTGTTGGTATTGCGGATACTGCTCGTGTTGCTGCTGTTGCTGAGAAGGCAACGAGGTGCTCGATTCACGATGGTGCTGTTGCTGCTGCTGATGGTAAGGCAGAGGAGAGCGGGCGTCCACACCGTGATGGTTGTGCGTCTCGGCCGACGACATTCCCGGCGAAACAATGCTTCGGGGCCGCTCGTTGCCACCATCTTCGGCGTCGCCGCGGTTTCCTCCTCGTCCCTGACTACGCAGAAGCTCCTTGAGTCGGTCCGCCGACTCTGCATCAGGACCCTTGCCCTGCGTCGGCGTGCCCGTCCCGCTGCCACCGCCGCCTTGCAACATGGCCATGAGCTTCTGCATGCTCTGCTGATCCGCCTCGGACACGTTCTTGCCCGAAGCATCCTTCTGCGCACCATCGCCCTTGTCGCGGACGGAAGTCTTGCTGAACAGCTCGGAGATGTTGATCGACGACGACGATGCGTTCGGAGGCGACTGAGGGCTCTGCACGCTGGCAGCGTCCTTGTCTTCTGCACCCTTGCCCATCATCGACTCGAGCATCTTCTGCTGCGCGGCGAGAGCGGCAGCTTGTGGATCGCGAGGTGGTCCGCCTTGAGCACCACCAAAGAAGCGTGCGAAACGGCTGGATCGGACAGGCAAGCCGGGTGGCCCTGAGCCATCGGCACCAGAATCACCGTGGCTGTTAGAGATGCTGTCGTACAGCGAAGCTCCCGAGGTAGAGCGTTGGTTGGCGGCGGCCATCATCTCTTGGCGAATCGCATCGAGCTCCGCTTCCCTGGAAGCTGCTTCACCGCCGAAGGCGTATTCTCCGGATGCATCGCGGCCTGCGCCGAAAGAGCTGCTGTGCGCACCCTGGTATGCGCCGGTGTTGTCGACAGGTTCGGGCTCGGGTTCGCCCCTAGCTTGCCTCTCGCGACGTTCTCGTTCCTTCATCTGCGCCTTGAACGCCTGAATGCTGTCGACGGCACCAGCCATGTCGTCGCCACGCAAGTCGTCTGCGCCCTCGCCTTCTCTGCGACGGCTGCCGAACTGACCGAATGGAGCACGGTTGTCCACCGGCAAAGGTTCCGAGTCATCTTCTAGCCAAGCCGGGTTGTCGTCGGCATCGCCAGCCCAGGGAGCACCGCCGCCTCGCTGAGCACCGCGTCGCTCGCTGGGCCGCAGACGGTCGGATGCGATGCTTGAGAACGGACCGGCGCGGTCTCGATCCCCAGGTCTTCGCCAGTCGGAGGCGGTGTCAGCTCCACCCGAGCGACGCACTCGAGGGGATTCAGAGATCTCTCCCTCCTCACGACTCTCATCAGCATCCAGGCCACGTTCGCCGCGTCGGCGGTCGCGGCCGGCTTCACGCCTCCTGTCATCAGGCAGCATGTCTCGCATCCGGTCTTTGCCGTAGGAAGCGGAGCGTTCGCCCATGCCAGAGCGACGTCCATCGCCAAGACCATCGGGATGGCCGTCTCGAGGTTGACCACGACCGCCTGGGGTGCCGGCAGGCTTGAAGGTGCCGCTCGCCGAGATCTGTCCGAACGGATTCTTGCCAGCAGGAGCAACTCGACGGCTGCTGACCTCGCCCAATCGCAGTCCCTCTCCACGTTCGCGGTCTTCGTTCCTTCTTCCTCCAAAGCGGGCGCCTGCTCCTTCCCTTCTGGGCCCGAATCCTCCGAGAGCGCCTCCAACGATGCCACCGTCTCGTTGGAAGGCTTCTTCGCCGCCGTCCGCCTGATGAGATGCATGTTCCTCTGCGTGTGCTCGTCGCGGCGTGTCGCGGTAGTTGTAGGTGGATTTGTGGTGATAAGGCTCCCACTCTCCGTACCAGTCGCGGAGAGGAGCCATGCTGGCCGGCTTTGCGACCAGGGCAGAGGAGCTGTAGGCTAGCAAGGCGCCTCTGCTGTAGACGCGAGGGCAGTCAGCCGGGCGTTTGTAGGCGCTTGTTGATTTAGCAGCTGCATTGTGTGCAAGAGGCGATTTGTGGGCGGCTGCTTGCGAGCCATTTGCTCCAAAGGGGTTGGGTGGTAATGTTGTGGCGGGTGGTGCTGCTATGCCGAGTCCCGGCGGTGGTCCGGCAGCCATGGTATTTCGAATGAGGAGGAGAACGGCACAGAGAGGCTAGCTAGGATCGTTCCGTTCCCAGTGCCTTTGAAGATGGTTGTCCAGTAGCTAAAGATAGGTTTGCAATCGTTTTGCGTAAATGCGTAGAGTTCACAGCCGTGAGAGATACAGAGCAAAGCGTTGCACAGAGTGATCTTGAGTGTTGATCTGATTCGAGTTCGAGCTTCGAGATAGCGTTGCGATGTGGTTCCGAATAGGCAGCGGTGAACAAAGACCCGGCTCGCTGGAGCTGCCAATGCGAAGGGTTGTGTGTAGTTGCTTGAGACAGCGTGTATGAACGAACAACGAACGAGGGTGAAAACGTGCGTGTTGATGCGCCAGATGGTCCGCAAGGAAGTATGTGTTGATGCAGGTGTTGGTAGCTGAATGCGACTCGAGACGGAATAGTGGTAGCACCAACGATGAAAGCGAGTGAAATGTGTGATTGGACCAACGACCAATCGGCGCTTCAGCCAACTCTGCGGGAAGTGAGACCTGCAATTCCGTCAGGTATCTCTGGAAAAGCTTGTTTCGTACGGCCATTTTTACCGCTGCAAGCCCCGACGACCTTCCGGATGCAATTTCGTGGCAGAATAAAAAATCCAACTCAGACGAGGAAGCAGCTCCAGAGTCGCAGGTGTCTGTGAGCGTAGACTGTTGGCCTCTGCGCAGCGGCCCAATCTAGAAAAATGCTATTTCGATCAATCACGCATCGGGCTCCGTCTGGTGTGATCGAGCCATGCTGCAAACCACTCACAAGACTCATCATTCAAATGAAGCATCCTTTGTCTCACGAAGCAAGCTCATGCATCCCACTGGAACGAGTGTCGGTCCAGTGTTTGTTTCCGCTGTGTATCAAGGCTGTTGGTGATTGCAATGTTCTGGTGGAAGAATCTGGAGGAGAGACTGGAGAAAGAAATGGCCGCGCTCTGCCGTGTCTCCTGCTGCCTTCTCAGGCAGTGCCGGTCTCCTTCCACGGGTACTCGAACGCAGGATCATCCTTTCTGCGCCAGAGCTTCTTCTTCTTACCCGTCGTGTCCTGTGCCCACACCTCGACGCAGTGCTTCTTGCGGAACTGTCGGATGAAACGAGGATCCCACAGCTCGGACGAGATGCCTAGGTCCTTGCAGCATCGCATCAGCGCGTTCGACTTGGCTCCCTCCGAAGCGGTCGGGACGCCTGAGGGCTTGAAGAACTCCTGCTCGCCTCTTGCCGTGGCGACGAACCGTCCTTGGCAGATGAGCACCCATTCGCGGCTCACGATGCCTTGGCCCACGTTGGTCTCGCTGCGAGGCGCCATGCCCCATCCTCCCGGTCCGAACGCTTTGTTGAGGATGCGACGGTACTTGATCTCAGGGAGGTAGATGAGTCCGTCCGGTTTGATCTCGACGTCACCCTCGTTGACGGGTGCCATGAGCACGTCAATGGCTTCTCTGCTGAAGGAGCGCTCGCCAAGTCCGGCAAAGCTGGTTCCCCACTCTTCCGAGATGTTGCTGGGCGGAATGGATGAAGATGAAGCGCTGCCCGACGACGAAGAGGTCGGTTGAGAGGTGGAAAATTCGGATGAGGTAGGACCGTTCGACGAAGCGCTAGATGAAGATCCGTTAACGAGACCGGGAGCAGCCACACCTGGGCTGACCTCGGGCTCAGCTGGCTGAGAAGCGGGGCGACTCGAGTGGACAGCTGGGTCGTTCGAGTTGCCCGTAGCTGTGTAAGGCTCTTCGGGTGCGTCCGAGGTCTCGAGCTGCTCGCGCATCGACTCAGGCAGTGGATGCAGATCCTTGAGACTGGTGCGTGCTACGGGCTGTTGCTGCTGCTTGGAAAAGCTTCGACTGCGCGAGCTGAGTGCAGGAGCAGAGACAGAGCAGAAGGTCCTTGCGGATGCGCTCGCCGAGCTTTGACGCAGGGCGCTGCGCGCCACAGATGCGATGACCGTCCTCATCGTAGGCAGTTGACGGCTCAAAGTGGAAGCGAGGGAATAGTCACGAACGTGTAGGTACCGAAGTCGGCTCGATATTTGGGCGAGCCTTGTCGCGAGTGAGATGAATCCCTGTCGATGATAGTACCGATGAGAGGTGGGTATTACTTGATTAGTAGCTCACGTGTGGGTGGTTGGTCGTGAAGGGTGGGAGGATATGTACGTCCGCCCGCAGAGATCTTCCTGGAGCACCCGACGCTTGATCATGCTCAGCCTTGCATCAAAGTGACGCAAAGTCGCCAAGCCGTGACAGTGTGGAGGCTGAAGCACGTCAAAAATCGGTGCGCGAGGCGCAATCTCTCGCGCGATAGGAAACAATTTTGTACGAGCTACCAACACACGTCCAAGCGACGCGGAGAGCGACTAGTAAGAAGCTTCTCTCGCCAACATTGACCAAGACGAGATTGCATTTCAATCGCTTTTGCTTTGCGGTATCCTCCAAACACAGGAGACTCTTCACGCCTTCACTCCGTCTCAAGCTCTTCCGGCTAGCGCACGTCATTCCTTCGCGGCACGGCAGGGTAGTCAAGTAGCACTGGATCTCAAACGCGCCGATCCGCACGGACCTGGAGACCCACCTTAACATGTCGGACCAGGAGACTGCGACGACAGCAGCAGCGGCTAACGACGCCGCTGCCACCGAGCAGATGTCGGTATCGGCTGCACAAGCAGAAGCAGCCTCGACAACCGCCGCGTCTCAAGAATCAGCCGAAGCAGCCGGCGGAAATCTGGAAGACACACTGTTCGGAGATGATGACGACGACGAAGAGGAGCAGGTGCGCGCTGTTCAGCGAGCAAAGAACGTTGATGCTGTCGAGCGCAGCGCACCCATCGACGCCGGCGATGACGATGAAGACGACGAAGACGAAGGCGTGCATCGCAAAGTTCGCCGACCGCGACAGCGCGTCGCTTCCGCCTCGGCTTCTCCACCTCCGACCGGATCAAACGGTCTTGCCGCACCCCCGCCCCTTGACCCCTCTTCTCCTATCCGCGCGAGCAACGGTCAATCCGACCGATCATCCCGCTCCGCCAGCCCCTACGGTCTCGAAGGCTCCCAAGACCTGGACGAAGACGCAAGGCGTCAACTCGAGTACAAGGAAGACGACGAAGAAGATCTTCAACCCGACGACAACATCGAAGTCGCCCACCTCGCCCTTCCCCAACTACCCGTCCGAAGAACGAAGGAACACTGGCTCGCAAGGATACCGCATTTCCTGCGCTACGTCACCGCTCCTTTTGATGCGGACAAGTGGGACGAGGAGCAAGAGGAAAAGATGCTGGTGGAAGAAGGCTTCAATTCCGGATTCGGTAACGATGTTGGAGCTGCGAGTCTGTTGAGGACTTCCAACACGATTCGTTGGAGGTATACCGACCAAGTGGATGAGGATGGTGCCAAAGTGCCCGAGTCAAACGCACGGATCGTTCGCTGGAGTGACGGCACCATGTCGTTGCAAGTCGGTAGTGAACTGTTCGACATCACGCAGCAGACGGAGAAGGGACGTGTTTCGACCACCAATACGGGTACCAACACGCCGCAGATGGGTACCAGCTCGCAATCTGCCGGACCGTCATCGTCACAGCTGTTGAGTCAAGCGACGCAAAGCATGCCCATGGGATCCAGCGGATCGTCTAACCGACCCGCACAGTCCCTCTCCTACCTCGTAGTGCCGCACGAGCGCGAGCAGGTCATGGAAGCACAAGGTCCCATCGCCGGCACACTCGCCTTCACCCCCGCCGATACCCAGTCCGAAACCCATCGTCGCATCGCCAAGGCTCTTCGATTCCAAAAGACCGCGCGTGTCGTCGCCACCGCCGCCGGTGCAGGCGCGCTCGATCCCGAGGTGGAAAAAGCCCGCATCGAAAAGGACCTCAAGGACGCCGAAAAGAAACGCATCCGCGAACGCGAGAAGCTGGATCGTCAGAACGGCAAGTTCGACGACGACATGTTCGACGTCGATGCACGTCGAAAGACCCGCTACGCCTCCGGACGGAAGAGCGGCGGTGCTTCTCGAAATGCAGGCTACTACAGCGACGACAGCGATCTTGGCGGTGGTGATGCTGCGGACGACATCGGACGCGTGGGAAGCAAGCGTGGGGGTGCCGCTTCCCAGCGTTACGCCGAAGACGACGATGACGGCTTCATCGTCGACGACGAAGGTGACGAGGACGAGGATGAGGATGGTCAGGGTAGGAGTGGTGGTGGACGAAGGAAGAAGAAGCGTTCATCGGACGATGAGGATGCGATGGAGGTGGATGACGAGCCTGATGAGATGGAGTTGGCAGAGCAGAAGATCGAGGAGGCCGAACGCGCCAGGAAGAAGGCCCTCGGTGGTGGTGGTGAGTCCAAGGACAGACCGCGCCGACCAGAACCCGCCTTCTCCTCGGACGAGGATGATCAGGATGGTGAGGGAGACGATGACGCCGCGGCTGCTCAGGACTCTAGTCAGACGCTCGCCAGGAAGAAGCGCATCATCGAAAGCGACGAAGAGTAGACACACTCGCTCTTCGCGATCGCATCATAAACACATTCCTCACAAGTCGAGTTGACTTGAATCAAAATCTGCCTCCAGCACACGTCCCGTCTGGACATCCGCCGAACCCTTGTCGTGATGTCGTGTGAGCCGAAGGTCTCGTTCTGAGAGGTCCTGCTGAGTCGATCGGCGTCAGCCTTGTCATCTCACGAGCCAATTGTGGCAGCACAAGCTCGCATTCGCAAACGAGATCTGGGAAAAGTCATGTATTTTGTGCAAGGGCGACACGAGGACAGTTTGAGTAGATGTATGTGAAGGTCGTGCTGGATGTGATGTACAAAGCGAAGGGCGACGTTAGAAATCGACCCTGTCGCAAGACCTGCATGCGCTTCCTGCTCGCCCTCGGTTGCGAATCCACTTTTTCTTTAGTCAGAGACGCAACCCAGAAGGAAGGATGATAGGGTCCAGTTTTGAAGTTTTGGTGAAAGTGACAATGAGAACGAACAAGGACACGGTATGTTGAATGTCGAGGGTCGCCATCAGAGTCGAGTGAAATGCTGGTAGAGCGTCGGAACTGTGACCGACGTCAAACGAAAGTGCGATGGAAGAGAACGAGGAACAGAAAGCGAAGCCGGGCAAGACATGATGATTGTAAAGATTTCAACATGTTCAGGCGGCAACCTTCTTGCCGGCAGCGCCAGTCTGGAAACCGTTCTTGGCGCGGCGGCCGACGTTCTTGAGGTAGCGCATGCGGCCGGTACCGGTGGTCTTTCTGCGCTTAGCCTTCTGGCCCCACTCGTAGGAGCGGATCTTGGCGGCGGGGTAACCGCACGAAGCGCAGACCTTCTTTTGACGGTGGAAGGCACGAGCGTTGCATCGTCGGCAGACGGTGTGCGTCTTGGTGCTGTAGAGTGCGAGCAAGTAGGAATGGGGATGAAGAAGGAATGGTGAGCAATTTGCTCTGTATGTGTTGCTGATGGTGGTGCCTGACCATATCCGCACGCTGCGTGGCATCCAAATGCTCCATATACGTGACTATCCCTGATGATGGAACTTCCGGCCTGATCCGTGAGCTCATCGCGTCTGGCCATGATCTCTGATGCGAATGAGACTGCATGCCTACGTCGGGAAGTCGACCATTTTCATCTCTACTCGGCGGATCACTTTCGTAACACGTTACCAAGGCACAATGCCTAAAGAGGTGCGTCCACGAATCATGTCCCCTGCTGTATCATCCTCTTTTACGCGCTCGACGATGAGCGGAAATACGTCAAATCCACCTATCTGTATCCGTCACGTCCTTCTGACCAATCCAGCGAGTTCTTTGCAACATCCTGTGACCCTTTTCTGATATCGTGTGCAGCGTGCGAGCAGGTGTTGCGCCTTGTTGGGTCATCAATGATACTTACTGTCGCTTACCGAAAGAGGTGGTACCCTTCGTCATCTTTTAGAATGGTGCAAGGACGTTTGGTGGGAGATAGGTCGAGAGTCAGAAGATGTGTTGAGGATGAATTCGAACAGTATCGTTGGTGGCACTAAGGACAATCCGACAATTGCGATGCAAAGGCGAGGTAGGAGCAAAATAGAGGTGCTGCGTGTGTACTACTGGTTTGGCGAAACTAGGTGATTGTGTCGTTCCGGTTCAATCCTAAAGGTCCAATGCTGTGTCGGTCAAATGATATGCGATCGAAGCTGACGATAGATTGTGTGCTGCGTGGCAATCTCTGTTGCGATCTACAATCCTAGTCGAGCGAAGACTTTGTGCAGTACGTCGATGGATTGGTGAACGGTGGCTGCAGGAATGACGGCGCACAAATCCAGGTCGATAGCAATGTCGGATTGTCCAGAGGTACCGGTCGATGACGGGATGCGAATGTCGAGCTTACCTTGGCTAGAGTATGTCTTGAGAGTTACTGGTGGGAGCAGAGGAGAAGGAGCGATGGCGACGAGAACCCTCAAGCGTTGGCTGACCTTCGAGCCCGGCTGACTAGCTGGCTGGCTGGCGTGCGTCGCGGATGCTCCTAAGGCTCAGAGCGGGCGTCAACTTTCCAGCTGCCAGAAGACTCAGTGTACTCGATCGGCTCTCCACCGCCTTGTGCTGCCTCGCATCTTCTGGAGCGCTGGTGCTCACTGCTCACGAGTCTCGAGGGCTTAGCCATTAACAGCAATACTATTCACGCCTCCATACAAATCCTAATACATTCGGTCAACACGGAATTGAGAATTTTGATATGTGAATTTCTGAGCTAAATACAAAATAGTCACGTGAGGAAAAGTCGCACGCCAGACTTTCCAGGGCAATCCCGAATTCACCACCCCAAGGCGCTTTCATTCGATAATTTTGAAAGGTTCTGATCGCTGCGAGACGGTTTTTCTTTTCTCGCGAGTTCATGTTAGTTTGAAGATTTGGACTGGGAAGTTCGGACTGGAGAGAGTCGGATGGGAAGGCTCCAATCTGGAAGTGATTGCACCTTCTCCTCTCTCCAAGTCAACACCTCGACCTCACCGCACATATACAATATAGCGTAAGTAATCGATCGACTATGCCAGCAGGACTACCAGCATCATCAGCAGTGGGGTAAAGCAACATTCAAAGACACGATGGTCTGGCAACGTTTTGAGGTCATGGGAAGGCGGCAACGAAGGTAGCATCGGCCCCGCGAGAACAGCAAACGTTTCTTTTCGGCAGCGCGATATGGTCGAACGCTGGACGTCTGACGACTCGGATCGATATGCGTAAGCTGGATGTTGGATGTTGGACGGCTTGAGTTGTTGCGCGTAGCTGTAGCGTCGAGTCGCTCCCATTTTCAACTTGCAGCAGCCTCTGGACGCAAACGATCAGCAGACACGACGTCGAAGGTGGATATTGGATGCCATTCTTGCTGGCGAGGACTGGACACCGATATGGATGGGAGGATTGCGACTGGATTTTGATTCCGTACACACACAAGGAGCTGCATGCCGACCATTTTGCCCCACTCTCTGCTCGACCTCCTACCCTCGTGCTCTACAGGGACCCTGCCTGCGAAAGTTAAGCATCACACGTGATACTTACCTGGAGGCCTTTTCTATCAACTCTCTCTCTCTTCCCCCCAACACCCACCACCCGCATCGACAGAACAATGGCACCCAAGGCTAAGAAGTCGTCCCAGGACAACATCAACACCAAGCTCCAGCTTGTGATCAAGTCTGGTAAGGTCGCCCTCGGCCTTAAGAGCGCTCTCAAGAACATGCGCTCTGGCAAGGCCAAGCTGGTGCTCATCTCTGCCAACACGCCTCCTCTGCGCAAGTCCGAGATCGAGTACTACGCCATGCTTTCCAAGACTGCCGTTCACCACTACCAGGGCACCAACGTCGCCCTCGGTACTGCTGCCGGTAAGCTCTTCCGCGTCGGGTAAGTTTCTCTCATATTTCTTGCTCCCACATTCGCATCTCCCTAGCTGTTTGCATAAGAGACTGACCAGTTCCGCATCATCTTATGCTGCCTCTTTCATCGCAATAGTGTCATGACCATCCTCGACGCTGGTGACTCGGACCTCCTCTCCACCGTTGCTGCTTAAAGTGATTCGACATACGCTCGGTAGACGATCTTTTGCTCTCGAAGCAACGTCTCCTGCGTTTGTCCTGGAGCCAAGATTCCCGCCATTCACGACCGAGCGGCTCGGCGTTGATCATCGTTCTACCTTTGACAGTGGACTCGATGCTTCATGTACATTTCCATCTCAGCCACGGGAAAGCTACTGCTGTCCTGTCTGATACCACACGCATTCCCACCCTCATCCCCCCAAAAAGTGCAATCCAATGCATCAAGGTACTACTTTGTCCATCGTGTAACCATCTGTGGCTTGAGAGACCACCCAAGTCTAGAGTCAGGAAGGGTAGCAGATCGTGACAGCCATGAACTCTCTGGACGATCATGCTCGAGGCTGGTAGGGCGGCAGAGTATCGACACTCGGTCGTATTGAGCCTCGGTCTGCTGCTCGTTGATTCGGTGTTGCGGTCTGCGTTGATTGGTGTGTAGTCGCCAGCCGATCGCTGTTGGAAGCTTTGGCGTCCGGTACGTTTTTACGAGGCTGAGCTCCACCCATTCTGGCGATGCCGGACACGCCAACGTTGTCGTTGACGTAGGCTGCTGGTGAGGACGTGTTTGTACCCATGGTAGAAGACACGCATTCCTTAGGACGATGTTGTAGGAACACAGCAAGATAGTTACAGGCGCTCAAAGGTGCCAAAGGCTACCTTGAACCGTCGGGTATGCAGCCATCGAAGGGTGATGGGGTAATGATTCGCTTTTGCCGAGTCGAGGATATTTTCGTCTCGGCAAACAGTGTTAAGGCGGCAGAATCCGCCTGCTCAAACAATCTCTCTCATGCAGCAGCACAGCATTGACTCGCCGCACTTCATGCGGATCCAAAACTGTAGACAAGCATCGTCTGATCTTCCTGGAAGACAGGGTGAAGCGGCATGAAACGATCAGCGATCAGCAATGGTTAGACGAGATTCGCACCGTGCGAAGAAGACGGCGTGACCGGCGACATTGCTTTGGAGCATGTCGTGCGGCAGACCCCGCTTTTGTTGGTTCCTAATACCGCCTCGGAGAAGGCTTCCGGGAACTGGAGCGGCTCCACTTGGCATTTCAAAGCTGTTCCTGAATCGACAAAAAAGGGGTTAAGGACGATACGAGTCGTGGGAAGACCGGTTCGCTTCGCTCGCGAGCGTCGAGGGAGTACAACACAAAGCTGTACATACCACGTCACACCGGCTTGACAGATTCTGAAACTTTTTTTAAGGCTTAATGGTCGTCCAGAAGACCCCCTTTTTTCCCGGTCATGAGAGCGACAAGAGCTGCATTACACTGTCAAAATTGTCCTCCACACGGCACAGCCATGAGGCATCAAACAGACCAACCCTGTTGACCGAACATGCTTGACATGCTGTCCACGGAATGAGGCAGGACGTGTGTGTAGAGACACGACTTGATTTTGATGAAAAAGCCGTCGTCCCCTTGTTGAGAGAAAGCATAAAGAGGGCCTCGTATGGACTAATCCAGCGGGCCTTGTGGTTGGTTGCAAAGTGAAGCGAATCGGCGAGTGCCGTGACGCCTAGATGCAGCCCACCATGTGCCATTTGCTTTATGCACACAGACCGAGCTCTCCCGGCCTCAAGCCACACCGGACCAACAATATAGGCCGCTCTCGTGACGATCATTGTTCCGCCTCGTCGCAAGTCTCGAGCTGCGTACCGCTCTACAGTCGGGAAAAAGACAAGAAGCGGAAGGAAGCGAGAAAGTAATGAAAGCGGGCCGGATGCTGCACCGTGCATGACAGCCTTCCAAAAAAAGCATCCGACGGGGCCCATAAGCAAGTAGCGTGTGTTCCGGCCCTCGTCTCCAGCTTTGCTCGTCGGCACAGGAGCTTTGGGCTTAGACTCTCTTGGCGCAGCGCACGGGAAAAAAAGGAAAAGAAAACACAATCAGAATTGGCCCGAGCCGCAACCAGGACAATGACGGAAAATCGGCAGAAAGCGAGGAAGAGAGAGAGGCGCCGTGTGCTTTTGTTGGAAAATATTAACTATTTGCCCGAGCGACGACGGACGGCGTGCTAGTCGCGACTGCGTGTCGGTGAGTGTGATTGTGACTGGAAAAGGAAATAATGACAGCAACACTGAGTGTCCGTCAGCCCGCATTTCTGGCGCCCAAGCCACTTGATCACTGTGACCGTACACTGTACACTGCATTGAGTTCTGAGTGAGCCGACAATTGTGAGTGCACGAGCACACGAACACACTCCCGCTCACAGCTCGATTTGCTCCGACACTCCACCTTCGTCCCCTCTGTATTCCTCTTGCTTGCTCCTCATCATCGTCATCATCACCGTCGACGACCTCGACACAAGATCTCAACAATCTGATACTCGCGTAGATACGGGCCCGCTTTCTTCGAAATTCTTCACCATCTTCCATCCCTCGAGCCTCAATCACGTCGTTCGGCTCAGCATCGCGGTTGCTCGATTCAGCCCACGCATCTCTCAACCTCGAACTTCGATCGTCGGCGTTAAGGGCTTTTTGATCTTCCCTGACGCCTTCCCAAAGACATAGTGCAGGCCCAGCTTGTGCAGTAGCGCGACCTATTCCGCGCGCTCGTCACTCGTTCTTTGCAACTTCTGGCGTCACGCGAGACATTTCTCGCACACACGTTACCTCTACTAGCTGCCTGCTTAGCACAGCTCACCATACCTGAACACGATCAAGCGTCGATCATCACCGCAGGGCCGCTTTGACACCTGCTACCTCAGCGTACCGACGACTGCCTGATCTTCCACCATCCACACGACTTAGCCCAACTGCTTCACGCTCCTGTCAACATCCGGCAGCCAAAACAAGACGCACGTTTCCTTGCAAAGCGCTCGCTGCTGTCAATTCATTCTTTATACAAGATCATTAATCCTTGCCTCCCCGATTCATAGCAATCATGTTCAAGTCCTTTGGCAAGATAATGGGCGGCTCGTCCCGGAAGGGCAAATCCAAGCTTCAAGATGGCGATGACAGCGTCGAGGCATCCAACGGCGTCTCTGGCTCCGACTCTTCCAACCTCCTTCGCGCTAGAAGCAAAGACTCGCTCGCCGTCTCGGAAAACGGCTCGGGCAACTACAACAACAACGGCTCCTCTGCCCCCGCCAAGATCGAAAAGCGCGGAGGCGTTAGCAGACACGAATCGCCTTTACCCTCTCCATCACCCTCGGCGCGCAACGTGCTCGAGGGGCAAGACGAGAGCAGCGAAGTAGGCAGTCCTGCCGCTTCCAGATCAGCACCCACTTCCGACGTCGGCGGCCCCTTGTCAGCAAACGACGCCGCGTCTCAAGGCACATCCGCTCCCACCTCCAACACCATCCTCTCGAATCCTCTCGCACAAAGCGGCGCAGCAGGCTTCCCCGGTTCCGCAGGCAAGAACGCCCAGACGGCAGGCACTGGCGACCAGGTCCGCACATTCGACATTGACGACATGATTTCGCGTCTGCTCGAAGCCGGCTACTCGGGCAAGATCCCCAAACCAGCGCTGAAAAACGCCGAGATCACCGCCGTCTGCCAAGCGGCGCGCGAGATTTTCCTCTCGCAACCCACGCTCATCGAGCTCAGCCCACCGGTAAAGATTGTCGGCGATACCCACGGCCAGTACCACGACCTGCTGCGGCTGTTCGAGATGTGCGGCTTCCCGCCGTCGGCCAACTACCTCTTCTTGGGCGACTACGTCGATCGCGGCAAGCAGTCGCTCGAGACCATCCTGCTGCTGTTGTGCTACAAGATCAAGTACCCGGAAAACTTTTTCCTGCTGCGCGGCAACCACGAGTGCGCGAACGTCACGCGCGTCTACGGCTTCTACGACGAGTGCAAGCGTCGCGTCAACATCAAGATCTGGAAGACGTTTATCGACGTGTTCAACACGCTGCCTATTGCGGCGGTGGTGGCGTCCAAGATCTTTTGCGTTCACGGTGGTCTTTCGCCCTCGCTTTCGAACATGGATGACATTCGACGCATCGAGCGACCTACGGATGTGCCGGACTACGGGCTGCTCAATGACCTGCTCTGGTCCGATCCCTCCGATACGGCGCTCGATTGGGAGGACAACGAACGCGGTGTATCCTACTGCTTCGGCAAAGCCGTCATACAGCAGTTCCTGGCGCAGTACGACTTCGACCTCATCTGCCGAGCGCACATGGTCGTCGAGGACGGCTACGAGTTTTGGAACGAGCGCACGCTCGTGACGATCTTCTCGGCGCCGAACTACTGCGGAGAGTTTGACAATTTCGGGGCGGTGATGAGTGTGAGCGAGGATCTGCTGTGTGCGTTCGAGCTGCTGAAGCCGCTGGATGGAGCGGCGTTGAAGAAGGAGATGGCGAAGAATAAGAGGAGGAGCATAGCGCAGGGGCAGAGTCCTGGTGCGAGAGGGCAGGGGTCGTTTTGATTAGCACACACGGGGTTTGTAAGCAAAGCAGCAGAGAAGAATTTTGTATGCATGTGATTTTCGAGATGGGGTTAGTTGGGTTTGTGAACATTGCTTGTTGAAGTGTAAAAGGGGGAAGGATTAGGGGAGATGCTGGTGGGAGAGTTGCTCGTCGTCCGAGTTGGGTTGGGAGACTGGACGTTCTTCTTCGTCTTCCTCCTTGGCTTGCTCGTCGGGTACGGTCAATAGGTGACCCATTCTCTCGACCTTTGTTCGGAGGTATTTTTCGAGTTCTGGACCTTTGGTGATGCTGGCACCTACCATGGTGGTACCGGATCTTCTGAGGACGTGATCTATGTATGAATCGCCTGAATCGCTGTCACTGTCATCAACCTCGTCATCGTCGTTGTGGTGGTGGTCTCCGTCGGAATCGAAGGTGTCAGCTTCGTTGAGGATGTCTTCGCCTTGATGGCGTAGTCCGGCGGTGGTGGGGTCAAGTTCAGAGTCCGACTCGTTGGTTCCGGCTTGCGAGATGACGCTGCTGTCCATACCACCGAAGCTGATCTGTCGCAGTAGACTCGGTGTCTTTTTGCTCGTCGAACGCAGGTTCGTCCTGCCACTGGGAATCTTGTCCTTCTTCTTGCCACTTCTCTTCTTCCTCCTCAATCGCTTTCCGAACTTCCAGACCCGAGGAACCATACCCACCCTCTCGGTCACCCGCACACCCTCCGCCTCCAACGCCTCCATCTTTTCCGGATTGTTGGTCAACAACCTACACTCGTCCACACCCAAATCGCGCAGAATCGCAGATGCGATGTCGTACTTTCTCGCATCCGGAAGGTGCCCCAACAAGATGTTGGCAGAGACGGTATCATGACCCATGTCTTGCAGGTTATACGCCATGAGTTTGTCCAAGAGACCGATTCCACGGCCTTCTTGACGCAGGTAGACGATGACTCCGCGACCGAGTTTGGGCTGATGAGAGTCGGAAGAGTGAGTGCGATTCTTGGATGTATCGTACGCTTCAGAGATGAGTCGGATGGCTTCGTCCAATTGTTCTCCGCAATCGCAACGTTGACTGCCGATGGTTTCGCCGGTGAAGCATTCCGAGTGGATGCGGACGAGTGGTGCTAACGGATCTTGGTCGTGGTGGTGCTGATGCACCTGCTGCTGAGAGTGTCGAGGGAGAGGCCTCGAAGCAACCTGAAAGCTGGGTCCCAACCTGCCCACGTAGGCGCCTCGCACAATACGTTCCATATCCGTCTCCTCTGGCCCCCACACTTCGTCCAACGATCTGCTCCTGAGCGCTTGCTGCTGATAGACCGGATCACTCTCCTTGACGGGTCGACCGTCGGCACCCATCTGTGTGCTCGTCTCATCGTTCTGGTAAGGATCAATGACGATGGCGAGATGCTCCTTTGTATCGTGCGTGTTCTTGTAGAGATGGCAGAAGATCTCACCGTGAGGTGTAGGGACTCGTGTTCGGGCGTAGCACCGTACGCGGACAGGTGGAGGACGAACGATGGAAGAAATGCCGGGCTTGCCGAGCGGCGTACCGACCTGAGCAGGCATGGATGGCAGAGTCTCAGCTGCCGGTGTGAGGGGAATGTGAGTCGGAGCTACGGTCGCGGCAGCAACGGCTGCTTTGCGCTCATCTAGTGCTTGAGCGATCTTGTTGGCAGGCGCAGAGGGGGGAACGAGGACAGTCTTGGCGGCTTGGTTGCCAGGCTGAGCGAGAAGCTCGGGCTGGGCGGGCTCGTCGCTGGCGCGGATGCCTGTGGCCTGTACGGCAGCTTGCTCCTTGAGCGTTTGTAGAGAGGCGGATGTACGCTGGACGGGAGAGTTAGCCTGAGCGCGCTTCTGCTCGAGCTGCTGTTGCTGTTGCAAACGGACGCTGCGCGGGGCTTGTCTGCTGGCGTAGTAGGCACGCTCTTCGTCTGTGACTTCTGGGACGGGCTCGATTTTGATGGATGAGGAGCTGGAAGCGGCATTGCGGCTAGTGACGGAATCTTCAAAGTCGTCGTAATCACAGTTGGCATATGATCCGCTTGCTCCTGACTGTCTTCGAGGACGAGTCTGCCCCGAGCGAGAGGAATCGCCGGCAGAAGAGGACGCAGGGGCGTTGGCCTTGGAAGCATCAGCTGCTGCTGCGGCGGCGACTGCTGCTTTGCGTTGACTGGCAGGCATCTGCTGCGACTTGGTGGTGTGAGCATGGCTGCCGAACGAGTGGTGAAAGTGATGACGGGTGACGTGAGGACCGGAGCTGAGACTGGCTGCCAGGACCATAGGATCGATGGGCGGTCGCCTGAGGGCATTGAGGGTAGACAGCGGCCTGGTCTTGGTGGCAGACGACGACGACGAAGAAGAAGAAGAGGCATAGCTGGGTTGATGCGGGAAGGACGAGGGCATCGAGGTGAGTGCATCGAGCAATTCGAGATCGCCCTGAGTGACGGCGGAGTGGGAGTTGGCGGTCTGCATGGTGTCTGCGTGCAAGGGAGAGGTGGCAGAGGCGACAGCGTGCATGCCGAAGGCCTTGCTTGCGTTAGACGAGCCAGAAGCGTTGGGTCTGCCGAGAGCGAGAGCTTGAGGATGCAGCGATGATGGCAGTCGAGAGAGAAAGGAACAGGAAGACCAAACGTCAAAACGCCGAGGTCGGATATTGGATCGACTCGTGTACCGGAACAGCGCATTTGTTCAGCCCAAGTTGCAGTGTTCTGCTCTGCTGTATCACACGAGAAATTAACTCATTGATTGGAGCGGGGAAGAAATGACGGAACTGACTCACCACTCCACCACACATATGGCATCCTCGTTATCCGCTGCGCCACCGACTGTGGCCCATCTGCTTCTTACAACAGCCGACAAAAAGACGGCTAGACAGCGATGGACACCCTAAACCAACGTAAAGGACTGCGTGGGTTGATGACCACACAGGTCCGGATTCACCGACAGTGAGCGCGGCTGCTGGTTGGAGGCCCGCGGCGTGGTTCCGAACGAAACGTCGACAACGCACTGACGGAGCTTGCGCTTGTCCTTTGCGCTTAAGCCCGCGACGGATTTGAGTTCAAAATTGGGAGAACCATGTAAGAGTGACGTTGTTTGCACATAGCAAGACAGAATTTGCTCGAGATCGGCGACGTGCAGCTCTTGGTAGCTGAGTGCCTGGCTTGCTCTCGGGACATCCCTCGACTTTCGTCATCTTTGAGCACCGAGCACGGCTGTCAGATATCGGATCAGATCCAAGGGAGAAAGAGAGCTGCGGTGTCTTTGAGACATCAAATCCATCACAGCCCACACTGACGCTGCAAACCCACAAATGGCAATATCGCACGAAAGGATGAGCAAAGGGCATTTTAGCCGATTGAAATCTAGATTGCAGTGACGCGCACTTTGGCAACAGCCAAGTCTGAAAATTAGCCATTTCGAGACGAGTGCGGTGTGCTGCCGTCTTGGTTGGTTAGCTGCTGCTGAGCCACAAGTTGACTGTTGGGTTGGGTGGTTGCGTGCGTCTGTCTGTTGGTGTGGTGTTGGTCTCCATTTTTCTGCGTTGGCTCGCAGCTTTTCTGCGTGTCAGAGTCGCATTTCAGTTTTCTTGAGCCTGAGCTTCCTTCGTTTCAGCCTGCGATCGCTTTGTTCTCCACACATACACACGCTCCCAACACCACCTTCTTTCTTCTCGATCTATCACCACCCTCATCTTCGTGATCTACCACAAACCGCACATTCGAGGTCACACATCCACTCTCAACTCGTTTCTCTCCGATCCTGCTTCTCCTTCGCGCACCTGCCATCACTCGACAACTCGTATCTTTCATACCACGACCACAGCACCCACTCACCATGTCGGGCCTTCGTGACATGTCGCGTCGACAAGACAACTACAAGGCGAAAGGTGTCTTCAAGCAGGATGAGCTTCGACGCAGACGTGAAGAGGCGCAGGTCGAAATTCGTCGTCAGAAGCGTGAAGAGTCCATGGCAAAGCGAAGGAACCTCAACGTCGCCGACGACGACAGCGGCATCGACTCGGACGATGACGACAACGCCTCGGCCGCTGTTGATGCTCAGCTCGCAGACGAACTTCCAAAGATGATCGGAGACGCAATGAGCGATGACCTCGACCGCCAGCTCGATGCCACCACCAAGTTCCGCAAGCTCTTGTCCAAGGAGAAGAACCCGCCCATCGAGCGTGTCATTGCTGCCGGCGTCGTCCCTCGCTTTGTCGAGTTCCTCCGCAGCCCACACAGCATGATTCAGTTCGAGGCCGCTTGGGCGCTCACCAACATCGCCTCCGGCACCTCCGATCACACTCAGGTCGTCATCAACGAGGGCGCCGTCCCCGTCTTTATCGAGCTCCTCTCTTCGCCTGTCCTCGACGTTCGCGAGCAGGCCGTCTGGGCCCTCGGTAACATTGCCGGTGACAGCCCCAAGTGCCGTGACTACGTTCTCCAGGCTGGTGCCATGCGTCCCTTGATCGCTCTCCTCAGCGAGAACCACAAGCAGAGCATGCTTCGTAACGCAACCTGGACCCTCAGCAACTTTTGCCGTGGCAAGAACCCTCAACCAGACTGGAACATGGTCTCCCCCGCCCTCAGCGTCCTCACCAAGCTCGTCTACTCGATGGACGACGAGGTGCTCATCGACGCCTGCTGGGCCATCTCCTACCTCTCCGACGGCGCAAACGAGAAGATCCAGGGCGTCATCGAGTCTGGAGTCTGCCGTCGCCTCGTAGACTTGCTCACCCACCCATCCACTGCTGTCCAGACCCCCGCGCTTCGTTCCGTCGGCAACATTGTCACCGGTGACGACTACCAGACTCAAGTCGTCATTTCGTCAGGTGCACTTCCGCCCCTCCTCTCGCTCCTCTCTTCCGCCAAGGAGGGCATCCGTAAGGAAGCCTGCTGGACCATCTCCAACGTCACCGCCGGCTCGTCGCAGCAGATCCAGGCCGTCATCGACGCCAACATCATCCCTCCCCTAATCGACATTCTCCAGCACGCCGACTTCAAGACAAAGAAGGAAGCCTGCTGGGCCATCAGCAACGCCACCAGCGGTGGTCTCTCGGAGCCTCAACAGATCCGATACCTCGTCTCCCAGGGCTGCATCAAGCCTCTTTGCGACCTCCTTCGCAGCATGGACAACAAGATCATCCAGGTCGCCCTCGACGGTCTCGAGAACATCCTCAAGGTTGGCGAGATGGACCGTGAGGCTGCCGGCGGTGACGCTCCCAACGCCTACGCGCTCCACATTGAGGAGTGCGGTGGCATGGTCTCGATCCACAACCTTCAGCATCACGAGAATCTCGATATCTACAAGAAGTGCTTCTACATCATGGACAAGTACTTCCCAGACGACGAAGCGCAAGAGACCGGTCTCGGCGCTCCTCAGGTCGACGAGACGGGTGCCTTCGCCTTCCAGTCCGATTTGAACGCTCCCCAGGGTGGTTTCAACTTTGCACCTGCTCAGAACGGGATGCAGCAGTAAGAACGGGAGGCCGAGCAACGATGATGCACGCCGGTGCCAGCCAGCGCTGCAACGACGTGATCCTTCGTCTACAACGGTTCTGATGTGTGGGTCTACCACAGCAGCTCAGACCGTGTGATGATATAGATTGATACCAGATCGTCTCCATCTTCAAACGCATTCGGTCGGCGATAGTGTTTCCGCTGGTCTCGCCATGCAGCGTTAGAAGGTGCGCGATTGCAACAACAACATCAAAAAAGGTAAGGTTTGCAGGTCGAGAAGACCGGATCAGTGTCGAATGCAACTTAGTTTCTTTCCCCGTTGAGAGATGGTGTATGTGAGAGGAATGGTGTTGAAATCTCATTGCATGTTGTGAAGAAGCTTTTGGGGTGTGGCAGTGAGAACTGAAGTCTGAAGGGTATGAGGGGGATGAGATTGAAATGAGTGCGAGAACTGATGTGAGCACGGACGTGTGGTTGGAAGAAAATTCAGGGTCCAACGCTGTTACTCTGTCTTTCACGATTAACTTTCTTTCAATCACACATGATCCTTTCTCACCACCAACGTCTTAAAAGATGTCGACAGCCAAGTCATCAGTTGCATCACGTTTCGTATCCGCTTCTGAACTAGACTCCACTTCAAACACCTCGACTCCAGCAGCGGAGTACGATCCACGTTCGCTGTACGAACGACTTCAAACCAACAAAGAAGCGAAAGATGCCGTGCTGGACGAAAAGTACAAACTGTCGAATCAGTTTCGCGGGATAGACGATGGAGAGGCGGAGTTCTTGCAAGGTGTGGAGAGGGAGAGGCGGAGGGAGGAGGAGGAGAGGAGGAAGGGTGAGAAAGGGGAACTGGAGCGGTTTAGGGTGGCAAAGGCTACGTCTGGACGGTTGAGTGAGGGCGGGATGGGGGCGGGAAAGGATAGGCTGCAGGAGAAAACACCGCTAGCGGGGGGAGAGGAAGCAGCGAAGACGAACAAGAAGAAACGCAAAGCAAATTCATCCGCCTTGCTGGGTGTGGTCAAGAAGAAACCCTCGAAACCACCTTCCGCCCCCACAGCTACGACAGCGTCCTCAGCGACAACGAACGCATCAACCACCCATTCTAGCAAACCTTCCTCATGACAGCTTCAAAACCCAACACAAAATGATACCCTTCCAACACCAAATGGTCGTGTGTGCATTTCCAAAGGCGATGTTGTCCGTGAAGTACAGTACACGGACAGATGTGATCATGAAGAAATTCGTGGCTCGCCGGTTATGACTCGTTGCGTGTATAAGCGTGACTGTCCGGAGTCTTGACGGCGTGTTCGGAAGGGGCAAATTGATGATGCTAGGAGGTCTCAAGTGTTGTCTCCCGACCGATGTTGCGGGGAAACGGGTGTTTTGTTGCCGGTGTGCGTTTCAGCTTTCGACTAGTATGCTTTGCTGGACGCATCGAGCGCGGGAGACTTTTCAGAAAGTGAGCTGGAACGAATCAGTCGGGAAGTTGCGAATGACCGGTCCGGGAATGTCGATAACTCGCAGGTGGAGATCGTAAAGACACGGCGCTAGCATCTGCATTCGCCGACATACCGACGTCGGAGGGCTGCAGTTGCGCAGATGCCTCTCGAGGATGGGCAACTTGTTGCTCTGGCCCATGGAACGGTTGATAAAGGGTCGGATGATCCCACGAGATGAAGTCTTGACGAGCGTGTTCTTGGTCTGTCATGAAGGCATGCAAGGAATGGCGCTGCAGAAGGTCGGGCCGAGCAGTAGACATCCTTCTGGTTGCCGGAATGAGGCACGACGTGCTTGCCCAGACGGCATGGTCGGATGGCGATCGCAAATGCCTGCTCGCTGCTTCCCGCGTCATAGCATTCGGCGACATGCTTGCGCCCTGTTGATACGATCCTAGCTGCGGCGAGAGCCGAGTCGGCGTCCATCCTGCCGCTGCATTGACCCCAAATGGCTCAAAAACCCGGGTCAGGGTCGAGCTTATCTGTGTGGAACCGTCCGGGGACGACGTCAGAGGAGCATGCGAGCCTGCTATGGCCGTATTCGTAAGTTGCAACGGTCGCATCCGTCCTGCTTGATGGGGTCTTTGCATTGGAGCTGTATACGTCGGACTTATGGCTGCGGCGTGTGTTTGAAGCATATCGCAAAACGCGTGCTCGGACGAGACCGTTCTTGACGAGCTGTCAAGCAAAGAAGATGAAATGCCCAGCGATGCATCTGAAGAATAGCTTGTCTCACTGGATGCGTGAAAATTGCTACCGTACGATCGTTCACCGCTGCAGAAGCCAGTCAGCGTTGACGACGACAAAGGTTGATGCACGCCCTGAAAGGGGTGAACGTCATCTTGAACGACGCATTGCAGATCCGTGCTTTCGATCGGAAGTGGTCTCACCGACGTCAAACCGGGAATGTGGATCGGTGGACCACCCGAATTCTGAGATCTGTGAATGGCGAGCTCCTTCTTCAACGTCGCTTCGCGAGGCGGTGTGATTCCATGACTCAACAGCAATGATTCTAGCGCTATGTTGCGCTCGGCAAGCTCAGCAACGGTGTCTCTGAGCACTTTTTCTCTCTCCTTTCGTCTCTCGCGAAATAGCCGACTGGCTCTAGCGTTGGGCGTAGCCGAACAGGTACCGGCGCTTTTCCTGACCTGAACATCCTCCGAAGCCGTCGAAGTGTGGAAGGGCAGAGCAGACGCAGCACCAGCTCCACCCGCGCCCAAGCTGTGCATATTATCGATACGTGGATGCGAAGAGCCTTGCGATTTGTTGGCGTCCGTCATCATGTCGACAACGGTCGACTGTGTGAGAGAGTTGTCCTGGCGTAGATTGGACCGTCGCGCATTCCTTGCATCTGAGCTGTGCAAAGTACGACTGTAAGATTGTGACCACCTTGTGACGGATCAGAGCTTCAACATCGATGCTGAGTCGTCGAGGGGTGCATTGCGAATGCTCTTAGACTGACCTGAAAAGGATTCGCAAGCTGGTATCTGGCATATGTCCCGATCGTCCGGGTGGGGGTGATGGAGTTGCGGAATGGTGAACCTCAGCCTGGAAATCAGGATGTGAAGTCATTGCTAGGCCTCACCTCCTCAAGCCGACCCGGCTGCGCCTGAGGTCAAGCCTGGACAAAGCCACTGCCAATGTCTTTCTTCAACTTCTTCCGTGGCAGATACGAAAAGCCGAAGTTATCCGACCATCCGAGGGCGGTGATGCAGGCTGCTAGAGGCTGTACAGGCTGAGACAGGATCTACGCCACACGAGCTTTGTTACGCTAGTCGCTGGCGAAGGTCTCGGCACAAGCGAGGTGGATGGTGAGTGTGCACTTCTTGACACATCCGCGGGAAAGATAAGATGCGAGAACAAAGTGCTGTACTCATCCTGACAAAACGCCAATGTTCGAAGAGATAGCCGAGCAGTCGATAAAGAGCCAGCACATAGCGGGTCGTACAAGTGGCGTTGAATGTCCACCAACTGGGGTCACGTTGTGGAGCCCGAGTCAGGTCGGCCCGTGTTCGGGACGACTGGGAAACTCATCATGATCGTGATGGATTCGTGGCTGTAGACCGGCTGCTGCAGCCACGTCCAGGCAGCTTAGCTGTGATGATGTACAATACTTCACACAGCGGCAGGTGCAAGAAACGAGCCGATTCAGCCGTAACACGTTGTGACTTTTGACAGGAGGCGAATTACGCCGCGTGACGATGTTTTGCTTTCCCCGAGATTCACAACCTTGTCGGTGGCTCTTGCTGTTCCCTGGTCTGCGTCCGGCTCGCGTTCAGAGGGCCAATGAAGCACGAAAGAAGACGGCGCAGCGGAGATGTGCGCATCTAAGGGGAGGTGGCCTCTGTTCGCAAGAGTGAATCAGCGAGATCGTTGCGTCCAAATTTTGTGGTTCGAGGGTAAATCCCCCGAATGGTGGTCTGTCAAAAGAAGCCGTCGTCCGCGTCGAAATGCGAAACGCGAACTGAGAAGCATACCTGCGAGACGACTCGGTGGACTCAATGTTGGCAGATGCTCAGCAAAAGCTGCGATCACTCAAGGGGAGTCGTAGGTCGAGGCGAGCAGCGGAGGCAGAGGCAACGTCGCATGAGCCTACATAATTCGGTGTCGTTGTTAGACCGTGTGATTTCTCGCACGACATCCGGCGGCTTGGCGGTGTTCTTCTGGCAAATTCTGAGAAGCGAAATGGCAGCGGCGTGCATGAACCTGAGTGGAAAAGCTCCACCTGAGTGTGTTGTGCTTTCGGTTCGGAAGCTTGATGAAGTCAAAGCCTGATCTGTGCTTTCCGCGTCGCTCGTACTTGAACACCTCTCGCACCTGCTGCATCACATCTCTTTCGACTCTACACACACTGCTACCTGGATCTAGAGCACGTAGCCAACTCACGATGTCGACCTGGAACAAGCACTACCACTGGAAGACCAAGGGCTGCACGCCCTGGGCCAAGAACCACATCACCGAGGCGACCGTCGGCAAGTCGGTGAGCGTGGGCAAGAGCGGCCAGGTCAAGGTGGATCGTCTTTCCTCGTTCGAAGGAGATGTCGAGCTCGGGAACCGCAAGGGGAAGCTTATCACCATCTACGACTGTGCCATCACGTACGCCTGGTCCGGATCGTCGGACGACGGAACCGAGGCGAGCGGAACCATCACGTTCCCAGAAGTGAGCCACGAGGTCGAGGACGAAGGCGACGAGTACCGATTCGAGACCGAGATGACGACAAAGTCTTCGGCGCAGGCCAACGAGCTCTATGATGCCGTGCGCAAGGAGCTTGCTCCTTCACTCCGCCCCGTCTTCCACGCTTTCCGTCAGAACCTCATTGATGCCCACGCCAAAGACCTGGGTCATGACAGCCCAGCTTCGACTCCTGGCGCCGCTACACCAACCACTGCGGCCACTACCTCTACATCCGCCAGCGCTGCTTCAACCACCCTATCTTCCTCTGCAGCTGCTCCTGCATCCAAGCAGTCCAAAGCCACGGTCTCGACAAGCTCAAGCGACGTGCGCGTGTCGAGCGAGCTTGCCATCAGCACTCAGGATCTGTGGGACCTGCTCACCAACCCATCACGCATCCCCATGTGGACACGAGCGCCGGCTCAATTTGAAGCGAAAGCGGACGCCGATTTCGCGCTCTTTGGCGGCAACGTGACCGGAAAAGTGGTGAGCGTCGATGCTCCCAAGCAGCTCATTCAGAAGTGGCGCACACCCCAATTCCCTCAAGGCCACTATGGAACGCTGGCCGTCAATCTCACCGAGGGCGGCGACTCGACCAAGCTGGAACTCGTGCTCAGCGGTGCTCCCTCTGGCGATGAGGAGATTGTCGAAAAGAACCTCGAGACCTACTACATTCGCGGACTGAAGTCGATGGGGTAAGTATCGCTCAAAGGAACAACATCATTCACATTCAAGACGTGTCTTCTGACCTCATGTTCCACCCTCTCTATCCTGCTCCTTTCGTGCGCACTACAGTCTTGGAACGATTCTGTGACACCTCGTAGAAACAGTACTTTCAAAAGCAACAAAATCGAGCACCTCTATCTTGATGTTGTCAATCAACTTCATCGCAAGTTTCTGTCAGTTTGTCGGCGATTAGCTGTAGTCT